ATCCTCATCACTATACAATATGAACACGAGTACGGCCTTTTATTCAGGAGTCAATACACGGCTTTTGCTGGCTTGTATGACGTCGGTTTTCTGCTTCAAAATGCTGGCCCTGGTTCCTTCAAAAACCCCTAAGAGTATCCTGTCCTCGGGGGCAGTGCTGACTGTTGTTTCGGAACTGGTTCTTGTTTGTGGTCCCACTAACCCGTGAAACTGGCTGGTAATACTACTAGGAGGCCATGGCCAGATGCTTTTCCTCGCGGCTGTTCTTGCAGGGCCAGAGAACATGCATGCCGGGGTGATAGTAATACTAGTAGTAGTAGTAGTAGAAGAGGACCTTGGAGTCGTTGACCAAGCCCTAGAGACATGTGGATTCCAGCTAGCCAGCCGCAGTCCTGGCAATCCTCTCAGATAAAAAAAAGCACGCTAACTACTGCCACAGGTCTCCAGACGTCTGGCCCACCCGCCAAAGTTCCCCCCAGGATGACTCGGCCCCGCTCGCCACTATCATGAGCCACGGGTCGCGCCTATGCATGTGCACCAGCCTCCCTTCTGCCCTTCTGCCCTTCTGCCGAAAATGCTCCCAAGCACCACGTCTTCTCCCGGAAGATGTAAAAGGCGTGGGAAGGACTCGGTCGGATGTTCCACACACGTGGAACGGTAACCTTTTACGGAGTACGGAGTTGTTAGATGGAAGAGAGAGGTAGGGATGCGGCGGTGCCGTGTTTGGTTGATTCGGCTGTCAATGAGCGGATAAGCATTCTAATATTCCGTACTCCCCATTGACTGTGGTCTCGGTCTCTCCCGCATCAAACAATCCCCCAAAAGACCAACTCACGCAAATTCAGCAAATAGGATGCCGATAAATAGCTCGCATCGCTAGGCGCAGGTCGCCACTGCTAGTTAATGCATCCACAGTTTTTGAGCCGACAACGTGCTCATCACAGCCGCTCAGTGCGTCAATACCCTACCTACATCGTACTGGTTACACCAGTTGACCAGCATGTCTCTTGTCTGACTCGAAACACATGCTGGCATTGTAGGGGCTATCGAGGCTGATGCGGTCTTCAAAGCACGAGGCCCCGAACAAACCCCCCTGGCTAGTTCGCGGAGATGTACAATGATGATCCCTTGGCCAACAAGTACCACCGCAAGCGCACTTGCCTGAGAAGTACATACATATGTACAATAACGGCGGGACACGGTAATGAGTTGTTCTCACCCGTCGTCGTTATCCTCGCCAACAAATTTATCCGTGCATGCATCACCTAGGTAGTAGCAGACTGTGGAGATCGAAACTGTGCTCGGGAATGACGATTTTTGCTCACAAGCCACCTCTAACCTTCAAAATTTGGCATGATGGACGAGCAACAAAAGGCCCCGAACGAGCCGTTCTTTGAAGAAAAAAGAGAGAGTTTGTGCGCGTGGAACAACGAGACAACCCGCCTTAGGGCAGCTTTTGCGGCGAGCTGTTGCCAGAATCTCGGCTATCGGGTCATTTGACCACGCCTATGGCTGCGATGGAGCGATCGAAAACATAAGACAAGGTACTGACTTAGTAGAATAGTAGCTACCACCACCAGTACTACTACGTACTATTAGAACAATTGCCAAACACGACCCAAGTTGGACATGGCGTAATGGAGTTAGAGGTGGCGAGTACTCCGTACCCCGCAAGAGTATTGCTGTTGTACTACCTCACGATGGAGCCATTGCACAGATTAGCAGTACAATTTGTTCAACACACTTGGCCATTTTGCTCATCAAAGGCGGCCTCAATACGATAGTTTGCAGATGACAGCACAGCCTGGAGCTATTAGAACCATTTCCGAGCCTCGACGCGGTAGCTGGGCCTGCTGAGTTGCAGGAGGACTTGTGACCAAGAAATTGAAGTCTCTTCCCTGGCCTGTCCATGATTATTGGCAAACCCACAGCGGGACCTGGGTCCATGCTGGAGCTTCGATGAAGAAGTCGGCTAACGAATGACGGCAGGCTTGGCTCCCAAGTTGGGCCGTACGATGATAGATGTGTGGCGATGAGACGGCCGTTGCCAAACTGCCTGCGCCGGATTGGATGGACTTGGGGATTTATCTGGGACACAATTTCAACAAAAGTATTTGGCGACGACACAACGACAAGGGAACCTGTCCAACGACTACTACTAGTACCTAGGCAGCCCTGAGGTACGGAGTATCGAACTAGACAACATCTCTCTCGGTACATAAATGCAATACATATGGCATCCGGGGTTCCACCCCGATTGTCAAATGCACGACTGTGGCCAGGGCTGGAGGAAGATCAGGCGCTTTCCCCCTTCCGGCAGCTAGTCTTGGATGGCACAGTGTGCGCACGCTCCTGCGGTTGGCGATTCAAGCATCACCCATGAAGACGAGAACCAGGGGCAAATAAACACTGTGGATGGTGTCTCCGTTTGCTTCGACACGGGGGTTTGTCTGTCTGTCTGTTTGGTCTGCTATTTTCGTTGAACTTGATAGTTGGGCCGGCCGACATCCGGCTCTCGGGCGGTGGTGGTACATAGATGTGTTGCTTGTGTACTTGGGAATCGGCAAAGACTACGACAAACAACACGACACCTCGATGTCCTAGTGAATCGAATCAAGTCGCCAGCCACATGCCGCGGCATTATCAGTGTGAAATCAAGGCATAATATAATACACATATGGTCCAATACCCAAATGACCAAATGCATCGATGGAACAATGGGCCAAAGGCTATTGGGATACTCGGCGCGGAGGGCTTTTGCACAGGTAATACTTCCTCGCATGTATGCACAACAGCATGCAGTTATTTATGTCAGTACTCCCCTGGAACAACCAAAAAAGAGGCGCCCTTTGCTCCGGCAATACTAGTAATACTAGTACTAGTAAGTAACCCCGATTGTTGGTGACCCTGTGAGGGCTCATCATCCCCTAGTTGAGCTAGCAAGAGAGTCGCAGGCAACTTCAGCTCAGCATTTCGCTGAATGAAATCCATCAGGAGATAGAAAAATTTTTCTTATCAAATGCGAATCCTAATCCTACCATAAATTATCCATCTTGGCCCCTTTCCGCGCACCCAAGGGCAGAGGACAAGGCCAATCGGCGACAATGGAGCAGACAGTGCAGGGCTCGCAAGCCGTTTTAATAATACCGCAAGGCGTCTGTCAGATGCCATAATCATGGACTCGGATAGGCTAACGGTGTTGACAGGCAAATATTACCATGCGTACATATAATAATTATTGAGCGGAGCATGCCGAGTATACTCCGCATGTTGTTGTATGTACGTACTACAAAGAGGCAGATACTCGGTATACCGCGGTGCATGACCAATGCCAAGCCCGACTCGACTCGTCCATGGACCGGATGATCCGTCCCTTCCATTTCGAGGAGTCGTTGCTCAGATCATTGGCGAGATCAACGCCGGGATTTTGGGTCTTGTCAAGCCTTTTTAGGCCGTTGCTAATACAATGATTATGTCAGTTAAGGAGGCCACACGTGCTTGCGGGTACGTAGTAGTAATCTGGCATGTGCGGTTCTGGCAAGTCTGCCAAGATAAAAAAGGTCCATCGCAGGGACTGTGTATGTATGTATGTAATACACGTACATTAGACACATGCACATACATGCCTAGGTAGAGACTATCGGGTGTGGTATCCAGAACATTCACGTCTATCAGAATTAAGTTCCTGTGGGCGATGAGAGGCACCGTCCATGCGTCCCAAGGCGCAGTCGGCAGTGGGCTGGGGCGGAGTTGTATTAATTAGATCAGAGATGGGGAGAAGCACTCAGCCGTTGAATCTCGATGGCCTTGCTCCGTAGTACTAGTAGTACTAGTAGTTCCGCAGTTTCCGTGGTTGGCACTGGGATCTGATATTATAGTCGAATTACTAGGTAATAATGTCCGCAAGACATATGTACATACATTTGTCGTCGCGGGCACGGGCACGTAGACATTGACAGCCTCACCTTCACGTGGTCGCACGGCCTCGTCGCCAGCATACTCCGTATTCTGCACTCCCACAGCAATAAAATTGCCATTGAATGATACCGCTCCAAGCCCGCCCTGCCCCGTGCTAGCCCGTGCGAACCCGACACTCGCCAATGCTCATTCCATGTTGATTGGCAGGCCGCTCTGCACCCGGCGCCAAATCACCGCCCAAACCGCCCAAACCGGTTGCAGGGTGTCCCAAACTCAAAATGGATCAGAACCTCCTAATCAGGCGACTTGGGAGCGTATGGCGCGCGCTGATTGGCCGCCGACCACGGAAGTGGCCCGTGCCAAGGGGTGCGCACTGAGTCTTGACACCGCCCTGAAACGAGAACCGTCAGACCGTGCTCAATCCTGGGTACCAAGTCGCACCAGGCCAATCTGCTGCAGAAACGGCGACATGGAGTTTGCTGTGCAATGTATCTACAGCCGGCACAGTCGTCGTGTGTCCACTCGCCAGTTGCCCTGTTTCCCTCACTAATATTGTAAACCTTCTTTCTTGGTGGCAGGTCGCTGTGCGCCTTTCTGCCTCCTTCACCTCAGGTATCCGGATACCCTTCTTCCTTTGCAGTTTCCATCTCCTTTTTCTGTGGTTTACACCGCCGTCTTTCCTCTTCCTTGTCGCTCGACTACGCCGAAACAGCCCATGACGTTGATGACCGGAACAGGACTCGAAACGCTCGGCCAAACCAGGAGTTGCGTTTTCATTTCCATCTGGACATAATTTTTTTTGTTCTTTTTTCATCTTCTCCCGTCGTTGTTTCCCGCATTAGAACATTGTATATACACCTGGCGCAGGACGCCCTCCCGAACCGGAAGTAGACAAAAGATCCTCCCCGAGTCAAACCACCAGCCGGAAGCATCTCGAGACCCCAGGGGAAGAGCCACAGCCTGTTCCAAAACGTATATTTAAAAAATAGCGCCCGGGGGGAAAGGCGATCTGAAGAACCAAAAAAATACAATATAACCCGCCGAAACAACCGAGTGAACGGATAAAAGGAGGCAGCACCAAAATGGCCAACAAAGTCTTCACCACGACGCTCGGCATAAGCCTCCTCTTCCTGGCGTCGGGGTGCCTCGAGCTCGGCTTCTCCCTCGTCGTCCGCAACATGATGAGCAACAGGCCCGAGAGCGGCCAGGAGGCGGTGCGCAACTTGCTGTACCAGATGTTCCCGCTGACGGCGGGCATCGCCAACGGCGCCGCGACCCTGGCCACCTTTGCCTTCACCCTGCTCGGCCTCATGTCGCCCATGCGGTCGTGGCTCAAGGCGGGCGGCTACCTCATCACCATGTGCGGCCTCTTCACCCTCTGCCTCGGCGTCTACCTCTGGATCATGACCCTGCGCCTCAAGGACGGCTTCTTCCCGACGTACCTCGAGCTAGAGCCCGGCGTGCAGTCCCTCGTCCAGCAGTCGGTAAGAACTGACGCGCCTCCCTCTTTTTCTTGTCAGAGCCTTGATGTTGGGTGATTTGTCTTTGCTGATACGAAGAGCCGGTAGTTCCAATGCTGCGGCTATTATAATGCCACGACGCCGGCGTTTGTCACGGATCCGACGTGTCCTTCGCCCGCGGCCGCAGCGCTGCTGCGAGGCTGCGGGACGGCCATTTCCAGCTTCTCCAACACCTTTATCGACAATATCTTTACTGCGCTCTTTGGCATCGTCGGTATGTATTGGCCCCCCCCTTCGCGAGAAACAAGGTGTAGGTTGTGTAGCGATGCTAAGGCTAGTTGGGAACTAGGACTCGACGCCATTCTTATCCTCTCCATTGCGTGTCTCCTCAAGGAGCGCAAGGAGCGCGAGCGATATCGCCATATTGACGAGAAGAGTGGCTTCAGGCAGTTTTAGGAGCAGCCCCGGTCTGGCTCATGGTCGATAAACGTGGGCGGGTATTTCGCGATCCAGGTCCGGTGGGCTTCTTATACTGATGACTCTGTAAAGCGGTTTAAGTTGCATATCGTTGTCCGGGCATAATTAGTGTTTTTTTCTTGACTCATTGTAGACATGGTTAGATGCATGGTAGCGGTGCTTAGCGTTTTTAATATATTCTTGCTTTTGGGCATAGCCCTACCCTGTACCTGGTTTTATCAGTGACCTATTGCAACATCCACATTTACGGCTATAAATTTGCCTGTCGGAAGACGTTTTTCAAGCTGCGTCATTCTTTTCATCTTGAATACCGTTCTTGTACTCGCTTTCTTGGAAGTGCAGGGATTTTATGGCAGTCCTGTAACAAATCGGATGGTAGTCCGGGAGGCGGACACCGTCAACTCTCCGAGAGTCTGAGCCGTAGATCGCTACCCCGACTCGGTTCATCAGATAACATTGAACTCTTTTCTAGACAAGCGATGGCCGTCTCAGCAGGGACACCCACTGATAACCACAAGAAGCACACTACACGTCACTCTAACCCATCCGAGGTGACAGCTGTCAATTACTCAAGACCCTAAAATAAATTGCTTGTAATAAGTCTTCAGCACATGTATTTTGATGCTTCTTAACATGATGAAAAAATAAAAAAAAATGATATTATGCCAGAGGTGGAACCTGTTCAATGCCTTGCCCAAATATTTCTTGAACCCATTCAAGACTCCTCTCGTTGTATAAAGGTATACCCAATCGCCATGGTTCAAATATCTAATACGCCAGTCTAGTACGCCAGTTTCGCCTCGCCTCGCCTCGCCTCCGCAAACAACCAACGACGGCGTGTCCAATGCGCTACTTATACAGCCGAATCGTTGCCCGCTCTTCCCCGTTGACTCGGGGCATCGTGTTCGTCGTCGTCATGGTGCTGTCGTGATACATCGTCTGCCGTGAAGGAGCTGCTCATTGACCTTCGCATCTCTCGTCTTCTCAGCCACGGTATGGACTGGAGCCAGCCGCTCAGGGATCCTGATATGGAAGACTGCCGCTGTCGAATGTTCCGGCGCGCCACCAGACCGGGAAACCCTGTGCTCCTCCTCCTCCGCCTGCCAGGTCTGTGAAAGACGGGCTCGTTGCTTAGGCCAGCCTCGCCCGAAGCCGTAAAATTACCGCTGGCTGACCTCCTTGGAGGCAGCAGTGGAGATGATTCTGATTGTCCAGGTAAAGTTGCGGAACGTAACCGTCCTGTTGGAGTGATGGGTTCCTCTTGGTCTTCCAACTCGCCCCAAATCTCGGCCCTTTCTGCCCACCTAAACTCCTTTTTCGGGGTTGGTATGAGGACAGTGGTATCGCCGTTCGCAATTGTGAATGTCTGGTAACCCGACGAGCTGCTCCCTTCCTCCACAGCGACCTCTGAACTAAGCAAAGACTCCTCTTCGCCTTCTGTGTCGTCGAGGAGCCCCAGCCCCGGAGCTAGTGTTGACTGCCCGACGCCTGGAGCATGCTGTTCATCGCTAAGCCGCCACGAGAGGGCGAAGACGCCAGAGAGCAAGATGATCGTGCCGAGAGCAATGAGCCCGGCATGCAGTGGCGGAATCAAGCTCACCTGGTCAAAGTATATTAACCCGTCCAATATGGCGATGATGTTGTATACGCAAAACACAAGCGGATAAAGAACCGAGGTCGAGACTAGCTTTAGGCCTCGATGTAAGTAGTAAAGCTGACAAAGCGCCAGGGAAACCAAGCCGAGAACAATCGCCCACGACTCCCAATGAGAAAACTGATTGTCGCCGCCAATGGTTTTGATACACAGTTCCACAGCTGACTTGGCGAAGAGCAGCGCGTGTGCAGATAAATCTCCGCTGATGACACCGTATATAATGCCACGGGCAAGCCTGAATCGAGAATTGTGTGATATGCTGGACATGCTATTGACAACATCGGTAACCGTGCCGAGCCCCACGACGAATAGAGCCTGCAATGCCATCCAAGCTATAAAGGGCCCTCGCCGCAGCAAGACGAGTAGGCCGTTCAAGTCGTGAGCTGGGGACGGAATGGCCCCGAATATCGCAATCAAGACGGCGCCGCTCGTCACCAGGAGGGTACCGCAAAGAGACCATCGCGTAAACGGTTCGCTAAGGATCAAGGTCGCACATATAGAGTTGAAGACGAGACCGGCGGCTTGCAAGGTGGAAAGCACTGGCAACGGCAGCGTGGAAATCTGCACTGTACTGCCCAAGAGATTCGCCACGACGAACATTCCCATCCCCAGCTGCCACCTCCGCCTCCGGTATGGCGGTCGCTGAATATCATGCGGTCCCTTTTCATCTTCGAGAATATGCGACTTGCGCTGCAAGGTCAGCCCAAGACTCTGGACGCTGGTCGATATTAAGCCGACAAGGATTCCCAGCTACACCAACACCCGTTAGCATATAGTCGTCAAGATGGAAGAATGGCAAGGCCTTATCCCTGGGTATCGCATACAGCTATACTCCCGCCAGGGGAGATGCTCCCCGTGGTTCTCATCTCGCGGCTGCCGCAGGCACCAGCATCTGGCGGTGGACGACGGCACGGATGGCACTAATCGATTGCATAGAAGTTGCCCGCCTGTCGCCTATGAACCGCTATCGAGTGTGACGGGTTAGGCAATCATTCAAGAAGGGTCGGAACGGGAATCTCTTCGGTCGGGTTGAGGCCTGCGTGAAGCACGAATGTTGGGTTGTTGTAGCTATGCAGACAGCGGCACAGAAACGAGGTTGCCAGCACCTCGATAAAATCCGGTATGTAGCCCAGGCTGTCGATATCACGATACACTATGCCGTTGGTCGAGCGACCCGAGGGAGAATGGCGAGCTAGGGTGTGCCTGTTTTGTGTTAAGAGGGTTATGATGCAGAGTGCAGGATGCCGAAAGCCAACATCCGACTGACATCAGGATGAGATCGATCAAACAGGGGCACCTGGGGTCTAGCATCGACCTTTGAACGTTCAATGTTGGGCCGATGGGGACAAGGGCCTATTGTGCCAGCTACGGAGTACGGGCTCTGGGGCCTGGCGGTGGTGCAGACATGCAGGCGGAAAGATGAAAGGCCAGCATCAATTGACATCGATGCTAAGACCCCCCGAGCCAAACGGTCTGCATGTGGTCCATGTCGGTTCAATCATTGATGGTCTGGTGCCTTGGACAGCCTGAGGTCAGGGTGCACGCACCTGAAGCAGACCACTGCCTGGGCGCTAGCAGGCGCTTAACGCACTAAAGCTACTAGTGGATTAGTGACCACACGCTCGCATGCTGTCCCGTGGTGAACGGTACCCCTTTCATCTTCGCACAAGCGTGGCTGGATGCCTATTGGTCCAAGTCATGTGATGCACGTCATGTGCATTTGCGCTCCGTAGCGGGGTGCTGTCTTTCCAAACGTGTCTGGTGTGGCTGGTCACTTTGTGGCTTGAATCCTGGTCACCGCCCGAGGCTGGTGATCTGGATCGAGCAGCTTTCGTACGAAGTAGTACTCCGTACAACGCAGGAGCCAGCCAAGCTCTCTCTGGCTGCACCCGTAGCGTCACAGCTGCCTCCGGCTTCAACGCACCTCCACTCTCCAGCCAGACGACATCCCGTATCCCGCGGCACATCATCCGACTTCCTCGAGGCCAGCCAGCTAGCAAGTATTGTAGCTGCTTCATCCCATCTTGCCGCCCATCTCTCTCCCGCAGAGGCATAGACAACCCCTCACAACCTCGCCCAGCATGTCGCAACACGCATTGTCCGACCAGCAGGTACGCAGTTCGTCCAGCGTCATCAAGCACCATGACGCATATATCATTTACATCCATTTCTGCATTTTCCCACTACAGCGCATACCCCCTCACCACCCGCAATCATACTAACAGCACAATGCTTTTTTCATCATGTTCAGGTCGACAATGAGCTCCGCAAGATGACAGCGTTCATCAAGCAAGAAGCCATGGAGAAGGCCCGCGAGATTGAAATCAAAGCCAATGAGGAATTCGAAATCGAAAAGTCCAAGCTCGTCCGCCAAGAGACCGACGCCATCGACATCCAGTACGAGAAGAAGTTCAAACAGGCTACCATGTCGCAGCAAATCACCCGGTCCACCGTTTCCAACAAGACGCGGCTCAAGGTCCTCAGCGCTCGACAGGAGCTCCTCGATGACATATTCCAAGAAGCCCAGAAGAAGCTGGCGGATGGTGCCAAGGATAAGGCCAAGTACCAGAAGGTCCTCAAGGGTCTTATCCTGGAGGGCTTCTATGCTCTGAATGAGCCGACACTGCAGGTCCAGGCCAGAAAGAAGGACCATGACGTTGTCAAGAAGGCCATCGACGAGGCTGCCAAGGAATACAAGAAGGAGGTTGGCCAAGACATTGAGGGAAAGCTTGATGAGGCGAATCCTTTGCCAGAGGGCTCGTATGTGCTTCCCCCCCGGTTTCTTGAGTAGTCATGCCCAAACTAACCAGTTGGATAACAGAGCTGGAGGCGTCATCATCCTCAGTGGCAGCGGCAAAATCGACATCAACAACACCTTTGAGACGCGGCTGGAACTTCTCAAGGACTCTGCTGCTCCTGCCGTCCGAGAAGCCCTGTTTGGCAAGAACCCCAACCGAAAATTCTTTGATTAAACTAGTCGTATGTCACGGTTGAATGGGAGAGGAAAACGCAAATGTAGTACCTCGCTCGACGACATGTACCTCATTGGGCATTGCCGAGCGACCTGTTTACGAATGGCCTGTTGGTGCGGAAAAAGCGCCGTGTTCACAGTAGCATCAGAGATTTGCATTGTTGTCTTTATTTGTGTCCAGTCCGTGCGATCGTAGCTTAGAGGCTGTACTATAAACTTGATATATCTTGATTGTCCATAATGTCTAGACTGGGTATAAGCTCTCGTTTCCTTCAACGCCTCGTTTCTTGTTGCATGACACACACAAGGTTCCTAAATCATAGTCATAAATCATACATAGAATAGTTATCCCCCGGCACACACGATGGTATACTCGTCAATCTCGAGAGAAGACACCTAATCTTCTGCGCATACAATTGTGTCTGGCTCCGTCTCGGCAGCAGGAGGTTCCTTAACAACCGGCGACCTCGCCGGCTTCTGCAAAAATTTCTTCATGTAGTCCCTCTGTCTCGGCAGAAAAGGATCCTCACTCAACTCGGGAAGATAAAACACGCTCTTCCTGGCATTTCTTCGAGTCCGCACGCTATGCGACAGCCGCTTCTGCACCCACTCGACCACACTCTTTGCCTCGGTTCTTGCCAACTTCATACCAGAGTCGTTTGTCTTTCTCCAAATTTCCTGCAGCATGCCCGCTAGTTCGTCCACCTCCTCATTGAACTTTTTCTCGTCTTGGACGTTGTTAAATTTGACGACGGAGCCATCGTCGATGGCTATGTCGAGAAGAATGATGCTGGCGCGGAGATCGGAAAAGTCTGTCTTGGGGGTGATTGTGAAGCTGTCGGTGTTGAGGATGTCGATGATGCCACGGAGGGTGACGACGTCCTCCGAGTTGCTGCGGGCTAGAGAGTCGTCCTGGAAGAGTGTTGCGACGGCCATTCTCCTACGCAGGTCATGCACCCGTTTGCTGGAGATGGGGAGACAAAGAAGAGACGTGGCTTTGATGGTGCGATATTCTTGGCCCCAGCTGAGCAGAGAACAAGTTTCGAAGCACTGTGCTTTGTTAGACAAGCCCCCGGCAGGCAAGAGTAGCGATAGCGAGGTTTTTGCTTACAAAGTTGTTCCACAGGGGACTTGGCAGAGCGCCGATGAGTTCCTGGATTGTATATTCAAACTCGGCCAGGACCTGGATGTTGCAGATCAAAAGTTTATCCAATGTTAGTCGGAGAAGTGTCTGAGTGGCATATTCTGCCGCCTGTACTGACAAATGGCGGGCAATGAGTCCAAGTAGCGAGATGAAGGACTGGAGGCAGGACCAGTCACGGCCCTCGTACGGTTCGCGATCAAGTCTGGATACAGTCAACTCTGGATGAAGACCCGATTCTCTGGAATCTTGCGCTCCGAGCCGTGTGAATAACTGTCGTAACCGTTCGGGTGTTACCAGACGCTCAACTTGTTCTGCACAGCTAGCCACCATGTTACAGTATTCCTGCCTCACAATAATCGAAGGGTGCGTGCACAACGAGTCCAACATCCAGTCGAACAATGAATCAGGGAGGTCCCCGTTTTTGCGCAGGCGCAAGATGGTCTGCGGTAGCCCTGATATCAAATGCTGTTCCCTTGCTTTAGCATTGCCCTGCGTCAGGAGATTCCACGGAGATTTTCTCCCGAGTTCTGGAGCCCTAGGGGCAGACGGTGCCTTGTACTCCTCCTTGAAAAAGAGATATCTCGGCTGTGCTTGCGAGGTACCGGATCTCTCAACAGCCCGGAGCACCTTATGGGCATTCTGCCCTCCATTGTCTTTCATAATCCCGGCAATAGCATCACTCGTGGACAAGGACGAGGCATTCTCCCCCTTTGCCTGGGCGGCATTCGTAGCTTCCTTCACTTTTAGCGAGCTCGCCGTCGTGGCATCATCCCGCCGTGCATCCTTTGCAAGAGCCTTCATGTCAAACTTGTGTCTTGGCATGATGGCCAACGGCGACGCGGGGAACTCGACAGCCATTCTTTTCGCCCTTGGCGTAGCATACGGATTATGCTGGGGCTTCTGTTCCGCAGGGACTGCATTCTTGGTTCGGTTGAGTAAACAAGAGAGGTCTTCTAGCGAGTCGTCTGAGAAGTCGCCGTCGGATTGTTCGTCGTCATCGGAAGCCCCTATTTCTACTGGCCCTCGTTTTTGAGGCGTGACAGGCCGCTCTGGGGATGAGGCCAGCGGAGAGGGAGAGGGCGACTCCGGAGTTGGGCTTCGGGGACGTGCTGGTGGTGGTGAGGGCGGTCGTTGTGTGACGGGTTTGAAGAAGCGCAAGATGTTTCCACTCCCGCCTCCGCTTCGAGGTTTCTTATTTGAACCTGTTGCTGGCATGGCGACAATGTAAAACGCGTGCCTTCTCGGGCCTGCCGCAGCCAACGTCGAGTTGTATTCCTTGGCTATGTTGTGCTCGATGTGCTTATTCCGGTAAAACAAAATCCATTTGACCTGACGTCAGGCACTTTGAGGATGCAGGGTCCAGGTCGCGTCTCAGAGGTGGCCACCGCGTCGAGACCCAATCAGGCTAGTTTGTGCTGTTGTGGCTCAAGACCTTTCGATTTTTCAACCCAAGTTGTTTGTGTGAAACAGCACTGGGTTCAGTCAACATGTGCTCGTGCTGCCTTGTTAGTTCTACAGGTTCTTGTGGGTTAATCAGTTCTACTTCGTACAGGCATAGCTTTTGCCCTTGTTCCAATATTCAGTTGCACGTGATTCGGCAACATTGCTTGACTCCGCGGACTATTCAACAGATGCACGATATTACGGAATGATATATTTCAGTTATCACGCAAGCCGTAGGCGATTTTGATACGAACAATGGGACTGTAAATATGTATTCTATGCTCTGCCGGTGCATCACAATACAGCCGCTTTAATCAACTCATGCATTGATCTTGGGTATGGAACCCTGAAACATGGAAATTACAGAGCTGCATTCCAGCTCACACTTTCGCCTTGACGAGTTCGTCGAGTAGTATGCGAATGCCCAGCCATGCATTAAGTTGACATGGCCGCATCAATATTGATTCTTGGGCCGTGTTGGCACGGCTGCCTGCCTGTCAGCAGGGCCATCATAGTCAGCTGCAGGGAGCTCATTTTGATCGACATTGCTACCGTGACAGTAGGCTTCATTCTTTGCTGTGGTTCCAACAATCCCCCCCCTTTCAAACACGACATGACGTTATGCTTGGTCAGTGATGTGGCTAGTTCTCAGAGCACACTGCATGTGTTGCACGGTTATATAAAAAAGCATCGTCTCTGCAACTGGTGGTGCTACTGGCACCGAAAGATTGTTAGCATTACTATGTGTGCACTCCGTGGGTCCAACATTATTCCTCCCCTCGAGTATAATCATATGTCACATAATTCAGCAGATGACTTCTTCTAGCCAATACACAAGGCGTGTTGGACTTTCCTAGGATCAGGGACAAAGAGGCAGGGGTAAACGCCAAGTTTCACAGTGTATTATCGAAACACTGTCATGACTTTTGCTTGCAGAAACTCATCCTAAGACAATGGAGTACACTACCCCACGTAGGAGGAGTTCGAAGATCTGGGGGGCAGAGACGAAGTGCGCGCTAGGGTGGTGCCAGACATGATGAAAATCACCAAGTGGCGCGCCGGCGCGTTAGGATTATACCGCGGACCGAATATGGTAAGCGTGGAGTCTTCATCTAGTCATTTAAGCGTTTTTATTTGGATGAACCGTAGCCGCTTTGCTCTGAATAGTATCGACAGGAACCTACATAGGTTGAAAAGCACCAGACACGCAATATTGTGAATATCATACAGGAGCAGGGTGGCAGGCGGCACGAGTGGAGACGGTCCCGTAACTCCCTGCGCCAGACTGCGCTAGAGGGGCATTTGCGACGAAATGGGCCGGACTTCCAGACCTTGACGGAAGGCGCGATTCAAATCTACGAGATGTTAACTGCCTCTAAGCACCTAGGTAGGTGGTTACGGAGTACCTAGTAGTTCATTGCATCCAAAGGAACAGTTCATGTGAAGGGAAGGTGCATTTATTGGCTGGACAGCGAGAGATTGTCTTTTGTTTGTCTGTCCACTCTCAGACTGAGAGACTGAATTTCCATTGAGGGCAGCATCTCCACCCGGTCAGCAGCGAGATCATCGATAATTGCATTGATGACTGGCAGCTCCCTTCCTTTCACGTACCTGGGCGCTCTCTGCTCCTGCTACGTGTCCATTGAACATCGCAGCTAAGAAGTGGTGAGTGAGGCTGAGCCTCTCTCCAAGCAACCCCAAGCAACTAGGGAACCTGGACCAACATGAAGCTGGTTTGGCCCCCGTCAGCCACGAACCTGTCTCATAGCCTGTTGCAGCCTTGATGTCATGCCAAAAAAAAACACTTCCGCCAGTCTCGAGCACTGTTCATCAGGCTTACCTAGGTACGGAGTACTCCGTACAAACTTGGAAAACGAAGAATTGGACACGATCGCCCAGGCTGCCTCCAGGTTACACCATGCACACAGCCGTCAGCACACCAGAATATCCATGCGGCTGGGTTGGCCAACAATGAGAGTTTTGCAGTGGTCGAGATTGGCAATCTCGCTGTTACGGATGTAGAGGGTTCCCGTGTCGCCGCTTGATGCCGGACAACCATCTGGTTGGCGCCTGCATCGGGAACATCTTCCCCCACCGCCACAACGCACAACGGAGCAACCGGTACGCAGTCGGGCCCCGAGGCGCCACCAACGTCGATTGCTGTCAAACCAGGGGATGAAAGAATGACAGCAGTCCGAAGGAGAAGGATTTGCGGTCGGGAGTCACCAGGCCGAAATTGGAGCGACAATGGAAATAGGATTCGGCACAGGAATGCATAACGGCTGTAGCGCGCTGGGCCAAAGGATGCGAAGAGTGCACAATGCGCGAGTGTCTCATTTGCACTTTTCCATACCGGGAAGCGAGTTTCATTGTAAGCAAAATCCTCGAGAATAAAAAGGCAGGGCTCAAATGGCAAGTCTGGCTAAGCCAGGGGCGTTGCTGCCTCAAGCGAATGACCAGCTTGACCCCGGCCATCCAACGAGAACCAAGACTGGAGAAGCCATCGGTTGGCATGCGTGAACCGCGTCCCTGGTTTGCATTTAAGGGGCTCTTGAATACCTGTCAGGGGCGAGACAGGTATGACGGGATGCGAGCGGATGCTCATGTGTGCCAATGCGTGCCCAGGCGCGCTTGAACGGAGTGGGCAATAAGGAAGAATGACTCAGCGAGAATGCAAGAAGGGCATCGATGCCATTGCCAGGCGGTGATGCCGTGGGCTGCCCGCCTCGTTACCACATCATCATCGGTTCTGTGGCGCTTCGTGTACACTCAACAAGGCTGGTAAATGACTTGCTGCACTTGCAAAAGCAAGCTTCCAACGTTCCAGCAATTCACACAAAAGGACGGATGCTAGTAATTAGCCAGCCCACCATGACCTCGCCGCCAAGGTTGTGGCTTTTCTGTAAAGGCTTGACCCGTGGCGGTTGTATTTCCAATCGATGAATCGGTTGACTGGCTCTGTAGTGGTGCTGACCAATGTTACAGGACATGCTGACAGCCATTCTGGGCCAACGGTATGGCGCAGTATACGGGAATGCCTCCGAACTTGCTTGCTTTCGCGATAATTTGCTATTTTAAAATTGCCGCTGACCGATGATGTTTCTGCCCATAAGCCACCGGCAAACACATTCGGATCAGCACACCTTGCCCCGTACACAGCCGTCACCAACCATGGGCTATGGACGCCTTCCTACTCGGCACAGCGCTGAAAACTGCGGTAGATGCTTTGCAAGATAGTATCTAGAAATATTGTTACAGTTGACAAAGCCTCTGTGGGGACTTTGCGAAAACTCGGTCGGATGGGCCGGGAACTAGCCTCGAAAAATTACCCGCAGAGGCCGCTTAAGTGGGTGAGAGGGGGGAACACTGACTGGCGCCCCGACGTGGCCGACGATGCTCATGTAACGGCTTTGCGCACGGAGTTTGAGTACAGTAACTGCTCTTTTGACATGTCGAATGCCACAGGCGGCCATTGCACACTCCGCTCTCTACTTTACACAGTCGGGAGTAGTAGTAACTATTATTATGTCCGTCAGAATGGGCAATGCCTCGTCAAGCCGGCCAATCCGAATAGCAATAGCCATTGGTGGTTTACTCCGCCCACCGTCGGCTGTCTGGGTGGTACATGTACCCATGCCCCTTGCCATGCCACCCATCTCTTCCATGTTACCACCAAGCAGGGCTGGGGCTGACAGGTGCCGCGGCGGCGCTCCAGCCCGTCAACATCAAACATCGAACATGCTGCACCTCGCGGCGACGAGGCTGGCTGCGACTCGCGAGTCAACTGGCGCTTCGTACTTGAGCACGAAGGACATGGACATGCAGATATGTCCCAGGCATTGATGCAGAAAGGGCCAGCGCCTCAATGTCGGTTGACTTAATAGCCAAGCCGTGGCGGATCAATTGATCGCACTTTGTGAGATGCTGGTTCGAATTATTGAACACAGCACTGACAAAACAGGAAACAGGGGGCTGCAGCGCGCTAAATGGCAGCACTGCACCTGCGCATTCAGGTGAAGACCGTGTGGTCCCCAAGGTCCGCGTACCGACACGCGAGTGTTTAGGTACTGAATACTCGATATTTGATGATCAGGCCGCGTGATTTCTGTGTTTGGGGTACTCTGAAGCAAGCGTCGAGGTACTTGGAAACCCACCCCCATGGTCCCAAGTTGGCAGTGCCGTAAAGTCCGGACACGCTGGAATAACGGTGCACCGGGCTTGAAGGACCAGCCGCACCAGACGCCGCCCCATACAATCAGATCGCTGACAGATAGAGTGCAATACTACGTGTACCTGCCGCCAGGGGCCACTCCCCGTGCCAACAGCCAGCTTGAGGCCGCGCCAGTTAACCCCCATGTGCCAGTAGACTTGACTCCATGCATGTGCTCACGGGCCCGAAATTGCGGCCTGCCCGTTTCCCATTGCTCCCGCCTGGCCACCTTGCACTCTAAACTTTCTATGGAGTAGTTGGCACTTAACTCCAACAACCAGCCCTCTCCTCCTCACGACGTCGACGCCGCCCTTGAATCCGTCAAGTCGACCCTCAGCCGTCGAATTCTGGCGCTGCTTCGTCTGTTTGCAGCTGCACCCGTTGTGGCCTTGTTTCGCGTCGGCCGCGCTGAAGGTCCCGTACTCTAACTCGCCCTCACGATTTCTCCCACGCCCCCCACGATCCGCATACTGGCTGGTGTTCCCGGGTTGAACGGGCATTCGCCCGCAACTTCACGCTGACCATGACCCCCCCAACGAGCCCAGAGCCTGGCCACGATGCCACGTTATCAAAGGTCCAGACGCAGAGAGCACGATGGGCGACTCGCAAGATGACGGTGAAAAGCAGCCACACCAAGCGGCTGTCTCTCCTGAACCGCATGCACAAGCGAACTCAATCCGAGAAAAGCGTTGCCGGAAGCGATGGAAACGGCGCGCCATTCGACAACCGCGAACCCCATCATAATGGCGGCGAAAACGAGCATCACAATGACAACCCGCAAGATGAGGCAGACGACGACGAGTCTGATGAGGAGGACTCGACTCGTACGCTGTACTTCAACCTGCCTCTCCCTGACGACATGCTCGAAGATGGCCATCCCATATATTCCTTTCCCAGAAACAAGATCCGCACCGCAAAATACACGCCGTTGTCTTTTGTTCCCAAGAATTTGTGGTTTCAGTTTCACAATGTGGCCAACATCTTCTTCTTGTTCTTGGTTATCCTTGTCGTATGTATCTGAGGCCCTTCTCTCTGTGCTTCGTATTTACTTGATCCTTAATCACGCCTTATCGCAATCGATGGGTGCTAATCACCTTCTCCTGTAGATTTTCCCCATTTTTGGTGGTGTCAATCCGGGGCTGAATGCCGTTCCCTTGATTGTCATTATTGTCCTCACAGCAGCGAAAGACGCCATAGAAGATTACCGGAGGACCATTTTGGACATCGAGCTCAACAATGCCTCTGTCCATAAGCTGCACAACTGGAACAACGTCAATGTGCAGGAAGACAATGTATCAACCTGGCGACAATTCAAAAAGGCCAACTCACGGTTCTTTGGGTCTATCTGGCACGCCATTGAGAGCCTATGGTCCAAGAAGGCCAGGAAGCAGCGAGCTGAGCGAAAGGAACGCCAACAAAATCCCGAAATGGAAGAGGAGGGCCGACCCTCCATAGAAACGGTTCGAACACGGAGATCAATTCGCGATTCCCTCGCCTCTCCTTTCGGCAACCGGGAATCGTTTGTTGATGCTCAGGAAGAGATCCAGATGACACCAGTACCGTCCCCGACGCCTGCAAATGGAGTTCCCCACATTCGATTCCCTGACGAAGAGGATGCAAAGCGTGCCGCTGCTATTCAGGACATGAAATCCGACCTGATTAATTACATGAAGCCATCCAAAGGCGCGCGTTTCAAAAAGGATACCTGGAAAGGCCTCCAAGTTGGTGATTTCGTGCGTATTTACAACGACGACGAATTGCCCGCCGATATCATCATCTTGTCCACGTCCGATCCAGACGGAGCCTGTTACGTTGAGACCAAGAACTTGGATGGTGAGACTAACCTGAAGGTCCGACAAGCTCTCCGTTGTGGCCGATCGATTAGGCATGCCCGTGACGCCGAGCGTGCTGAGTTCAAGATTGAGAGTGAAGCTCCCCACCCTAATCTCTACAAGTATAATGGAGCTATTCACTGGCAGCAGGTTGTACCGGGATATCCGGATGATGACCCCGAAGACATGACGGAGCCTATCACCATTGACAATCTTATGCTTCGCGGCTGTAACTTGCGCAATACTGAGTGGATTCTTGGTGTCGTTGTTTTCACAGGCCATGACACGCGAATTATGATGAATGCCGGTATTACGCCGAGCAAGCGCGCCAGAATTGCCAGAGAGATGAACTTCAACGTCATCTGCAACTTTGGAATTCTTCTCATCATGTGCCTTCTTGCCGCCATTGTGAACGGTGTTGCTTGGGCCAAGACTGATGCTTCTCTCCATTTCTTTGAGTTTGAGTCCATTGGTGGAAGCGCCCCTATGAGTGGTTTCATCACCTTTTGGGCTGCCATTATTCTGTTTCAGAACTTGGTTCCCATCTCTCTCTATATCACACTGGAAATCGTGAGGACGCTTCAGGCCATATTCATCTTCAGCGATGTCGAAATGTACTATGCACCCATCGATCAGCCTTGCATCCCGAAATCCTGGAACATCTCCGACGACGTGGGCCAGATTGAGTATATCTTTTCGGACAAGACTGGCACGCTTACCCAAAACGTCATGGAGTTCAAGAAGGCGACAATCAATGGACAACCCTATGGCGAAGCATACACCGAGGCGCAGGCCGGTATGCAAAAGAGAATGGGTGTGGATGTAGAAAAGGAGGGGGCTCGTATTCAGGCCGAGATCGCTGAGGCCAAAGTCCAAGCCCTCGAAGGCCTTCGTAAGATCAACGACAATCCATATCTGCACGATGATGCTCTCACGTTCATTGCTCCCGATTTTGTCTCCGACCTGGCCGGAGAGCATGGCCAAGAACAGCAATCAGCTATCGAAGAATTCATGCTGGCATTGGCTCTTTGCCACACGGTCATTGCAGAGAAGGTTCCAGGTGACCCCCCTAAAATGACATTCAAGGCTCAATCACCCGATGAGGAGGCTTTGGTAGCTACAGCTCGTGATATGGGATTCACCGTTTTGGGCCACTCAGGTGACGGCATCAACCTCAACGTCATGGGCGAAGAACGCCACTACCCGATCCTCAATACCATCGAATTCAACTCTAGCCGAAAGCGAATGAGCTCCATTGTCAAAATGCCCGATGGTCGAATCGTCCTGATTTGTAAGGGCGCCGACTCAGTGATTTATTCTCGGTTGAAGCGAGGAGAGCAGCAGCAACTTCGACGCAATACTGCCGAGCATCTTGAAATGTTTGCTCGCGAAGGTCTTCGTACGCTCTGCATTGCTCGTAAAGACCTGACTGAGGAGGAGTACCGCCACTGGAAGAAGGAGCATGATGCAGCCGCATCGGCTCTGGAAAATCGCGAAGAGAAGCTGGAAAACGTAGCTGACATGATTGAACAAGAACTCTACCTTCTTGGCGGTACTGCTATTGAGGATCGTCTCCAGGATGGCGTGCCCGATACTATTGCCCTGCTTGCCAAGGCTGGTATAAAGCTTTGGGTTCTGACTGGCGATAAGGTTGAGACGGCCATCAACATTGGCTTTTCATGCAATTTACTCAACAACGACATGGAGCTTATTCACCTGAAAGTTGAAGAAGACGAGAGCGGGGAGACGGCAGATGACACCTTCCTCACGAGTGTTGAAAAGCAACTTGATCAATACCTTCAGGTGTTTGGCATAACGGGAAGTGACGAAGATCTTGCTTTGGCCCGAAAGAGCCACGAACCACCTGGCCCGACCCACGGGGTTATCGTGGATGGGTTTACGCTTCGCTGGGCACTGCACGACAATTTGAAACAGAAGTTCTTGTTGTTGTGCAAGCAATGTCGGTCAGTTTTGTGCTGCCGCGTTAGCCCTGCCCAAAAAGCTGCCGTTGTTGCCATGGTCAAGAATGGATTGGATGTTATGACCCTGTCCATTGGCGATGGTGCAAATGATGTGGCCATGATTCAGGAAGCCGATGTCGGCGTTGGTATTGCTGGTTTGGAAGGTCGACAGGCCGCCATGTCTTCCGATTATGCTATTGCGCAGTTCCGTTTCCTTCAAAGACTGGTCCTTGTTCACGGTCGATGGTCTTACCGGAGGCTGGCAGAGAGCATCAGCAATTTCTTCTACAAAAACATGGTTTGGACGTTTGCCATCTTCTGGTACGAGACCTTTTGCGATTACGACATGACATATCTATTCGACTATACGTATATTCTCATGTTCAATTTGTTCTTCACATCCGTCCCTGTTGCTATTATGGGTGTCCTCGACCAGGATGTATCCGATAAGGTTTCCCTTGCTGTCCCTGAACTCTATCGCCGCGGCATTGAGCGCCTGGAATGGACACAGAAGAAGTTCTGGTAAGTTGGAAACGTGCCTGTGGAAATAGCCCATTCGCTTGGGGGACCCGAGTGCTAACAACACCACAGGCTCTACATGGTTGATGGTGTCTACCAATCTGTCATGGTTTTCTTCATTCCTTACCTACTTTTTATTCCCGCTAAATCAGTGACTTTCAATGGACTCGGCCTTGAGGACAGGCTTCGATTCGGTGCATACGTTGCTCATCCAGCCATCTTAGCCATCAACGGCTACATCTTGATCAATACGTATCGCTGGGACTGGCTGATGCTTCTCATTGTGGTTATCAGTGATGTTTTCATCTTTTTTTGGACAGGCATCTACACCTCATTCACCTCGTCTGGCTTTTTCTACCACACCGCTGCTCAGGTTTATGGAGAGGCAACTTTCTGGGCAGTTTTCTTCCTTGTTCCTGTCATTTGCCTCTTTCCCCGGTTCGCTATCAAGGCACTCCAAAAGGTCTACTGGCCGTACGACGTCGATATCATCAGGGAACAGGAGCGTGCCGGCCTATTTGCTCATCTTGACAAAGGTGCCGCAGGAGAAGCCGACAGTGAAAAGAGCACTGGTGGGAAATCAGGGACCGAAAGCCCGAATAAAGCAAAGCGCATGACATATGGCAGCGTGGACGAAGACCTGCGACCGATATATCCGCCGTCGACGGCCACACGGACCACAACCCACAATCGAACGCAGAATGGCAGCGATTCGACAAACTACACAGCGAACCGCATGTCGCTCGACATCCCCGCTGCAGGTCGTCCTTCGATAGAGCGTGCGAGACCGTCATACGACCGAATGCGCATGTCAATGGATCGCGTCCGACCCAGCTTTGAGGCGAGTAATGACTTTACTTCGGCAGCGCGACTATCACGGATTGAATCGAGCCAGTCTCACTCTCAACAACCCCAGGGCGGTCGGTTCAAGGCAAGACTTCGTGGACTGTCCTTGACCAAGAGTGCACACGTTTAGGGGTCTTTCGAAATTGGTCGGCGACGGCCATATCCCTGAACAGTTACTGTATATTTCTTGTCCCGACTGGCGTCGACCTCTGCGTGATACCCCCTCCCACACGCTCGCCAGGGTGTGCGTGCCAAGAGAATCCATCATATACCCGTTAGAATACGAAACACAGCAGGGCCGTCATCATCCATGGGTTTTAATGATCTGCATGAGCGATCTATGAGTTTCTGACTCTCACTTGACTTTTTTCTTTTAATGCTTTCCCACAGTCCATTGATGACAAACATTCACACAGCACCGCTTTTACATCACCCACATCCGACCAAAAAAAAAGCGATAATTGGCGGCACAACAAAAGAGTTTTTTTCATTGCACTGTCTTAGCTGTTTGGGAACAAATTTATCTTTGCAAGGCGTTCTGCGGGCTGGAGCATAACGATCCTGATTGTTTCTTGCGTTACACTATATATTTTTCTCGCCTTGTTACACCTAGAGTTTTTCTTCTTTTTTTTATTTCTACGCGAGAGATGGGCAGGCAGGAAGGGAGGGCAAGTGAGGGCTCCGTCCCGCCTGAAGTATCATTGTTTTCCTTGTATTTTGCCTTGGCATGGCTTTCTTCGACACTTGTCTTGATTCACTCTTGGGAGGCAGCGGAGGCGCGATATAGAGAATTATGGAAGGGTGTTTATGCTGCGATAAAGGAGGTGGCAGCCCGAAGGAACCCTGGATATGGTGTGCTGTACATGTGAATATTGTATTTTTTTCTTTTTGGAGAGGAAAAGAAGTATAGATATTGATCATAGCTGACGTTTGACGTGACGATGTGACTGTAACGGGTGAGCAAGGCAGCACGCACGGTTAGTTGCTACGTTCAGCATATACAAGCTGCAGCATCAGCTGTATGTGGCTCTTGGCAAGTAAATGAGCCATTAGCTTGTAATGCACTGGAACAGTGCGGCTCTGCGGACTGCGTGCGCAAGTACTTGAGCATTAGCGGTGTTATCTGCGAAGTAGCTATCTACTTAAGTAGCTAAGTTACACAGCAGATTTGAAGTCGCCCACATTGAAGTCTTCATGTCAGCCCCACATGAGCTCTTGGTTGGTGGTCGAACTTCCCACCTGTCAGCATTGAATTCCACTCACAATCCAGACCTCTCTGCACCCTCGAGTATCAAAGCCTGCTATGCCATTGTGCAAACACCAACTTCTGCAGTTGCCGTGGCCGCTCAGAATCCGACAGAAGAGCCGTGCACTTGTATCTCGGGAATACTTTTCAACGGCTCAAGCCAATGGAGACCCTCTCCCTGGAGCGGCTGGCGTCGCGGTGGTACGACTTCAGCGACTATACGACGCAGAGACTTGACATTTCGTACGCACCTCTCCAAACCTCTCGTCCAGCTCTTCCTTCCGACGCAGTTACTAACTACGCCTGAGATTCACAGAACAACAACCCTCCAGATCGGGTGCGCCGTAGCCGCCATCCTCATCTCCTCCATCGTAACGCGCCTCCTCGTCCTCGCCCACGCAAACTCAAGCCCCCGACCCGTTCGATACCGCGTCCCTCCCCCCAAACTCCCGGAAACCAAGACGACAGTTGAGCAGACCAGCATCAAAATCCCCGGGACCTCGGCCATCCAATGCTACGCCCCTGCCACGGGCCAATTCCTCGGCCTCGTCAACCCCTCCACGCCAGACGGAATCGACCGCGCCGTCGCCGCCGCGTCCGCCGCCCAGCAGGCATGGCGGCAGACGTCGTTTCGCGAGCGCAGAGCCGTCCTCCGCTCCCTCATGCAGTACGTCCTGGACAACGCCGAGGACATTTGCAGGATCGCAGGTCTCGACAGCGGCAAGACCATGGTTGACGCGCAGCTGGGCGAGATCCTCGTCACGGTCGAGAAGATCCAGTGGACGCTGCTGCACGGCGAGAAGGCGCTGCGGCCCTCGCGCCGGCCCACGAACCTCCTCATGGCGTACAAGCGGAACACGGTCCACTACGAGCCGCTGGGCGTGGTCTCGGCCCTCGTGTCCTGGAACTACCCCTTCCACAACATGATGGGCCCCATCATCGCCGCCCTCTTCGCCGGCAACGCCATCGTCGTCAAGGTCTCGGAGCAGACGGCCTGGTCGAGCGCCCACTTCGCAGAGGTGGCCCGCGGGGCGCTGGCCGCCCACGGCCACGATCCCGCCCTCGTCCAGGCCGTCGCCTGCTGGCCCCAGGCGGCAGGGCACCTGACCTCGCACCCGGGCATAAGCCACATCACCTTCATCGGCTCGCAGTCGGTCGCGCACCACGTCGCCGCCAGCGCGGCCCGGAGCCTGACGCCCGTCGTGGCTGAGCTGGGCGGCAAGGACCCCTTCATCGTGCTCGACTCGGCCGCCGGGGACCTCGCGCGGATAGCAGAGGTCATCTTGAGGGGCACCTTCCAGGCCGCCGGCCAGAACTGCATCGGCGTCGAGCGCGTCATCGCGGCGGCCGGCGCCTACGACAAGCTCGTCGACATGTTGGCGCCCCGCGTCAGGGCGCTCCGCCTCGGCCCCGACGCCGACGTCGGCGCCATGATCTCGGACGCCTCGTTCGACAGGCTCGAGGAGCTCATCGCCGAGGCCGTCGAGCAGGGGGCCCGGCTCCTCGCCGGCGGCTCGCGATACAACCACCCCGACTACCCCAGGGGCCACTACTTCCAGCCCACCCTCCTCGTCGACGTCACCACCGACATGCGCATCGCCCAGCAGGAGTGCTTCGCCCCCGTCTTGACCATGCTGAGGGCCAAGTCCTCCTCGGCAGAGGACATGCTCGCCGTCGCAAACGCACCCAACTTTGGCCTCGGCGCCTCCGTTCACGGCTCCGAGCGCGATCCCGCCATGGGCCCCATCGTCCGTGGCCTCAAGGCGGGCATGGTTGCTGTCAACGACTTCGCCGCTTACTATGCCGTCCAACTCCCCTTTGGTGGAGTTGCCGGCTCTGGCTACGGCCGATTCGCAGGCGAGGAAGGCCTCAGGGGCCTGTGTAATATCAAGAGCGTCTGCGAGGATCGCTTTGCGTGGATGGGTATTCGGACCGGCATCCCCCCGCCTGTGCAGTATCCTGTGCCCAGCCAGAAAAAGGGCTGGGCGTTTACCCAAGGTGTTGTGGAGGTTGGCTATGGAGACGGTCCGAGAAAAGTCAAGGGCTTGGGCAAGATACTGGGAAACATGTAACCCTGCCACCATTGTAACTACAGCATCTTCTAAACTTGCCTTGTATATATCAAGGCCTTCATTAATGATCACTAATTAATGCATGCTCCCGAATTGCCAAAGACGGCGGTGGTCTTTTGACGCTCATTCCAGGTTGAAATCCGAAAATCTCTCGAGCTGGGAGGTTCTACGAGGGCACGGCATCAGCCCGCTTGGTCACATCTTGGTTGAATTTGCGAAACAAAAGCATTGACTAGCATTTACTCTGCGACTAGCTACCTGAGACCTGCTGTTACTATGGGCAAAGGTATGCCTGTGTATGACCTTGCGTAAAATCACAATCTCTCAGTCTCAATTCTCGATATTTGCATCAAAGACATGTCATACCATAACGTAAGACCAGCAACATGATTGTCCGTTGAGTTTTACCAACCGACAGACACAGTTTGAGCACCAGCTCCCCAACCGTTATTGGTAGGAACTGGAGCAGGCGCGGCAGGCTCACCTCCCCAACCGTTGCTTGTAGTAGCCGGAGCAGTTGGAGCAGCCTCACCTCCCCAGCCGTTGTTGGCATGAGCGGGAGCAGTTGGAGCAGTTGGAGCAGTTGGAGCAGCTGGAGCAGTTGGAGCAGCTGGAGCAGCTTTACCTCCCCAGCCGTTGTTGGCAGGAGCGGGAGCAGTTGGAGCAGCCTCACCTCCCCAGCCGTTGTTGGCAGGAGCCGGAGAAGTCGCAGCATCGGTGTTGGAATGGCCCCATCCAGAACCAGTACCATTTGTATCCTCTGCTTGCCCTCCTCCCCAAGAGTCGTTGCCCGAGGTACCATTGGCTTGCTCTTGGCCCTGTGCTTCGGCAGGGTCATAGTCAGACTCCGTCTCAAAGCGAAGATGAACCGCCGCATCCCCTTCTGGAAGATACACCTGCAGAAACTCTGGGACCTCCTGCTTTGTTTCAAGGAGGGTCCTAGTGAGAACGCTACCCATGGAATCATCATTCACAGGATCGAAGAAGGAGGTGGCCAACCCTCGATGCCCAATACGTCCCGTTCGACCTGGAAAGACAGTTAGAAATATCACTTGCATTTCTCAATAACTTACTTACCAATACGATGCGTGTACTCTTCGATTCCACCATGTTCCATGGACGGGAGGTCATAATTGATGACATGCATGACGTTACGGACATCAATACCGCGAGCAGTTACTCCGGTGGCAATGAGAATCGGCGCCTGGCCAGCACGGAAAGAACGCAGTGCGGCCTCACGTTCCTTCTGAGTTCGTTCGGAATGCATGGAGGTGACCGGGAGCCCCATGTTGTACAAGAAATCATCCAGATTGTCCACTTCTCTTCGGCTATTGGCAAAGATGATGGTTCTCACACCGGTCATTTGATTAAGAAGGCGAAGAAGGGTATCGCGCTTCTCATCTCGCTCTGTGGCCAGTATCACTTGCTTAATGTTTTCCGTTGTACTACCAGCTCTGCCAACTCGGAATCGGACATGAGCCGCCGACAAATGATCCTTGGCAAGGTCACGAGCAGCCTTGGGAAACGTGGCTGAGAAAAGACCGTACTTGACGTTGCCCTCGTCTTGTTCTGCATATAGATTGTCAGTCTGTCTTCTCGGATATGAACAAGAAATCACACCTACCTCCACCCGAGAGGACCTGGCTTAGTTCGTCGTTCCAGTCAGAATCCAGCATTTCATCAGCTTCATCGATGATCATATACTTAAGGCGACGAAGAGTTAAAATGTGCGGACGGGATATGAAATCCACTAGCCGCCCAGGCGTGCCAACAAGAATGTCGCATCCCTTGCTCAACAAACTGATCTGCTGAGCCGTAGGCAGGCCACCATACACGACACATGGACGTAGCATGGAGCGATAGCAGAATTTTCGAGCTTCGTTGAAGATTTGCACAGCTAGCTCTCGGGTTGGTGCGACCACCAAAACCAATGGCTCTGCCGTGACGGCATCAATGCCCTCACGGTAGGTGGCCGGGTTAGGGCGAGGAGCGGCCAGCTTTTTGGCCTTGCCCATGAGCTTGCTCAGAATGGGAATCAGGTAGGCAGCTGTCTTGCCGGATCCTGTAAATGGCGGCAGCGTTAATATAATTCGTTTGAGCCGATGAGGATAGTCTGTCGAGTGGTTCATTTCATACCTGTTTGGGCAATGCCGATCACATCATGACCTTGGAGCATTGATGGGATAGTGTATTTCTGGATAGGCGTAGGAGCGTCATATCCCATCAACTTGATGTTTTCCGCCATGACAGGATGCAACGCTGCGTCCTTGAAGGTACGAAGTGGCTGGATCCTGACAGGTCCTTCCTGTTCGACGCTGATCTGCTCAATCCTGGCGATGTTAGATGGATTTGAACCGATAGTGTATGATAAAACTTACTTGGAGAAGTCCAATCCCGCGCGATCGTGACGAGTCTCCGGGTCGCCGAAGAGCTCCAGCTCCAGGGCCTCAAACTTGGGCCCTACATCACCGAAGTCGTCGTTCCATTGATAAATCGGTGCAGATCCATCAAAATGCTCGACTTCTTGGCTGCCATCGCCATTCAGGGCCGAGTAGTCAATTTTTTGGGGTTCAACCCAGGCACCTGGGGCTGCAGGGGCAGGCTTGACCTGGCTCGCCATGGTATCTACTTGCAGTAGGCGAGTTCTAAGAGTTGAGTCAGTTTTCAGCCTCTGCGTGCTCGACAAAACCCAGCTGCAGCAGTGGTTCCAGTCGGATGTTTAGCAGAAGAAGCGTGGGAAGCTGCTGGAGCTCGCATAGGCTCAGCAAAGACATCAAAACGCAGGTTCAGGGGAGCAAAATAAACAGAGTGGTTTCTCACCTTGCTACGAGCTGCAACGATCTCAACGAATGGGGAAAAGAACGAGTGAAGGAGCACTTGATGTGATTGATCAGGTCAAAGCCTCTCTCTACCTACGTGAAGGCGGGAAGCATGAAAAAGGGAGGGAAGGAGGGAAGGAGGGAAAGAAGGGAAAGAAGGGAAGGAGGGAAGGAGGGAGGTGAGGAAAGTTTATATGTAAACACTTACAGCTGTTGGAGGTCTTGCCAGCTGGCTCGATGGATAAGCGAAATTCCGGCAGCTTCTGCACTCTACGCTTTCGAGCAGGACCTGGGCTGGCTTGTTGTAATAGCTGGCTCACAATTGTCGGCACTGCGGCTTTGTACTCAAGTTAAAATTGATGCGATAGAAAAATACCTGTCGCGTTCGCTTGCTGGTCTTGATCCTTTGCAGTCCTCAATGTGATTTGTATGCGATATATTTACGTTAGCTTAAGTAGGAAGCAAGCGAAGAGCTCCTCCTGGTCGCTTGTAGATTATATCTATTCATAATATTGGACTTTATGCCAACTAAATAGCTATCCAGAATGCAAATTGTCCATTCAGCGAACCCATTGGAGTTGCTTCTCTATTTTATATTTGCATGGATAACTTGTCGTTCAGAGGCATATTCATGCCGTGCCAGCGGCCCCTGGCGTCTTCTCGTCCTTGGTTTTTGCCACACGTGGGCCACATGTGCAGAACTGGCCCTGCGCCAGCAGGTGTAGCGCACATGGTGACAAGAAGCAGTTGACAGACAGCTGCCTTATGAGGCGCGCATATCTGCTGCACGTGCCGTAGTGATGACGGGATAGGCTGGACTGCGTTCCGTCCTACGTCAGTCTCTGCTGCCACGAGATGAACTCGTGTGCTGGAGTATGAATTGCAGCCAACACCCCTCACCATAAATCGAGCAGATCTTGTGTATCCATTGCAGTTGAAGGCTCAAAATCGGCCAAGCCGTCCTTCAAAACCTGCTCCATCGAAGAGGCAGCACGACCAGTAGCACCTCCTTCTTTCTTGGCTTTATCAAGGCCTTTGCTAATAGCATCAAGAAACCTTTTGCAGAATATTTCTTGCCGGGCCGCTCGATTTGAATACATCTCGCCTTCTTCATCACGACGAGCGCCAGAGAGATTGAGATATTCAAAGGAATTCGGCGCACGAGGCACTCTGTACAGAGCATCCCAGTATTGAGAAGAGCTCTCCACTTGGGACGATTCATCCGCGAATCCGGCTTGGAGAAACCGAGACAGTGCTGTGATTTGTTTGGCAAGGGTTTGAGCGTCCTTGGCCTTCATTGATGTGCGTGTGGCTGAAGTCCAACCCCCATTAGAAGAAGATACGGCCCAGCCCATCATTGCACAAAATGTGCCTAGAGTCTTAACCCATCCGCCTGGACAGTTGACCAGCTCGGAACCAGCTACCTCGAGTAGCCATTCCATCACGGCCAGCGAGTTGTTACTTATATCGGCGGACAAATGCGTCATTCCTGCCCGTATGTACATTGATGCGTGCTCCGTGCTATGCTTGATCTCGTCTCTTGGAAGAGTCTGAAGTAATTTCAAAAGCTGGGCCCGCACTGGTGTAGAACTGTCGGACACCAAGGGAAGGATTTTATTCAGTAGAGCAATGGTGCCAATGGGATTGGATGGCTGGTCGACAGATAGTTGGCTTGTTAAAAAGGCCAGGGAATCTCGGCGTTGTTTATCTGATCTCGATGAGGAAGCCAAGGACAAATTGTGCTTGAATTGTTGGACATAGTCCGGTGCATCCGTCGATAAGGATTGCTGTCCCACCACAATGGCTTTCCTCAATGATCAGCAGCTTGTCAACTTCAGTGCCAGGAGTATTGTCAAACCTTTGGACTTGAAGCTTGTGTCTGTAAAATTCGAAGCCTTTGGCTTTGTCTTCCCAACCTTATATTTGGGTTTCTATATTCTCTTTTCTTTAGTCGACTATTATTTTGTATCACGACTAGTGCAATTTTCATACCTGGAAGTCTTTCTGCTTCTCCTTCTTTTTCTTGGCACTAGAACCCATTCTGACAGCGGCTCAAGTAATTACGAAGACTTTTTTTGAAGCCAATAAATTTGACAGCCAATTCTCGCTGCGATGGACTATCTAGCGGTTTGGTCACGATGCTATTCGTGATACATATCGACAAATTGGGTTCTGTCTGGGGTTCGTCAAATTTTGGCGGTGTGTTTTGGCAGAACTCCGCCACTGTTGTCACCAGCCAAAGGAGTTCCCCACACTGGCCATGATCTGGTGATGTTGACTAATGGGACCTCCCAAGCTGGAAACGCGCCACCTCTTTGCCAAGACAGGGTCTGATTTCAGGTGCCTCTACCATGACAATGTCAGACTCTTCGACGGTAGGCGCATTTTTTGAAGACGTAATTGAATTAGAATCAAGAGCAGTGCTGACGGTAATTTTAGCTCAACGGCTACGAGGCCCTCGAAGAGAAGCTTGAGCGACTATTTAAAAAGCCAGGCGTCCGGGCGAGCATTGTTCTTGACAGAACAAGCGGCGCGATTCTAAAGACCAGCGGCGAACTATCAGCTCTTCGAACAGCAAAGGCTCGAGATGCGGCAACATCAGCGTCGTTCTCCAACGAGGCTCCTGCAGCGGACGCAAGTGAATCTCAAGGGGTTGAGGATTTCGCGGCGATGATTTGGAACTTTGTCAAAACGTCTGGCAATTTGGTGCAGGAGGTGGATTCAGAGGTCGCTCTACCAATTCTGGACGCAAACCGAATTCTTGGGCTAATGTCGGAACAGGATGAAATGCGACTGCTTAGATTACGAACGAAGAAACAGGAGATTGTCATCGTCCCCGATGCCAAATACGTTCTCACCGTTATTCACGACACGCCATCTGCTTGAGAAGTAGCGAATTCGCTGGAACTTTGTACATGATGCTAGCATCCAGAGATGAACGATGAAAAAGCGAATTTGAATAATGACCACGTCGGGGATATGCATGACTTGACGAGTTGGCGTATTGATATGACTGCTTTGCCGCAACGGATTGACACGGCGTACAGGATGAGTGATACCCCGCAGAAGTCGTATATGTAATTAGCAACGGATCTTGCATGGGAACAATGAACTATGGACTGCCCAGGTGCTGCCCGAAGCCCGAGTGGCTGGCGTTGGTGAATTGGTGATGTCTGGCTGACCCGTACCTGCGGCGTGAAGTGTTAGCTCTATGTGCACATTTTCGGCATAATGGGTAATCCGGTGGCGTTTCGAGGTGGTATAGGTTTTTGTATTATTTCGCATCCTCCGAGTAGCGGAGCGCATCGGTATGGAAGACATACTGTCCAGCTTTGTCATTTAGGAGGCGGATCCCAACAAAAGCTACATGCCCTGGGTTACCTAGGTAGGTACGTACATATGTGTAGCTGCATGATGTGCATTCTTTCAGGTCGGCACGGGTTTGCCAGCGGTTATCTGAGGCGATGGACGCCTACACACTCAACTCCAGATGACCCGATGCCAGATGCAGATGCCGCAGATGCCAGTCCGGGCGATTGGCGCAATTGGGACGAGGGGGGGATCTGTCACCAGAGCTGTCTGGTTCCCAAGCCGCGCCTGCTTTAGTAGATTGCGGGGAAAGCAAGAATAGGGGACCAGGGCCTGAACCATCCGCATTCAGAGCCCAGCCATGAGATCAACATTCGTCGACGTCTCTCACCTGCCCACCCACTCATCAATTCCTTGCTGCACGAGATCAACGGCCACTGCAATCTGGTTATTTTGTACGGGGCGCATTGAGCCATTATTCACTTGCTTCAAGCTCCTTGCAACGCATGCACCCTAGTCCATGCCGAGCATCTTGCGACGCTTGCAAGTCAACCAGAGCAATCAAAGGTCACGCCACTCACTCAAGTACGAAACCACGAGTGGGCGTCTGGGAGAAGAGGTCCTCGCACACCCGACCTGAACGTCTTCCTGCATCAGGGGGTCCATTGATTTCCGAGTTTTCCTGCCTGCTTATACGAGCTGCGAGAACGTAGGACCAACGATCCTTCTTTGCATTATTTTTTGGCTTCGAACAACGGCATCTGCCATTCTTCGATTCCTGTCGCCGGTGACCAGGGATCAATCGTGTGCCATCCTTACCCAGTCGAGTCCAGTCGAGTCACGAATCATCCGCACCCATTACCTTCTGGCCTCCCATTGCTCAACCCAGACACCCAACTGGTGGCGACACACCGGATTTGCATATTGATGGTGCGCGCGAATACGAATGCCCCAGTCTCTCTAGGCACTTTCATGGCTCACGGGGCAAGATCCCGCGGTGACGCTCAACAGCACAATGTCGACAACCTTGAGTGAGGAAGACATTGAGAAACTCTTCTCTGGAGCACCACAATTCTTTGCGCGGAACGAGAGCCACTTCTATGGTGCTCCCCATCCTAGCATCGCATTTCTGTTTGACGAAGAGCTTGAAATCAGAGACTTGACAGATCATGTTCAAATCGAGGACAAGGCCTGGGGTGCCATGACGGCTTGGCCACACTTGACCAGGGATGCCGAACATGATGCCGTTGCCAAGAGGCAGATACAGGAGAATCACAAGGCCCACTTCCATGTCAAGTGTCGAGAGCGGCCGAATATGATGAGCATGCAGGGAGTGGAAAAGGGAACCATGGGTTATCAGGCAGCTCTTGAACTTCCGGCAGGCGATTCCCTTGAGGAAGAGCAATTTGGTTTCGAAAGCCTCGGCACCAAAGCCAAGGTGATTGTGGAGGCCAGAGCTCACATGCTGTCGCACAGCGGAATGCTGCGTCGTATACCAGAGCCAGAAGTCCTAGATCGCCTCAGGCGAAATAGCGACATCTACCGGCACAACGACCTGAAGTCGAGAACTTGTGTGGATACGTACAAGGACCTCTTCCACAATTTCATGAGGCCAACCAACGCCGTTACTGACCAGGCAGACCACTGCGGCCTCAACAATCAAATTCGGGCGTTGCTAAAATGCCTCGGCGTTGCCAATGTCTGGATAGACTTTTCTCGCGTCGAATGGAGAATTCGCTTGGGCCAAGTGCTATGGGGGGAAAACGATGGCGACGAGCTGGACGACGACACAGCAATTCATGATACCGACGATGCCAAGGAGCGTGCTGAGGAAAAGTACTGGCTACTCATGCAAATTTTGCTTGCAACAGAGCTTCTGATCAGACTGGATGCCGTCACGGAAGGGATTGAGTACGGCGTGACTGGAATCAGGCCCATAGACGTCGTCCATTTTGAACGAGCAGCATCTCAAACTGTCAAATGGTCTTTACTCTTGGCTCGGAGTTGGCTCGACAATATTGAAATTGTCAAAGAGGACGATCCTTTACCTGTGCGACCTCCAGCCCCGCGGCGTGGGAGCAGCTGGCTCGGGGCGCTGGCCAGTAGAGTCACAAACCGATATCACAAAAAGAACGCGTCGCCGCCTTACCACTACACTATAAAGGGGCGCAACGGCGAACGTCAGGTTGAGGGCCTGACTCACTTTGCCAGGAACTTGATGTGGCCAGGAATAGACAGATACGAGACCAAAATTTCAGAAAACGCACAGAATGCAATCGAAGAAACTCCTGGGCGGAGGACCAGCTCACTATCCATAATATCCAGGCACTCATCAAATTTTGGGGCTTGGGACATTACATGTAACCATGGCAAACACAAGGGTCGTGCACAAGCCCAACGAAGAAGGCTGGCTGCTGCCCTCCATGAATCTGGTTGGTTGACCAAGTCATATGTGTTCGGCTTAATCATTCCCGGCGATTCCCTTTGTCACTATCTCATGGCCACGCTTTTGGAGAACGACACCGAGGCAATGGCGAAGCTCGGCCCCTTTGCCAATTTGTCTGGAGGTTTTGTATACTCGGGCAAGAGTTTTTGGAGCACAAGTTGCATTGTTGGACGTGTGCTCGCAGCAGGCAAAGGGGCAGCAGAATGCATGGGGTGGGTTTCAACAGACGTCCTCCCAGAAGATGTGGAGGATGGCTGGCTGACCATAGAGGTTGAAGATGTTGCTGGTGAGTTGACCCATTGTGCCATTGCATATTCCGTCGCTGATGGATGTTTTATATTAGACGATATTGCGCAGCTCGGCAAAAAAGCCAGGCTTTGGGGTAAGAAGAAGGTTGAGCGTGAATCATCCATTTTGGGCAACGGCAAGGAGAATTCCGTCCAAGCCGCGGACTTCATAATCCCACATGAAAACAAATACACCACGCCGCCTCCCACGGTTTATGTCGAGCTCCTATCTCTGGTCCTCACCTCGTCTCCCGAGCCCGTAGCGGCTACCCCGCTGTCAGAGATGGTGCCAACGCCGACTGTTGAGCATTGTACCAAATGTCCCGAATTGATTTCATATCCGGCAGGTTGCAAGTTCTTTGTCTCTATTGGCGGAAGCAAGGAGGAGGAGTACCAGTATCCGCTAACATACGATGTCAACTTTGTTACGGCCCATCCATGTGCCCCATCACAGAGGGTAAGGGTTGTGAGATCGCCTGTTTCAAGCCCGACGATAAAGCAAATAGATGGGTTGGGAGATATGATGGCTAATAATTCGAGGGCCTCATTCAGGACTGGTAAGGCTCCCTGCTCTCCCACCGCCAGTATCCGATGGCAGTATATGGTGCATCTGTCTAACTCGCACCAGGACACCCTTTGCATAAGTTTTACGAGTTTACCGTGATCCACATTTCCGAACTGATCAAGAAGCCACGCACGACGCTGTCGGAATTTCTCCGCGATCCTACTTTTGGCAAAGCAGGGTCGAACCGAGTGCTTGTCATTGACTGCATTACCGGGTTTGCGGAACAGCCAAAGTCGCCAGCCGTTGCAGAGATTATAAAGCCATCGTCATCACCGATTCTTGATCGAAAAGGCAGCTTCTCTGCGGCGGCGAGAATGCATTTGGAGTCTCAAAAGAGACAGTTTGGTTCCGACATGGAGATTATGGTGAGAGCGATATGTGCGCAGAGGGGCTGGAATGCGGTTATTAGTAGACGAAGGAGGAGTTGTTTGGCTTGTGCAATTCGGGAAGCTGGCGCATTGGCATGGAGAGTCATTATACGGGTACCGTGAATATCACGAAGCGAGGTTAGGATTTGGTGTATCAGGGCATTGCATTTAAAGCGATAGGCACGGGTTTTGAAGGATTTCCAGGTTATTGGTACGAGCATTCGGTAGCCATGAGTGTAATTTTTACATAGTAGTCAGACGCAATTCAACTCTCCAACCTGAAGATGGGGGGCTTCCCCGTGGCTTTACAATGACACGGAGTGTTTAGTTCTATTTGGTAGTGTGTTGTCAATTGCGCGTAGGGCGTAGGCGGTATTAGACGACCAGACGGGCGTGGTCTCCTCGATGTCCGCTCTGCGGTGGTGGCACTGGGTCTGGTGCGCGTGCGGACCCACCCAGCACTAGGCCGTCCGCCTTCGTGGACGGTTTTGCGGCTCTCTTGAATGTTGTACAGATAACTCGGTACCCCAGACGGCTGGTGAGAGCTTCAACACCATCCCTCTCCACCGCACCATCTCATCACCCAGCGAGCCATCATGGTGTCAAGCAAGGACATGCGACGACCGGACCTGAGTATGCTACCCCTTCCCTACGCCGCGCGCCTGAATCCCGCGTCCGAAACCGCCAATGGGCACTCCTGTTGGGCGGGCGCAAACGAACAATCCGTTGCTAACGTGGCGAATTCCGCAATTAGTCGTCCCCTATCAGGAGCCCGCCGCCTCGAGCGACAAGGCCGACTTTTCGTCTACAATCTCCTCCACGCTGCCCATGGCTGCCATGTTTACACGCAACAGATACATCGGATGGTATGTGACGCGACCAAGCAACGGTTGGATCTGACGGGAGGGCATTGCCGAGCTTTGCAAGGTCACACCTCTCTCCGCTGCGTGCAGGTGGCTGCCACTCTCTGCATGCGTCTCTACGGCGGGAGGCTACGTTTGAAACGAACATGAGAAAAACAATTTGGGAGCAGTGTAGCTGATGATGATGCTGGAACAGGGCGGCCGTCGTCTTCACCATCCAGAATTGGCTGGGTGAGAGTGAGGAGACGACCAAGAATTCGAGTACGCCCGGCGTCTTCTCCGTCCTCATGTCCGGTACGAACACACTCTTTTCTAGTTTATTCCCTTCCGCACCGATTTCACATGCATGATAGGACGTGCAAGCTAATGCTGTTTGGTAGTCATGGCTCTGGGCGTCACCTACATGCCGCTCTTCCTTCCGCCCAGCCGCAACGCCGCTGGCGGATCTAGTACCGAAGCCCCTGCGCCCATTCCGGCCTCATAACTTATTCCACGCGGCGGAGAAATATTGGCAGTGGGCTGGTTGATGGAAGAAGGGGTTGGGGACTGCGGTGGCAATACCCAGCGACAAAAACGTGAGGAGTCAAGTACGATGGTGATGGGAGGGACAGTGTGAGGAATTGTACGATCAGGCGAGAGCATAGCACGTGTTGAGCTTATGGGAATTGGAACCAAAATCACAGTCTCTCGGCGCATGTGCGTATCTCTTTTGGGTCTGGCCAAGGTGGGATGACAGCTCGCTTGGCATGGTTGGGAAAGCGACCATGGTTCGACAATAACGGAACGGGATGCCAACTCGGCCACGGCGCCCAAATGTGCCCCCTCGCGTCTCCGGGTGTCGACAGCAGCACCTGAGCTCATTCCCTGGCCAGTGGCAGCGTCTCGCCCGCTAGCCAGATCTTAGCCCGTGCGGATTTATGCTTTGGAGTCGACACCAACGGCGCTCAGGCACCGCCCGAGATGATCTCGGCGTCCCACATCCACCGCCAAAATGGCGCCTCCATCCTGAAACCCTCGACAACGCCCCTGCGACGAGCCCCGTTACAGAAACCCACTCTGCTTCCCTCCCCCTTCTCTCTGCTCTCTGTCTTTGCCTCGCAGTTCCGTTTCTCGAATTCCTGATGTAGATGAAAACAAAACCCATTCTCCTCTGCTGACCTGCCTTTGTCGTTTCTCGCCGGCCGTGAATCACCAATTCCGTATAATCCGACCAAAATGAAGACCTCGCTCGCTCTTGTTCTCGGCGCCGCCGCCTCGATTGTCACCGCCGGCATTGTCATCACCCCCATCAAGGACGATCAAATCGTGCCCAGAATGGGGGATGATTGCGCCTTTGGCGTCGTTACGCCCCAAGGATGCGGGTAAGTATCCCGCCGCATCTGTTGGATGAGTAGAGTCGAGTCGAGCTGACGGCGTCTAGTCCCAAGCGCAACTAGGACGAATCGTTTGTGCATGATTCTCGCGGGGTAGAGGAACAAGAGAAGAGGGCGGGTTGTAATATCGTCGAGGCGGGGAGATGACGGACATGTAATTTACATTGAGCGCTGAGCGCGTCGATACCACTGGACTTGGAAACGCGGAGGTCGCATAGCGGGAGGCATTGCCATTTAATGGAATTGATTTTTGGGGATTTCTCGCATCTCTCGTCGTTGGTGACAGACTGACTGGCCACGTCGTTGGGCGGAGGAGTCTGTCTTTCGTGTTTCGAAATTGACGACAGGCACTTGAGCTGTCTGGGGGTGGGTTGCGCTGCCATCTGTCATGGCACACTGGATACTATGGCAAATAACAATGGTCAACTACAAGTTTGCTCAACTGAGCTCTATGGTGGTCGTCACTCATGGCTGGAAGCGTGACGGCTTACAACACCAACGCCAAGTCAAGCGGGATCCCGTCTCCGAGGGCCGCGAGCTTGAACAGAGCCTCGGCAATAACAACAGGCTCAATCTCACCGGCCACGAGAGCCTGCTTGGCCATGGCCTCTAGTTTCCTAGCCGGCGTGTCGTCCCCGGACTACGCGGCATGCGGCTCCGTGTACTTGCTGCTGCTGCCTGCAAAGCTGGTCCCGAGGCCGCTGGGCCTGGTAACGTCTTTGCCGATGCTGCTTGAGCACCCGGTGACTTTGGGGTTGTCGCTATCAGCACGACGGGAGGGAAGTGTCAATGTTTGCAGGATTGGACGAGGTGTCGTGTACTTGGTCAACCGCACAGCGGTCCAGGGGCAGACGATGCGGGTTAGGGTTGGCGGGATTCACGCTGGCGGCCGGGACGAAGAGTCGGATGCTTGATGTTTTTCTTATTCTAATTCCAAATGAATACCGTGTTTTTTTTTTCAAATCAGTCGATTCACTTGGCGGCACTATGTCTATTTAACTTGATGGTCGTCCATAAAGACGGGCCCGACACCCGCCTTGTGATGTCTGGCTCAAGTTCTGCCTGCCACACCCGATTTCAAATCTCGTCTCAATACCAACTCGGTACGTGATATGCTAAAAAAAATGATACAGCTTCGATCTTGGCCAGCTAAGCTTTCCGCCAGGTGAGTCCTGTCGTATTGACGACCGCGCTGACGACGGGGAGACAAATACTGCATGTCCAGCACTGAAAAATTGAAACATATTCCGTATACAATACTGTGAGAAGGAACTCAAAAAAGGGCATTTTTTTTCATACCGCAGGGGCTGGTGTAAGCATGACCGCATTATTCATCGGCAAACAAACCAGCAGCGGCAGGCTGCGCATGTCAACAACATGCCGCGTAGCCGAATCGTAGATGGTGGTTTATAAGACGGGGCAAAGAGAATTGCGACTTGGCCGGCGACTCTTTTTTTTTTCTTTTTTAGAAGAGCACAAGAAACCGTCGTATGAGTCGCGTTTAGAATGAAAAGCCACAGTTGTTTGGCGTAGATGTACAAGACTCCCACAACAGACGTCGTCTTTCCCGCAAGACAGAGCTTGTTTACTATTCAAGTCTTGACTGGGCATTCATGTCCCCATCTCGGCACACCCTCCGTTTTCTCAACTTGGCAGAAAGGAACACTGAAGCAACGATCCAATCAATATACTACAGCCCACGAACCGTTGCCTTACCGCAGCGCAGTATGCGGCCTGCCGTACGGGGTCGACATGGTGTTGCGGCGCCACACGACATGCTTGCTGGTCGAAGCCGTCGACGAGCCCGCGGCGCAAGATGCCTTGGAGGGCTGGCAATCCTGCGGCGACGTGGATCGCGATGCCGCGTCTTGCCGCGCCTGCTTCGAAGATGCTGAAGTAGTAGTCGACGGCATTCTGGTCCTGTCTATCCGCACATCAGTCCATCGGACATATGTACTTGGCATCTATGTGCCGTTCACACTCCCAGAGGCCTCTTGTACTCACTCTTATCTTGTCTCGTTTGTTCCCGTACTGTTCAGAGTCTGTCGTACAATGTACCCGCAGTGAGTTGGCAAAGGACACAAGGCAAAAAGTGGCATCTACGTCTTTTTTTTAAAAAGCCACGAGTCGTTGACTTTTCGCATCTTCAAGTACATACGTAATGGCGGGCATCGTCCAACGGAGCCCGACGCCGTCATCGCCAAGGCAGGTCAGACAAACCTGGGTGCGTGGATCCCGGATCCGCAGCCATCTTCCCTCGACAGGACACGACATGGAGATATGATTGATTAGATGCGCCGCTTGCAGCCCCATCGAGAGGGCCCGTTGCCGCCGTGGCTTGCATGAGCCTTGGGCCGCTGTCCGGCAAGGGGGTGCTGCATCATGCCACCAGACACGCCGACCAGCGCTGGCTGTCCCAGAGCGCATGCCAGTGTCACGACGTGAGGCATTTCCATCTGCGCTCATTCAAGCTGCATGCATGCATGTGGTGGTGATTTGCGTTTGCGGAGTGGCTGGTCCGGACTGGTCAATCGTATATACGACGAATCAGCGCGCCGCGCAACGAACCACGACCGGCTTGAGGTCGAGTGGCGACATGGACGCCCGCATCGGCGGCAGTGGCGGCTTGAATGTTGGGCACATCAATGCATTAATGTTCAATGTTAGACCTGTTGGCCATCGTGACGTGGAGACTCTACGGAGGGGGAAAAAAAAGAAAAAAAGAATCCCGCGCATCAACAACATGCCCACCGTCCTCGGACCATGGATCGCGATGCAAAAGGTCTTGCTGAACGTCTTGGCAAAAGACGGTCGGGAATAAGGACAAAAGCATCCATCGTCACTCCAGACCTTATCACGGACGTAACCGGAAACTACGATACATATATGATGTAGTCCACGCGCTCGCCGCCACAACAACCCGCCTAGTATCTCGCCATGTTACTCCGTACTGCTCTGCTTTTGGGGTCTGACACTGGTGTCGTCCAGCCGGCCCCGTCTTGTCTCAGATTGCACAGAAGCCAAGTCACTTGACTGGCCTCAACGACAAAATCCTACCCGTGACTCGTTTGATCATCTGTCAGGGACCATTGTCACAATCATGCAACTGGGCATGCCAGACTGGGCTTTCCGGCCCAGTCGTGGCTACCAGGACCGAGGGCGCGAGGGGACGAGATATAACCACGTAAAAGGGGAAAATTCATCAATTTCTATAGAAAATTAGGGTAGCGAGTAAAAAGGAAAATCGTACCCCATCATCATCTGATCTCGCCCGGCAAACCACGTAGCTGTACACTGCACCCATGGCAAACCACCCGATTCTCCCTAGCCATTGCCAAGGCAAGACCAACTTCTGTAAGCCGCCTCTGCCTCAAGAAACATCTATAGTAGTCCAAAAAAGTTCAAGCTCAACACAATTTTCTATCCATCCACCACCAGCATCTTCTGCCCAGCCCGCAAAATCGTAGCTTCCCATCTGAACTTTCAAGACTTCTTGCAACTATGACAACAGCCAGAAAATAAATCGCGAGTCTTCGTATGCCGACTCATTCCGTAGCCGTAGTCGACAGTATAGATGGCGGACAGATATGTCGAATAATAGGCAATAGCGTGAGTTATTTGCGTACCAGCCTCGCGGTTTTCGTGTGAACCAGTGGCGCAAAGAAATTGGAAGAAAAAAAAAGAAAAATGCGTAAAATGCGTAACAATGTTCGTTTTGTAGGGTCAATAAGCTGAAGAACTGACGCTCTATCTGCCCGCTAGCTCTGTTGTGTAAGCATCGAACTGGCCATCACAATCAGTCGCTTTGCCATCGGTAATGGTCCCCTCCTCAAAGCGCCCACGTAGACGTTGGGATCTTGGCCGCAGACTTGCTGAACGGCCTGGGCTCCTGCCATTAACGTATCCCCATTAACTTGAAGGTCCATTCTTGTTACCGGTGTCCTGGAATATCAGGAGGGCGGACGCCACCTCGGCAGCTGCCAGCATTGGGCTCTGCCCTTACAATTTTTGGCCTCGCTGTCCACGACTGCCCTGTCCACGGCCGTTGGCGCCCTGTCCAGCCTGTCCACGGCCATTGGCGGCCTGTTCTGCTTGTTTGGCCTGTTCTGCTTGTTCAGCCTGTCCACGGCCGTTAGCGCCCTGTCCAGCCTGTCCACGGCCATTGGCGGCCTGTTCTGCTTGTTTGGCCTGTTCTGCTTGTCCAGCCTGTCCACGGCCATTGCCGGCCTGCTCGCCGTTATTACCCTGTCTGTTAGGACGCTGCTGGGCATTGTTCACTCCGCCGTTGCCCTGCCCGGCCTGCTGGTTGCCCTGTCCGGCCTGCTGGTTGCCCTGCCCGGCCTGCTGGTTGCCCTGTCCGGCCTGCTGGTTGCCTTGACCGGCCTGGTTGCCTTGACCGGCCTGGTTGCCTTGACCGGCCTGGTTGCCTTGACCGGCCTGGTTGCCTTGACCGGCCTGGTTGCCTTGACCGGCCTGGTTGCCCTGTCCGGCCTGGTTGCCCTGTCCGGCCTGGTTGCCTTGTCCGGCCTGGTTGCCCTGTCCGGCCTGGTTGCCTTGTCCGGCCTGGTTGCCTTGTCCGGCCTGGTTGCCTCCATTGCCGCCGTTGTTGCCTCCATTGCCGCCGTTGTTGCCTCCGTTGTTACCTCCATTGTTGCCTCCATTGTTGCCTCCATTGTTGCCTCCATTGTTGCCTCCATTGTTGCCTCCATTGGAAACCTTGAAACGGACACAGTCGTCCTGAGCACCACGCTGGGCAACAGGCATCAGCACAGGTTGATGGTTAGAGGAAGATGACATGCTGCACACGCGGTAGTTTCCAGCTGGAAGCCCACCAGCGACATCGGCACTCAGTAAGCCCCTCCCATCACCAGCGTCATTGATACCCTTGAAGAAGGCAAACTGGGTGGGGTTGAGAGGTTCCGTGGGATTCGCTCCTCGGCCGGTATCTTGGACAGTGACATGAGTGTGACCAATGATGTTGCCATTTCCACCAAGCTTCTGAGGAGCAGAGTAGTACGTAGATGTGGCATTGGTGAAGCTACCGGCGTTCAAGTTCAGCAACTTAACTTGAATCTTGAAGTCCTGATTCGCCGGCAGGTTGTCACCATTCTTGGGGTTGATGAAAATGCTAGAAACCATATTTTGGGTAGCAGGAATCTGACCCATGGCTACGAAAACATTAGACAAAGACACATACGCTGAAGTTATCTTGCTGCCAACTTACGAATTCCATTACAAGAACCACGGCCGATCTGCTTGCCGTTGGTCAAGGTCTGGCCCTCGCAGAAGTTGATGAAGTTATTGTTGGAACTGTGACTCGTATTAGACTTTATATTCTCGACTTGATCATAATACCCCGAGAACAGCTTACGTGTCTGAGGCTGCTTGACCATTAGTTCCGGGGTTGTTGCCATCGGATTCAGAGCCTTCCTGTTGGACATTGGCGCTTAGTACTAGAGCATTATTGCCGCCGTTGTTGTTGTTGTTGCCACCGTTGTTGTTGTTGCCGCCATTGTTGCCGCCACCTCGATTACCGCCACCATTTCCGTTCCCGCCTCGCTGTCGTCGCTCCAAGGCCTGAGAAAAGGGAGATCTGCGTCCAATCTCAGCGCCTTCGACAGCGGCAGATACGCCCACGAGGGCAACGACTAAAGTCTTGATATGCATGATTCTGGTGTTGGTTTGTTATCGACTAAGAAGCTCCTCGCTGTATGTTGCTTTCCTTGCATGTAAATATGAAATAATAGAATAAATGGTTCCAGACCAGTATAAAGAAGTTAAGAGTAAAAAAGGAGAGTACGTGGGAAATGCAAGGAACGAATGGATACAGCACACAGTCACTCGCCGCAAACAGAGGTACACGGCCGGCGAGTCACCAAAGGAGCGGTAAAAGTTTGGATGAGAAAAGAATGAGGACAGAGGAAAGGAAATACCAGACACAATAAGGACGGGGAGGTAATGGGGCCAAATACTCTTGCGGATGCCAAGACCTCTATTATAAGTATCTAGGTAGGACAGGGGACGGAGCAATGAGACGGATAGCCGGCCTGGGGCAGGGAGGGTCCTCGAGATCGGGTTCGTGTAAGGGGAATATCGGCTCGAAAAAAGTATGAGCAATATCCATCAGGCAGCTTCATTGCACGCCACACCCACAGATGCGGAGATCAAACGGTTCGCCCTTTGGGGGTGGAGGGAGGGGAGGGGGTGGATGAGGGAGTACTTTGCTCGTTAAGCTTGAAGAGAAAACGCGTTTGCAGACGAAGAGATGATCATACAGCAGGCTCAAACTCAGGGAGCGGCAAAGAAGGATTACCACTGCACCTGAGCCTCCGCGTTTGGGTAGTGTTGCCGTCCGACATGCTTCGTCTTTCGTCTTAGCGTGTGGTGGAACAAGACGAGACAAACACCAAATGACAAATGATAACTGGGCAGGGACCCCAAGAAAGTAGACAGGAACAGAGAGGCGGAGCACCAGGCTATGCAGGTAGCTAGTTGGATATTGATTGTTGGTAGTGGAAGAAGGCAAAATCATCTTGTCAACGCCGTTGGGACGAGAGAGCAAAGACAGTTGCCTCTCTCAAGTCGACACGGGACACGGCATCCCTTCGCAGTTTGCAGCTGCAAGTGCGTGTGAAAACCGTGCATCCATCGTGGCGCCCTCGCCCTCGTCGACATTCTAGGGGCGTGATGTTGACGCAGGGCTAGTCAAGCCAAAGACGTCGGAAATGCGTGAGGGCTCCAGGAAGGAGTTGAAGTTGGAAGTGGGTTTACCGCTCCGATTGTCTCAAGCCTCTGAACGGCCCCTGCCCCGGCTGCCCCGGCTGCCATGGCGGGGCGCTTCCCGAGCCAATCAAAGCTCGGCGTGAGCAATGACGACAGCCACTTGCCCTTCGGAACGAACTCCAAGGCAATGCACGTTTCGCCTCATCATCTCCGTGAATCAGACCTCGAACAAGACGGCCAGTGCATCGTGACCACGCTCGAAAATTTCCTTCAGTGGCCAGCGGCAAGCTCTCCAGGCTGTTAGGCCGTCGCACCACTAGACCGTCGAACAAGCTAGCAAAAGCCGTCGGCTCTGCCTTTCGCGCCGGCTGTACAGTTGCCTGCCTGCCGCTTTTCCGCTTTCCGAGCCCAGACTCTGGATGAAGGCTGAAGTCATGAACAGCAACAGCAACAGCAGATGAACGGCTCGTGGCCTGGACTTGACACTGGCTGTTCGCATGAACCTAGTTCTTTCAGTTATTTTTACTTTAATCTATTTTTTGTTTTTCGGTCGATTGTCCGGATTTTGTCGCAGAGTTGATCGAGTTCATGCGATCCATCACATGGGAGGCCTGCTGCCTCTTCCTTGTTGCAATACACACCTCCCGCACGACCTACTTTTGACGCGATGGCCTTCCGGCGAACTTGCCCCTGGCGTTCGACAGTAGGAAAGTTTTCCTGTGTCCCAATGCGGGATGTATGATCGGCGGTTTCCTTCTCCATGCTGACGGAGTAGCAGGTGGCAACAATACAGGACATCAGATGGAAACTTCCGGTTTGCCATTTACAGCTGTCAATTGAGTACGACAAAACTCCGCCGTGCCATCTCGTCTCAATGCAACTTCCACTTTTTTCCTTCTTCCGTTTCTCTTCTTCGTTTTTGTTTAAAGGCCCACCGGCGAACCACCGGCGAACCCTCCGGGACTGAATTATGCCGGACGTGATCGTCTGTTTGGGAGCTCTTACATGAGGTATTCAAAATTCCGACGTTTGGTGAACTCTGTTATCCACAGCACCGACTACACGGAAATCTTCAAATGTATTTCCCCATTCCCCGTTCCTCATAATATGTTACTTGGTATTGGTATATGATGGCTCAAACTGGCGTGCGAGGCCTTCACGCTGGCTTACCTGGTTGGGCCGCCACAGCTTCGCCCTGATACCCCGGCCGACACCAAAGTTGACAGATGAACCTCACGAGACCTACGGCACATTGGGATGTGATTTGTCAATGGAATTCGAGTTGGATATTTCCGCTCTTACTATTGCCCTTGATTCCCCCCCCTTTTCCAAAATGTAGCCGGTCCGGATGAATCAAGGAGTGGCAACTTTGAAACAGGACCATGCTTGCAGCCATCTTGGACTTGTAACAGTTCTGGCCGCAGGTGTTGGGACTACGATGAATACGGCATTAATGGGGAGGAACCATGGGAGCAAGACCCTATGTATCTTGTAGCATTTTTCGTCCCAAGTGGTTGTGACTACAATCTAGGCCAACGTTTGCTGGCCCATGTGTTCGGAAGCACAAGCGTTGCCAGCGTAGAAACCGAGCCATCCGTTGATGTCATAAATGGGAGCCTTTTTTTTTTCCTGGAGGCTTTGGGGATGCGGCACTGACAGATGCTCCTTTGCGCCATTTTGCCGGATTGTCAAATTTGAGACGGCCATCATGAACCTAGCGGCCAAAGGCGAAACCGGATGGTATTTGAACACGAGGAAATCAGGCCAGAATTGTAACCGAGTCTCAGACGACAGAGATTCTTTTGTCTTTTTTGTCATCTGGTCTATTCGCCTATTCTACAATTCTAATGATACCGGTTCGTCCTTTGTCCCGGCATTGAACCCATCGGCAATATTGTCAAGCCAGGCCGCCATTCGGAAGCCGGCACGGGCAACCTGCCTCTCAATGACTGGACCGGCCTTTTTGAAGTAATCGCCGCCAAGCTCCTGACCAACAATAGCGTCGGGGCCTTCTGGAAAAACTATTTGGCACGTTAATTCTGAATGCTGGCAATATTTGGCTTCCTGAGTCACCACATACCGTGAGTGCAGACGAAGGCATTTGCTTCCCTAGACCAGGCCATGGCCGTCTCGATGGCATCAGTAAAGTTGAGATCTTTCAACCACGTCCCCTTCTCAGTAGCAAACTTGCCGTCGTTGATTTCGCCGGCAAGCTGGTTGGCCCATTTCTCAGCGAGGGGATATGGCTTGCCGCGCATGCCGCCAATCCACTTCTCAGCAATAGAGGTATCCCAGACATGATGGAGGTTGAAGCTTTTCCCATCCCACGACACATGAATGCGGTTTCCGCCTAGGGCCACGTCCTCATTGTGCAGCGGCTGATGCAAATCGCCGACAAAGTGAATGACAAACTTGGCGGCCTGGGCACGGCGCCACGCGGGTAGAGATGAGTCCAGAGACTGTTTGGTGTAGTTGGCCAAGGCGCTAATCACACATCCGTCCTCTTTGCAGTCTCGGTCGAAGTCGACATTGCACGACCGAGGCGGGTCGTCGTGCGCATCGATGAAGTGGAAGTTCTTTGTGAAGCGGCCCCATTTCGTGTAGCGGATGGAATCAGCCCACGAAGCAACCTTGGCCATGTAGTCGTCGTCCTGGCTACGCAACAAGTCCTTGAAGAAGGCCTCTGTCGTGTTGGCGACAAAATGACCGGCGAGATAAGCGGTGGTTATGTGACCCAAGGCTGCAAAGTTCAACAACTGTTAGCTCTTGAAGGCGGCGCAACCTGCGAGACTTTCCCGTCCGCGGTGGTTCAATCATGGATGTTGCAACGTACATCCCCAGCCAACAGTGCCAGGCACCGATGCAAGGCCCAAGGCTAAAGCGGCAGCCGACAGCTTCATGATGATATGGATGCTTTGATGAGTCTCAAACGACAGCGGGAAAAAGCACTAGAACCAGCGACGATATTATATCCCCAATGCTTTACCAGGACAGAGGCGAGCCCGAGAGAGCCCAGCTCGACGCGTCAGAGTCTCAGGTGCGGCGCGTGCACACTAGCACTCGCTTGAGTCTGGGCCGCCGCCCAAGTGACCCTGCCTGTTGACCCAACCAGGTCTAAGGCGGTGGTTGTGATGGGTTGGCAGAGCGATGAGGCAGACTGACGTGGACGGAGGTCTCCATACACGAGGGCGAATCAATGGGATGGCGGCATGCCACGTGAAACGGCGTTGCAATATATTGCATTCAGCCCTGGGACCTGGGTATAGCAGCGGTGACGAGTTCAAAATTTACCAGTTGGCATCTACGGCCCTTGCTAGCAAAGGGGTGGAAGGTCTCAGTGCTGCATTCTGGCGGCGGGCAGTTTATAAATAAAGTCAATGCAAAGATCAATTGATGGCATTGGCAAGCTGGGTCATTCGTCCACGACGCATGCATTGGCACTATTGGCACATCTGCTGGCGACGCACATGGAAGGAGCGTTCCGTTTAGACATTCCATGTCGTATATGCCGTATTGTGGTGATTCTATACTTCGTGTTTGCAGCTTGAAAGTTCAGACTCTAGGTAAGTACCCGGGTTGGTAGTAGTATGTTGGCGGCCACCGTACCTAGTGCTTTAGGCATCTTCGAGTAGCGGGGTCGTCTGGTGCTGCTCACCCAGGTATTAGTGGTCAGGTGGTCCTGTGCCACGCGGGAGCCATCAGCCACCCTCAGCCACATGTGTACTATCGGCGTCCTGCGCCTGTGCTGACATGCGGAGTTATGAGTGAGCTGACCTGGCATCTGTTGGCTGTTGGATGTCGCCTCAAGCCACAAGATGCATTTAAACCGTGATCAGAGCTACAGAGCCTGTGGGTGTTTGGGTGCATGGAATCCCACCCTACTTACTTAAGTCTAAGTACTTTACTCCGTACTCAAAGCAAAACCACCATCCCCTCTGGTGTGTCAAGGCTCCAGTGAGGTCACGGACCCCACAACACCCCTGCAGGCAGCTGGTGACCTCGGCTGACTTTAGTGGCAGCCTAGATTTCCGCATAATAATAGCGATTTATATTGAGCCTTTCTATCGGGACTTCTATTGTCACTTAATTTGCTAGTACTTAGATATATATACCCTTTATAATGTAGCTTCTTATTGAGCACTTAAGTACACATCCCTACAGATACCTGCCTGGAGCCTCAACCCACCAGAGGGGGTCAGCGACAACATCTGACCAGACCTTACCCGAAGACGCACGGGGTGGGTTGGACGGCGGCATGCTGCACCTGCAGGGGCATGTCGTACAACAGAACATGGCTGGCGGAACGCACCATTTGAAGCGAGGAACCTGTCGAGATAACATTGTCGAAGAGAAGGAAAAAATCAGCAGCCATCGGTATCACCACGACTGAGTCGGCATATGTGTTGCATGCCCACGTTGCAGCTGTGTAGCGATGGCCCGGCTGAGCTCGCGAGCGTTGATACGATTGTCCCAAACTACTCCACTGTTTTAGCAGCCACACGCACTGGGCTGCACCAATGTGCGTCACACGCCCGAAGCCGGACGACGCCGATAGCAGGGCCAGCCAATCAGCGCCGCTATATTCATCAACTTCCCCCAGATCCAGCGATAAGAGCCATCCGGCTGACTCTGCGGTCTGGACATTAGTACCTGCTCGTAAACTTGTTTCTTGGTGGAGGATGGGCTCAATCAAGTGCTTGCTCTTCCCCGAGACCTGAATTCCCCAGATATCTACAACTCGCCAGTTCTGCCCCTTGATCTCGTGAGCCAAGATAATACGGTGCCAGTGCGCCAACCCAAACAGCACCAAGTTTAGACCATTTGTCGTCTTCTCCGCCGCCACATTTTGCACCCTTCATTCTCGTATCTCCCTCCCGCTTTCTGTCTTTTCAACCTTTCCGTCCTGGCCCAACTCGCGCGGAGACCTCTGGCCGTCATTAGAGAGCATCAGTTTGCGATATGGTTTCCATCGCTCCCTCGGCCTTTGTCGCCATGGGAGCCTCCATGTCCTGGGGCCAAGCGCTCTCTGGAATATTCGGAAGTATTAGCCTGACAGCATGGATTTGTCTCTTGGTGAGTAAAGCGTGGTATCATTTCTTGACAGTCCTTTCTCTCGCCCCCGAACGAGGAGGTCACTGACTTGTTTCCCCCGGCAGCTTCCCCAGTTGATTGCCAATTACAAGGCAAAGAGCGCCGAGGGACTGAGCATGGCGTTTTTGATCGTCTGGCTCTTGGGAGATGTGTCTAATCTCGTAGGCAAGTCAAATTGGAATTTTGCGACGCACTGATAAGGGTTGTTGTGCCTGCAGCACAGCCTCGCGTGATCGATCTCCAGACGCTTGTCTCCAATCCCCCCCCAGGACACAGTGTCACGGTAGTCTGCACAAAATCCTGGATGCGCGTAAAAAAAAAAAAAAAAAAAAAAAGAGGAAGACATTGCCTAACCATTCTCGCCTGACAGGAGCTCTCTTCACCAAGCTGGCCCCGAGTGCCATTGCACTGGCCGTGTACTTTTGCTTCCTTGACGCCATCCTCATCACACAGACTGGCTATTACAAAGCAAAAGCCGCTCAGCGACGCGCCGCTGCCCGCCGTGCTGCACAAGACCGAGCTTACTTGTCCGCTGCAGCATCTGAAGACTCTCCTCTCCTAGGACGGCGCCGACGAAGCTCGACCGATCTCCCGGGCTCGCTGATCCGGCGCGATACGCACAGAGAGTCTGCCCTCGAGCCGATCCGAAAGGTGGTGACTGGCCAGGACGAGACGCTAGAGCGGCGACCTTGGCTGAATAACGTGCTTGGGCTGACCGCCATTTACGTGGTTGGATTTGCAGGGTGGTTCGTCTCCTACAAGGCCGGCATTTGGGACGGCGACAACGGCATCCCCGACGGTGGGGTGTCAGATCCCTCCACAGAAGATGATTTTAAGGCAAAGTTTGGACTGGCTCTGGGCTATGTCAGCGCGGTGTTTTATCTCTGGTAAGAAGATGCGACAAGATGACAGGAATCGGTACGATGCTAAGAGAATTCAAAGCGCGAGATTGCCTCAGATTTTCAAAAACTACCAGGAAAAGTCCTGCGAGGGTGAGCCACTACCGTCATTGTAATACAGGCACACTTGGCATCTGGTCACGGGACTAACACCACATGCAGGCTTGTCACTGCTATTCTTCATGCTCTCCCTCACTGGAAACCTGACGTACGGGCTGAGCCTTATTTCGTACTCCCAGAACAAGGACTACCTGCTCAACACGCTGCCCTGGCTTCTGGGCTCTCTGGGCACCATGGTTGAAGACTCGACCATCTTTGTGCAGTTTCGCATTTACGGCGACAATGCCCGCAGGCTATCTTTGGCCTAAGGGGCAGTCCGTCGTCACGTGTTTAACGTATTGTCAGTGTCCTTTGAAACTTTTTATTTCAATTGTCAAGTAGTTTGAGCAATATGGGTGGGAATAATCTGCATTATTAGGCGTACCATGTACATAATTGGACATCGAAAGATTGAGGAGACATTGGAGCATGACCAGGAGTCTTGCAGAGTAGGAGGAAGGAAGATAGTTTGATTAAACCTGCAAAGCGCACATTCTAGTTGCACAACCGGTTGAAAGAAACTGGCGCCCACGCTGCCATGTAATCCACCGTGGAAAAGAGCCGTGCCTCAAAACAACGATTCGCCCGCCCACCTGAGTAGGGGAGGAGCAGAAGCCACCTCCGATGGCGGGGCACGAGAACAGCGGGGTTCCATCAAAAAGTCGCAACGGCAATGGGCATCATCCACGTACCTCGTCTTGACTCACAAGAAACCACGTCATATTCCTCCCAGCGTAATCTTTCTTCTCCCGCCCATTGACAATCAATTATTGTCCAAAGGGGAACCGTCAAACATGGCTACACAATCGCCTACAAAAAAATGCGGTACGTCCCGATTCGGTCCCATTATGTTCCCCCCCTCCTCCCCCAGAACTGACATCTTATCCATCTCACCACGCAGCACCTCAATGCCATCCAACTAACAACCGCAGGCGTCCTTGGAGCCACGGGCTCCGTGGGCCAGCGATTCATCCTCCTCCTCGCCAATCATCCGACGCTCAAGCTCCACGCCGTCGGGGCATCCTCGCGCTCCGCGGGCAAGAAGTACAAAGACGCCGTGCGATGGAAACAAGCATCCCCCATGAGCAGCGAAACCGCCGACATGATTGTCCGCGAATGCAAGGCCAGCGAATTCCAAGACTGCGACGTTGTCTTCTCGGGCCTGGACTCGGACGTCGCCGGTGAAATCGGTACGAACCAAAAACCAACCACCATCATGACGTGCCCCCCAGACTAACACAACACCACCACCCCCAAAGAGCAAGAGTTCCTCAAGTCCGAAATCCCCATCTTCTCCAACGCCAAAAACCACCGCCGCGACCCGCTCGTCCCGCTCGTCGTACCGACCGTCAATCTCTCGCACCTCGACCTCATCCCGCACCAGCGGCGCACCAACAAACTCCAACGGGGCTTCCTGGTGTGCAACTCCAACTGCGCGGTGATAGGGCTCGTGGGACCCTTCGCCGCGCTCCAGGCCGCCTTTGGCCCCATCACAACCGTCTCCATCGTCACGATGCAGGCCGTCTCGGGCGCAGGCTACCCGGGCGTGTCGTCCATGGACATCATGGACAACGTGGTGCCCTTCATCAGCGGCGAGGAGGACAAGCTCGAGACGGAGGCGCGCAAGATCCTAGGCCAGATCAACGGCTCGCAGTCCGCCTTTATCGAGCAGCAGGGCCTCCGCGTCTCCGCGACGTGCAACCGCGTCCCCGTCATGGACGGCCACACGGCCTGCGTCAGCCTCAAGTTCGAGCGCCAGCCCGCCCCCTCGGCCGAGGAGTGCAAGGCCGCGCTGCGCAACTACGTCTCCGAGGCGCAGACCTTGGGCTGCCACTCGGCGCCGAGCCCTGCCATCTGGGTGTTTGACGAGGCGGACCGTCCGCAGCCGAGGTTGGATCGGGACTTGGGCAACGGGTATACCGTGAGCGTGGGACGGGTGCGGGAGGACGAGAGCGGCATCTTTGACCTCAAGTTTACTGCCTTGAGCCACAACAGTAAGTTTTTTTTGGAACGCTTTCCGCCATGGCAAGTTTTTGACTAACAGCTCTCATAGCCGTCATCGGCGCCGCCGGCTCGTCCATACTCAATGCCGAGGCTGCTATTCTCAAGGGCTTCATTTAGGAGTTTCTGGTTATATACTATACACAAGAAGTACAAGTTAAAAATAGATGATACCTCCCAAGCAACAGGCCATTACGCAAACTTGCAGAAACCAAGAGTGCCACCCTGTACCACGTCAGAACTCGAGACTTACACACAAGCATTGACATACAGCCAACTCGTTCACCGTTCACTCGATTCAAGAAACCGCAAAAAACATAATGGTAATTCGTACTTCTCATTCAGACCTCCACAAACGTAGAAGTGAGTTTCCCTTCACACGAGGGTGGGTATAATGCACCACACTATCCGCCCAGTAGAACTACGGTGTGTGCTCCTCGCACAGCCATGCCATGCAGTTGCTAAACACCTCTGCAGACGCCACCCGCGTGGCCAAAAGCAGGAATCCTATACACAAGCCAAAAAAGTAAATCGTTGCCATAAAGGGCGCAAGCCTGCCACAGCGCGTTCTCCTGGACACGGCTGTTCCCCCAAACACAAAAGTTGTACTCGCTAGTAAGAAAAAAGCAAACGACGAGCATTAAATCCACCTATTTCCCTGTTCCTTGATATGCCAGACGCCAAAAGAGGAGGAAAGCAAAAACGTCGAGGGCTGGGTTATGCAGTGCCTCTGATGCAAGTTCGTAATAGATAAATTCTAACGATTTCGATCCTCTGGCGAGGGTGATTGGGGATGGGGCCGCGTCATGCCATTGAAGCTGTGGGACAAAATACCTAGCCAACCCTCGTCTCTATCCGGTCGTTGCGGCGCGTCTCTCGGTTCTAATGATGTGATACCTCGTTCCAAATCAGACTGTCTGTCTGCTGAACCAGAGCCAGACGCCTCGGCTTCATCCTCCTCCTCATCATCGTCGTCGCTATCCTCTCGGTAGGCGTCGTATCGAGGGCCATTTCCCTTGCCGCGCGCCAATGACCGAACCACATCGCCCTTGCAAATAGGGCATGTTCGTCGCCGCGTAGTCAGCCAGGGGGTTCTGTCGTGGGGTTAGCGGATGGGTTCGCATGAGGAACGGTAGAGTACGCTTGAAACTTACATGCAATCAGCGTGGAATTCATGGCCGCAAGGCAAACTCATGACCCTGCTAACGCCGTCCACATACTCCTCGAGACACACAACACACTCAACCTGTCGCCCCATGTACTTGCGCCATTCTGCTGAAAAGCCTCCTGCACCCTTTTCAAACTCGGTCCGACGACTTGCCCGAGGTTGCGGTGCCGGAACAGCAGCGCTGGCTGAGAGGAGATTCTCGCTTTCCATTACTCCCGTGGTGGTCCTCGATCGGGGGCGTGGTCGCGAAGGGTTGTGTTGCAGCAAAGGAGTGGTAGGCGTGGCACTTGAAGGAGATGGTAATCTGGGAGATAGACTGGGTGAGGACAAAGCAACGGTATGGTAAGTTCGCACAGGAAGTTGATCAACCACCGACTTTGGCGCTCTCCATCGTCTCCTGCGAATCCTAGCTCGGAGAATGAGAAGCGCATAAACAACGGTCAGTGTTACGAGAGGGCTGATAACGAGCACCAGCAGGGTATCGAAAAAGGGGCTGGCGCTGCTCGTCGGCGTGATTGTCACCCATAAACCTTCATGTGGTTGTGAGCCATCGGGTGGTGGTGGGATGGTCGGAGAATCCTCACCCTCATCAACGGACGGCATGGCGGATTTTGAGCCATCGCTGGAATCACTCCCAAATAGCTTTGACATGAGGCCATGGTGCTTAGAGTCTGGTTCGGCAGGTTTTGGCTCCGAGCCAGAGCTGGCACCTCCGTCTTTGGATTTGCCCGACCCAGCGTTCTTTGCGGGCTTCTGTTCAGCTGTACTCTTCTGTTCTCCAGTGCCGACGAGGTCAGGGTCTCTCCAATCATGCACACCAATAACGAAGTTATCTTTTTTGGGCATGGGCCTCTTCGCTTTGCCCATGGTATCGCTAATCAGCCTGTCCTTCTCATCGTTGAAATCATCAACCAAGACCCAGTCCAAGCGTCCGCTCCTTGGAGGCCGGCTCTCAGAATCCACTGGGCGAGTTGTGGTGCCCCAGCTGAAGATTCCTCCCCCGAGGCCTTTGCCACTCCCAGCAGCAGATTTGGATCGTTTCTCCTCGACCGATCTCTTTGCCTTTGACCCATTAGGGCCCTTTGCAGCAGTGGCGGCTCTTGGCCTTGCGAGGGATTGCTTTTTGTGCGTTGCAGCAGGTGTCTGCTGGACCTTGAGAACGGCGTTCCCGTTGTCATCGAGGGTATCCTCAATAAAGCTTCCGGGTTGTGTCAGCGAAGAAAGAAGCTGGGCAGTTGTCCTGGCGGTGAAAACCGAAGGCACAGTGACGTTGTCAACGTCTTCGCCGTGGGCAAACATTTGAATCAAGGGACCGCCCTTTTGGTTGTCGCCAACAATGACGGCGATTGCTCCTCTGCGCTGCGCCCACATAACCTTCTCCAAGAAGCCGCATCCTCCACGCTTGAGCAGAACAATCTTTCCCTCGATTTCTGCAGCTTCCTGAATAGATTGTATATCGGCATGTCCAGACGAGCCGACGGAGCTATCCCGGCGAGAAGGAGTACCAGCCACCTCCTCGGTCAGATAATTATCCGTGTTGTCGTTCTTGGGACTTTTCGCCTGTGCTTTGCCCTTGGCAATGGCTTCGCGATTATCGTGGTCAAGCAGGGTGCCTCCTTTTTTGGGCACTTTGACCTTGGCTGAAGGGAGTCTCGTCGACCCAACTTTAAAAGAGTTCTTCAGAGACGCTCTGGTATTCGAGCTGCCCCAGCCAGGCAAATCACTACAGCCAAGCTCTCCATCCGTGTCCAGGCTATCCTCCCCGAAACCGCTGCCGACCCAGAGTTGACCACTTAGGCCCGAGGAAGCCAGCTTAGGACCAAAGGCTGCGGGCCGCGCGGCAAAAGATGTGCTATTGTCATCGGTCAAGCTGATAGCGGCGTTGGGAGGAAATAGAGAAAACGGCGTGTTGTAATACATGAAGCCGAATACCGACTTTGATGACGTTCGAGGAGCAGGCGGATACGAAGCGACTACGGTGGTTCGGGTGGCTGTCAAAGCACGGAATACGATGAAGAGGAACGCGGCGAAGAAGAGGACGAGTATGGCGACCCGTGGCGTACGCATGTTGCCGGTTTCTGGGCCTCAAACGGCACCGGTGTACTCGCGTATACTCGGGAGAGATGAGGGCGAGAGGATAAATGGATAGAATGGAGGACTTGGCGAGTGGGATTTTCGAAATGGTAGCTGTGGTCGTCGTCCCGTCCGGTGTCCAGTCGACGACGATGCCGTCAGCCAGTGACGCCGTTCATCTGCGAGCTGCGAGGGTCGGGGGGGGCGCAGCTTGAGGGCGGCAAGTGCAGTGCGGATGGACCGTTGGATCGGAGGCTGGAGGAGCCAACAAAGGATGCAATGGGAGGTGAAGCGAATGCTTGGTATGGCAAGGGGAAAAGAAGGAGGAAACGAAACGGATTAAAACGCTCAAGGAGACGGTTAAGGGAGTGTGGTTCAAACACCAGGACGAGGTGAGACGATGAAGGCGAGGTGAGGGTCAAGCAGGAGTGGTGTGACTGGCGCATGGCGTTGGAGCGTGTCAAGTCGAGGCACCTGCGCGGTCTGGAGGTCCTGGAGTGGCCTGGAGTGGCCTCGAGTGACTGGTGGTGACGGCAGCCTGTGCATAGGTGGCTGGGACCTCTGGTCGAGCGGGTGGATGCTTCAAAGTTGGCATGACATCTGGAGGGGCCAGCATGATGCATTTGAGGGCAGGAGCTCCATGTCCAGCGGCCCTGGGCGGTTGGGGGGTCACAGCGGGCGCAACAGAGGGCGGTTGAGACAGTCCAGAATCCAGATCAAACCAGACTGCTTCAATGTTCTGATTCCAGTCGACCAATCGACCAGACTGGCGCCAGGCGCCCAGTGCCAGCTCCAGTCAGGTTCAAGGCGGCCACATACTCACCGAGGTGCCATCATTGATGATGCTCCCAGCTCCGGCGAATCAGCCCGTTGCCCACATGGTCTGGCGCTCAGAAGGCCTCCGGATGTCAACTGGTCAACGGTCCCACCCAACCACCACTGCCAACATTGAACCAGCACAGTTGACATTTAAATGTTCCAGGCTAGAAGCTGTCCGAAGCTTGCACATGCGAGGCTTGTGACTGTGTACGGCTGAGCCGTTTGGACATTTGTCTATGAGCCGCGCCATCCTGCCTCCATCCATTATTGCGCGAGAACAGATGAAATAGAATTTTTTCAATTTTTTTTTTCATGTCGTTGCGTCTGCCCTTTGCCCCAGTTCCCTGCTCTACCTGATGCCGTCAAAGTCGGGCGCTGACAAAAGCCAATCTAGTGCGTTAAAACCTTAAAATTGGAACCACGGGATGAATGTTGGCATTTTAGACCCAATACCTCGGGGCCATCGACTGGTCGACGCTTTGATAACATTTCAACACACCTACGGAGTACATCCAAAGTCAATTGATCCGTGTTTGAAACCAAGAAGACATGTCCAGTGCATCCAACCGTTCCAGCCTCTTGCCCGCCCCTCCTCAACGACGTCACCAGACCACCTGAGCAGCCAGCATTTGAACGTTTGAAGACCCTGCATCAACTGACGAACATGCTGAGTCTTGAGCATTCATGGGCTGGTTTTAAACCGTCGGCCGGGCTCTACACAGGAGCATTGCAAACTCCACGCTGATTTCCTTCAAAATTCCTCATATACATGCCAACATTTGAACCTTGGGCCCATCTCGTCGCCAACGACTGGCACTCCAGACTATTCGAGCAATTCAGTGATGCAGGCTGCACACATCCACCACACAACGCATTCATAAAATCGACACGTCTCTTGTCCTCCACACACCTTCGGCCAGCCTCCAACCATGACGTGAGTACAGAGACCATGGCGCCATGCGTCTGGTCCTCTCATCCTCGTGATGCCCCCGTGAGCTTCGCCCCGCTCGTCAGTCTGGCCTCCCTCCTGTTTCCATGCCTTCTTTTGCTTTTTCTGTAGTCGGGACAATACATCTTCTTGGGGACAAGCTCCTAAATTGCCCACCTGCACCACCACGTTGCACAGATCCTGCGCCATCCGATGCCGTAGCCTGGCATCGTGCGTCGCCGGTTGAAGAACATGCATGACCTACGGAGAGTAATTGTAGCTGTAATAGTCCAACTCCCAGTCATCTCTCCCGTGCCCCATTTTCGGGTTTCAGTCCCCTTCAAACCCTCAACCATATCGATGAAATATCATTGATACCTGCTGGCTGAGGCCGACCCATGAAAACAATGTCATCGAATCCTTGCATGTCTTGCTCTATGAAGAGGAGAAAGCAGCGCATCACCATGTTGACAAGGCTTCCCTGGAGAAACGTGTCCGCCGTAAAGCAAAAGATATCTGCGCCATCGTCAGCAGTCAGAAAACTGGCTTACACCAACCATCCAGTCCTCCAGTCCTCACAGATAGCTGCGCTTGTGATGGAGTGCCCTCGCGCCGAGACGGAGATCATGGCGACTACCACACTTTTCATTCATCTGATTGGGGTTGAAGAGCGAGAGCCGGCATAACAAATCCAACCCGTTTGCATAAAGTGTCGACGAGGGAATAGCGGGTACAATACCCTACTCTACTGCTGATGCCAGCATGAGACGCCGTGAAGAGAAAGTCGACAGCTAGTATGCGCCCAGGCTTGAACGCTTGCCCATTTTGCTTAATCCATGACAAGATACATAGTTCCCGCAAAATATACACCGGCGTAATGTAGCGTAGAACAGCGTCCTGCGTGGTAGGACGATCATTTTGGCTCGTCGCATTGCAGCAACGGACTTCTCCTGGGCCGCTTTGAATCTCTGTCCGTAGACATACGTCGCTCCGATGCCGAATTCCACACATGCATGAAGGAATCGGCGCAGGCATAGATTACGTCGTGTACGGGAGAAAAGCATCGACTCATCACTCTCGTATTCACGGCAGTTTGCGTACAACTCGAAATAGTAACCTGCCACTACTGGTATGCCGTTCTATTACCCATACTCATAACGCCTTCTATCCAAGAATGCCAACTAATCAAGCGCGACCCAGCCAAAGCCGAACACGGAGACCGAAAAGACGCCGCCCAAAGATTTCTCCTAGTAGTCTTCTGAAAACAGAGTGGGCGGGTTCTTGTCGTCTTCATCGACACCATCCAGCCCCAGGCCCTTGCCCTTGTCCCATTCCCGCCTCTCCCCGGCCTTTGACCAGACGACATGCTCTCCGGCCTTGTCGGCCGTCCCCTCGGCTCGCTGTATTTCTTGCTCCGTGAAGCCGGCGTCTTTCATCCGCTGGTGTTGGTGCAATCTGAGCTTCTGTCGGTCCCTAAACGACTCCAATGCATCACCCCAGACGTCTTCCTCATCCTCGTCCATCTGCACGTCCAGCCTGGGGTCGTACGACTCTGAAAACCGACGGTCGAGTTCCGCCGCACCCCCTATTGTCCCCCGACCACGGAATTTTGGAGGCGGCGCTGGTCCTATCAAGTCTTCTAGAGGGTCTGAATCTTCGTCTGGCGCCGGCGGTGGGCTGGGCTTCTTCTTGCTCCGCGAACGCGAAGAATCCCGTGGCTTTGATCGATGACGCGAGCGTTGCCTGTGACTGCGTTTTCGATTGTCGGGCGAGCAGGATGATCGATGCCGCCGCGGTGACTTGGATCTGCCATCTCTTCGTGATCTGCCGTGTCTGTGCCGACTTTCGTCTTGGTCCGATGATGCATGGTGTCTGCTGCGTCGAGACCTCTTCCGGTCGTCGCTTCCAGATTCGGCATCATCGTCGGCATAGTCGCGTTCTGAGAGCCGTCCATAGCGTCGCTTCTCATATTCGCGTCTGCACAAATCATCGCTCCTCTTGGCGCTTTTCCTTTCGTGGCGATCCTTGCCGTCATCCTTGTCACATCGAGTTGATGTGCCCGAATCATCGTCGTTTCCCCGCCGCCTATTCCTGCCGCCGAGGATAGCTTGGATGTCGCCCATTTGACGCCTTCGTATGTCCTTGGCGTTGGGATTCGTCTTCCTCCTCTTTATTTCCTCGGCGTGCTCGAGGTCTTGCAGTCTCGCTTTTGACTCGGCGGCTTCCTTTGCGAGTAGGGCCTTGTTGTGCGTGTCTGTGTCTTTGATGATGTGGCGCAGGAATCGTGTATTTGGTTTGGGCATGGTAGAAGGCCTAGCGCATGTCAGGACCGGAAGCTTCCGGTGAATATTCGGGCTCCGACTTACTTTTTGTTGTCGCGAAAAGCTTCCATGCCCATGGCCGAGTACTTCAGTGAGCAGTCCTTGGCATCCTGTGCCAGGAGACCGGCCACGTATTCATCCGTGAGAAATTCATCGTTTGACATTTGTACAATCGACCAGAATTAGACCAAGAGTAAATAGCCCAAAGGCGCCCCAAAAATCGAAGCAGCGTCGGCGCATGGGACGAGTGAATGTGGAGGAAAGTCGTCGGTCGCGGAGCCATTGTCTCTGTGGGTGGTGATGTCGAGTCGAGTCCGATAGCCGGCAGAGTTTCGAGGCTGCATGCACTAACCGGTTTGGGCGTCAAAGTAAACACATTCCCACCTCCAACATCATTCTCACCCATCAGACACGTCAAGCGAACATCTAGAACACCTACCCCCAAGGGCCCCGAGGAAATCCAGACGAGTAGGGAACATAAAATTCTTCCCTTTGAATTACTAGAAAAGCGGTACAATTCCCGAAACAGGGCCAATTTTCCGCCATGGCGGCTGCCGACGCGACACAAGCCCTCGAGGCTCTGAAGCGCCTGCAAGCAAACCAAGAGATATCCATCATCAGACTCAGCGAAACCATTACTGACCCTGCCGAGCAAAATTCACGGCCACGGGCATCGGATGCATCAAATTCACTCCTCGATGGCCCTACCCCGGCCGGCCTCGAAGCCGACCTAGCGCACTACACCGAGCTGTTTGCCAAACTGCGATTCTCCTACGTCGAGCAAGTCACCAAGGAAAAGTTTATCCGCGCAATCGTCGGCGACCCGCCGTTAATCGTCACGATGCAGGAGAACCTAGACTTAGAAAAGGACAACGCAGAAGTCAAGGCCGGACTCAAGGCGCTCAAGCAGGAGGTGGCGGCCATGGTGACGGAGCTCGAGAGCAGAGGGCGAGAACTCAGCCGCCGCTACGAGGCCGTCCAGCTCGACACGGCAAAGTTGCAGGACCTGCCGGCCAAAACACGGGAGCTGGAGGCGCGGGTCGAGCAGCTGAGAGCAACACAGGATTTGTCAGGCGCCAACCCCGGCCTCAAGCTGCCCCTGGCCAAGACACTTGGCTTGGTAGAGCGGCGCAGGGCCGAGCAGCAGCAGCTGGCGCGAGAACTCGAGGCCCTGCAGGCCAAAGTGCCCAGGAAGCAGAAGGAGGCAGAGCGCCTGCAAGTCGAGCTCGGACCGTTGCAGGCCAAGCTTCAAAGCAGCACGGCTGCGGCGCGCGAGGCGCAGAGGAGGAAGGATGCGGCTTTTGGCGGCGTGGCAGATGACTTGGAGCAGCGAGCGCGGTGGTGGAGGGCGAGCGAGGATGTGCTCAAGCGGGTTTTGGATCTCAAGACGTAGCCATTGACGGGCCCGGTAGAACAAGAAGAGGCGTTGGATGATTTCGTGTAGTGACTAGTTTGTGTATGTTTTGCCGCATTTGGGATAAGCGGACGTGAGGGCGTAGGGGTCAAATGGCGGGTTTGGGTCGGGCGTAGGGCGCACAAATGGTCTGGTGGGATGAGAATAAATGAATTACGCATTTCACGCCCGGTGTTGGATGTTGCCTACTCTGTAATATTGTTGTCCCGGGCCTCAATTGCTAACCGGACTCTTGCTGGGATTCAACTCCACGCGATGCACCTACATCCCGTCAAGGCAGCCAAGAAGCAGACCAAAAGAACAACAAAGGGCTGGTGAGCCACTGGAGTACTCAGCCTCGACAAGCCCATCGTCTGGTTCATCGGCCCTGGCTATCCATCACGGTACGGAGTACTCTTCGCCTGGTGGCCGGATATGCCCAGACTTGGGGAGTGAAATGAACGCTATATGTCTGATGGTACTCGAACCAGAGAACCGTAATGTACTGTCATCCATGTTTTCTTTATGATAAGTTACCATTCTAGGAAGTGGGGCGGGGACGGGCAGAGATATCCGTCTCCCCTGTATAATTTATTTCTAGGAATATACATGTGTAGTCATTGGAAAGTGATGAATCATAAAAGGCATCTGGTGTGAGAGAGGACCATCTCAATCTCATCAACATCTTATTTAGCAGTCTCATTTAGTTTTTCATCGCGACCTCGTATTCCATGACAAAGCGTCAGCGGCATCTCATTTGTTAAGCTGCCAGTTTTGGAAAAAGCCTCGAGACTCGACCAGCGCATGTTGTTGAAGCTTGTTGCATATATCATATCTGGTTGACTGTAGCTATAACAAAACACTTGTGGTCCGCCCATGAAACAATGCAGCCATAGGCAATGCGCCTCGCTTTGTTGTCAAAGGATGCAATCTCCATTTGCTCTTCCTTCTCGCAAAGGTGTCAACCTATTTCCCTCTGGTAACAGGTCGAGTGCATCTTTTTTCCAGAGGCGACGATTTGTCTGTGAGTTTACCTCTGCCTCTTCTTGTACGGCGAGTTCTCACGTTATACTATCTACTCTGTCTGATGCGTGCTCGACGCTTGATGCAACACGCGAGGTTGGATCTTGGCGTCCTTATAGTCGACACTTGACTAAGTTCCCCTGAATCATCGTCTGTATGTAAATTAATATGCAAGTCATTCATCCGTGAATCGTATTCGGGATTCTTGCCGCACGTCTCAGCTATTCCTTCCTGAAGCGCATCATGTGCATCCTGCCACGGTGTTGGTTCTTGAGCTTCATCGTATATATGCCGCCATCTCAAACAGCTTTCCGATATGCAGCCTGAATGAGCTGATCACGGTACAATTTAGCTACTCCGTTCACATTCCGAAATACTGCTGCGCCTTTGATAAATGTGGCACGACTTCCGTCATATCAAAGCGACGTATTTTTAGTGTTCAGGAAACCCGTCGGCTCTCGAAGGGTCATCCGTACAGCACGATCCGACGAGTGCGTGTCGTTTCCAATACGGGGGCAAGTGGTTTCACAGATGGACAGCGTCTACCAGGCATTTGCTGCCCGCGTGGGAGCTAGCAACTGGTGCGAATTTCTGAGCCGTCAGAGCATGAATGGAGGTTGAAGTTGACAGATGAACCCCGCTAACCTCCTTGAGCGCGGGCCGCTCTCGTGGGCCCCACCAATTACCTGGTTAGTCGGCGCTCCACCAAATTAATCTATTTAAGTATGTAGTACAGCGCAACAACGATGCCTTTAATGCTAATATAAAGTACCCGGACTACCTTTGATTGTACTAGTTTTGAAGGAAAGGACATGGATGGAGACGGCGAGTTGAATATGACTTTGAAATTCTATAACGGAGTACCTGCATCTTATTTCTTATGCAAGATACTTGCACAATCCGTGTGGGGGGAATTATTGTTCTGCTCGGATAAGTACTTAAGTAGCGATCAATAATACCCCCAGCAAGGTGCCAACTGATCTCAAGTGCTGCCTTGAAGTACCTGGGTACCCAGGTAGATGGAAATATTCTGGCGGCGAAATGATGGAACAAATGCAGGCGCCCAACGCATCCGAAAAACTTGGACGGTTCAAAAACAACTCGACGTATCTCTGCAACGGCCATGTCCGCTGCCAGGAAACTACATGTGCTCAGCATCGACGCCCGCTACTGTGGCCTCACCCCAGACCTGTCCGAATCTACGGCTGGAAAGGGACCACGTACAACAAACCAAAGACCATGGCACGCGTCAATCACCGGGCCAAGGGCATTCATTCCCCTTGCGCGTCGGCCACACCCCCAATGGCGGCAGCCAAGCCTCAGCTTCAAGCCCGAGAGCCCATCGACGCATCCGCCAAATACGCGTAATCGGGCCCAGAGAAGGCTGAGCACCTGGGTTCGAGCGTTGCGACAGGCGACGAGCGCCCCCGGCAGCACTTGAGGTCTGCCAAGCATCCATCTAGGCACCTTGGCCGCCGGGGGAACGAGCGAGGCTATGGCGAACATTGAAAGCCGAAAAAGCCAGCGGCTGCATCCTGGCGCGAGGCGACGAATGACAAGGACGAGGCCTCGCGACGCCGCCCAGACCATCGGTATCGCGACAACAAATGCAAGGCCAATGCCGTCGACGGGACTTGCAGGTTGGCTGCACGGGGCCAATTCCACGGCCTTGTGTTGGATGACAAAACCATTTCCATGTTGTTTTATTTCTTCTGCCCGGCCCTAGCACTGCACACGCCCCCCCAACCCACCCTCTCGGATATTCCCCAATTTCTAGGCCACGCAAATCCACGTGTGAGATGGAATAGCGACGAGGTGAGTCAACGTCCATTGCCCGTGATGCCAAGGCGCAGCGCCGCGCGGGTGGGTTCAATGCTCCGTGTCTCGCATTCGCACCATCTGGCTCCGGGATCGTCGCGGCACCCGCGTCGCACAAGAATAAGCATGCAGGGAAACATGCATCACAGATCGGGCGGTTGTGCATCGTCACGCGACCATGTCATATGTATATCGTGAGGGACTGACGGGCGAGGTCGGCAGCCCGTTCCGCTCCACGCCCGCAAAGACGTGACGCTGCGGACAACGGACGACGGACTGTTAACGGCGGACGTCCGTAAACTCCATCAATGGCCCTGGGCCTCGTCTAGCGGCGTGGAGCACCTCGACGTCAATTTAACCGGCGCGCGGTACTGCTTACTACTTATATGCCTACTTAGGTAAGTATGTATGTTGTATGTACCAGACATAAAATTTCCTGCACCGCTTTCCAGAAGCCCGCACACACGCCGTATCTGCTGTATTTTCCAGGCCCCGAGATGGGCCACATGCCCGTGAGACAGGGTGGTTTGAGCGTCGTCCACCTTTTTTTCTTTTTTAATTTGTGCCCCTGTCCCGCCGTCAATCTATTCCACGTCTTACCCTCCCGCCGGTGCTGCAAGAGGCCGCTGAGTCAAACGACTTCTGCAGCAACATGTCGTCATCTCAGGCAGGAATCAATTGTAGTTGCACGCGGCAGTCTGGGGTCAAGGACGCAGCCCCTGGTAGGACAACAGGCTTGCATGTCAGAATTTGCCGCACCTTGATTGGCAAAACTTGCCTGCGAATATGCCGATGCCAGTTGACGCCTTGCAGCCCCCAACAGGGCATGAATAAGCCGAGCTCACGGCCTAGCGTAAGTACGTAGTCCTCTGCAGACACGACACAGCGTCTGATGTCACAGTCGGCGGCGTATTTCGCGACGCCTCGCGCCTTGTCCATAACGCAACGCACTCTGCATCTTTCACATTCCGTCTCGACGCCAAGCCAACCATGCTGGCTCAGCCAACGCCTACCGCTACATCCAACGACACCAGGGCCCCCCTTCCAGCCCGAGGGATTCTTTCACTTGTTCTTTAGAAATGCGGAGCACAAGCAGAAAAAAACCAAACCTCTTCCGTGCCCAAAATTGGTCAAATTCAAGCATAATCCGCATTATGCAGAAACCCACTCGACTCTAATACTAGTGACTGAGACCGCGCGCGCGCGCGAGTTTGTCAGCGGCCCCGATGCCATTACCCAATTCGGCAATACTACTTGGCCCAACAGGGATATATGCTCAGGCCCCATTCTTTTCTTTCTAGCCGCACCCCTCCCCTTTCCTCCACGGCGGATATCAACTCTCGGATACCCGTCGCCCGTCGACCAATCCGCCCGGAGGTTCGCAAGAGCCCGAACACCGGGTGGGAACGAGGCCGAACGACGCTTGTTTTGCCTTGCAGTCGCTGGCACCTTGGCGGCGCTTTGTCGACCGGCCACTGGCCCTTTGATATTCCAGAGCTGTCTCGGATTTTTTTTGCTCTTCAAAGCATTCGTACCCCCCGTCAATTAAGCATGCAGTCGTGGTGTCGGAATCACGAGCGCAAAGGCATTACATGACGTACGTACACAGAGCCGTTGGCCGCCGCTCCCAACGAACCCCCCCCAGGGACGCTGGACGTTTCCCTCTGCGCAGGTCCTCGCCCCGTATGTGTGCTTGTATAGCTCAAGAGCTCAAGAATGCTCTCATGTAGCGTCCAGTCCAATGTTTTCATCTCTGGCCCGCCAGATCGGCGCTACGCCGGCTGCCGCCACGCCGGCGCAAAGCTTACACCCAAGGCATCTGGCGATTCTGGACCCAAACGGCGAGCTTCATGCCCACCGACCGTCTGCCGCCACAAAAAGGGAGACTCCCTCCAGCGCATTGAGAGGAACCCTTTTTTGACAGGCCACTAGCGGCCCTGGGAGATAGTAATCGGATTCCAGACGTCACCCCTGCCCGCGGCGCGCCTCAGAGCTGCTAATTGCAAGTAGTCGCTACAGCATAGCATCCGACGTGCCACCACCCCCCGAGCAACATCGGGACAGCAAGCCGTGGCTGCCCATGGCTCGAACTCTGAATCGTTTGCACGCGAGAACGTCGTCAAACTGAGGGGTATATAAACCCGCCGACTTTTCGTGGAACTAGCATAGTGTAGACTCGTAATCCATGGGTGGAAGTCTCCAACATGACACCCATCTCGTTCGTGTAAAACTGCTCGTGTAGGCCGTCTGGTGGTTGCCCCCGTATCCAACTTCGATGGTACTGCTAGATGAAAACTGCTGATTTGGAATCTGGCTGCTCCCAAGCAGCAAGCAGCAAGCAAGCAAATAGCCCACGTGGCTGCGCCGGGGGGCCGCCACGAACACCCCCCGAGAAGGCCCAAGGCGAGCTTCCTCCCCCCTCCCCGCCTGAGCAAGAGGTTAAAATAGCTGCGAGGGCCAATATACTTTGCTGTGGCACCGCCATGTTGCGGGGGAAAGAGGAGCAGCAGGAGCAGCAGGACGAGATGACGAGGAAGAAGAGGCTCAAAGGGACCACCAGTGGCTCTACGCAGCTATGTGTTGCAGATTATCCCACCCCGGATCTACATGAAGGAAATACACCAACTCTGTGGAGAAGCGGCATGTAACTTCGCTCTAGGTAGCTCTCGTTCTCGTAGCCGTGTAAATCCCCCCCCGGAGTCAATGACGATGACATGAAATACAGCGATTAGTGATAAGCGGGAGCTGCCAGAAATTTAAAGCTGACCGAAAAGAAAAAAAAGAGGGCTAGGATCTGGACTCGCGCAATAGTCAGGTGTCATCGCCATGAGTTTATTTCGATAGGAGAGGGGCGGCTCTCCAGATCGATCCGAGGTTAGGCTACTCGGGGGCCCGATCGATCGGGTCTGTCTGTCGTTCACTTCACGGCCTGCACTGCACGGCGAACCGAAACGAAACCGAGGGCCGTGAATCACGGACGGATCAATCACCAATCGGCAACGGCAATGACTCATCATGAATGCCCACGCAATATCGTAAGTGAAATTACTTTGTCCCGGCGCGCGTCTATGGAAAGCTGCTCAATGCAGCGTGCGGAGCTCCAATCCAGCTCATCCTGGCACCTCTCATCGTGGCCTCCTGCAAAGGAATTAAAAAAAAAATTGATGACGGGGGGAGGGCTATTTTGTAGCCTCTCCCTTGCACTTCTATAACCTCTACTCCCTATCGGATTTTACCAACGCCAACCCAAAAACATCAAGGATAAAGAATATAAAAACGCAATGCTGAAAATGGGGAAAAAATCCACAAGAAAAAAAAAATGTCGTACGGGAACCACTAGAGGACAATAAACGCCGGTTTCCCCATTGCGTCAAACTCCCTCCCCGGCCGCAGCTCAAAAAAAGATATGCCTGTCGTGCTCTCGTCTCATGTACACGGGCTGTTGGTGCAACCCCCCCTGGAACCAGCCCATTGGAATCAATAGCCATTACCCATCCAGCCTCTCTCTGTCACACACACACAAGTGTGAGCGGGTTTGTAGTTGTGTTGACTATTCGGTACACTCAGAGACTCAGAGTCTCATCGACTCGCTGTCAAACCCGCCGTAAATCATGGGGTCGCCTATGCCCATCATGACATCGGGGTTGGGACATGACAGGATGTCGGGTTTGATGGTGCCGAATTCAGGATCAACCATGGGCTGGTTCATCATGTTCATGCTCTGCAGGGCATCTGCCTGCTGCAAAAAGTGCTGCATTGCCAGCCCGCTGTTTTGAGACTTGGGCATGGACCATGTGGAGAAGTTGGGCATGGACTGGTTTTGTGAGGCAAACATGACGCTGGGGTCCATCTCGGGCACCGTGGGACTGAAGTCGAAGTCGTTGCTGCCGGCGAAGCTCTGCGGTGATAGTGTCATGGCGTTGCCGCTGCCAAATGCCGCCTTGCGGTAGTCCTCAAAGTCGGAATGGTCGAGCTCCGATGACGAGGCACGGTCGTTTCGCTGGTAGCTGGACGAGTCGGTGTCCTTGAGGTCCTTTTGGCTGTCGCCGTCCTTGTTCTGCTGTTCCTCGAGCTGACGCGCGAGCTCTGCCATGCCGGCTTCGTCTTCGGGAAACACCGAGTGCACGGGGAGGTCGATGTCGCTGTTGGGCCGGATGCAGCCGAGCTTCTGCGCGATATCATGGATCACGGGGAGCCCGCGGTCGTTGAGATCGGGTTCGCCAAGCTCCCATGTTTGTGAGTTGCGCACCATGTTGTACAGCTTGTGAACCGTGGCAATGAGGGCGAATTGAGTGTTTTCAAGAACCTCGGCGTATCTGCTCATTTCAACCCGTGTCAACAACAACAACATCTCTGGATTGGGACAGTACATGAAACGTCATCATGGGCACGTTACATACCCTCGTGGCAGCTGCTTATACTCGACCTTTTTGCGGACCCCAGCTGTACAAACAAGGCCGTCATCCTTACATCTCTTACAAGGGAATTCACCATCGCACTGTCATTTTCTCATGTTAGCGTGAAATAAAAAAATAAAAAAATAAAAAAGACTTGTTTTGCGTCTTCGGGTCAAAACAGGATTCACGGTACCTTTGTCTTCTTCATTCTACATCTCTCACAAGCCTTCCATACTCGCTTATGTCGGCCATCCATGCCCGCAGCGTGAGTTACGTGATCATGGTGGTGGGCAGCGGCAGCACTGGCACTGGCGCGCTTGGAAACACGACTCGTAGACTTGACAGACTTTGTCGACGTGCTCTTTCTAGAAGCTCCCGATTTATTCTCCTCCGCCGGGGGCGAAGGCAAGCTATGCGATCCCATGATGTGGCGTTGTGTGTCCGCGTGTCTGTGTGCGATGTGGGAATCAGGTAGGTATCAGGCAAGGGGAGGAAGCAGGGAAGCAATTGTAATATGGCAAAGTATTCTTGCCAAACGGTTTGTAATTCGGGCAAAACTGGAGGAGCAGACGGAGGAGGGTGTTGGTGCCACCGGGCAGGTTATATAAACAGCCACCGCAACTTGTATGGGAAAACGGCCTTTTGCACCAAGAGTGGGAAATGACTCGACGGCCAGAGGAGAGGGGCGCGGGCTGATTAATGTATGCATGGCTAGGGCAGAGGCCAGCGTATATGTATGTGTGTACATATGTATCTGCCATCTCCCGGGGCAAAGACTCAGTCTCACATAATCGTCAGGGATGGCTTTGAAAGTGATGAATCGACTTGCTAGAGGGGAGACGCCGGTTGCGTTTTGCGCCTTTCTGGGCTTGGGCGGGAGTACGTACTCCGTACCCGTGGAGGTACCTGCGCCGGGGCGGAGGGGGGGGTGTGCGGCTAGCCTCCAGCAGCCTGTCGGCGGCGTGTTTATGTCCGAAATGGCGAGAGACGGGCATGGGGGTCCCCGTCCTTGCAGTCTGGTGCAATCAATCGCGTACCGGCCAAGTAGCCAGTTGCTAGCACGCAGCTGCTGGCGGGTGGGGCCATGGGAATTTTGGCTTTTCTTTCCCACTGGGCATGGCCAGTAGACGGCCGCTAAACAGCCTGTGACCCAGCGCCTAAAGCCCCCAGCGGGCCCCCCAAATGCCCCCTAGGCTGCACATCAGTCTGCCCAGATATGTGCCCAGGTCTCAAGTGCTCATTCTCCAGCTTGAGGTCTTGCCAGCCCTGCACTATTACTGATCAATCAAATTCATCATGGCTCTCAACTCCGCCTGCAGCGGCGGACTTGAGCGCCCATCGCCAAAACATACCATGATGCGGCCAGGCTCTGCCACGCATCCAGCTGCTTTTAGCAAGTCACCGACCAGGATGTTTGTGTCTTTGACCCCATAGTCTGGGCGACTAACTTCATGTTCCAACCTTTTCCAGTCCTACCCTCGTCGGTGACCTGCTCTGTTTTTTATCTAGTTGCGTCGGTGCTGGTGTGAGTTGGTCCGCTTATACAGCGGCCCTTTTGCATCCAGGTGTCATCAATTGGCCCTTGATTTTCCTCTCCCTTTGGGACTGCGGACCACAGATTTCGCGAGACCACGTATGCCCCAACTCTATTTTATTCTTGTTGCTCGTTTTCTTTTTGGTTTTCATCTTCCTGGCCGCCACGTCATATCTGCAGCCCATCTTCGCCTAATTTTAACGTTAGTTTACAGTGTAAACGTTTAAATTCCGTTGGCCGTGGCCGTGACCCTGTCCGTCCCGCGGAGTGCATGATAAGTTGATAACCAAGGCCACCCTGGTACGGAGTACTCGTAGCGACATGGAGGGACGATATCCAGATGCCGCTACACCACGCCTAGCACGTTGGCATAGCCAAGCCATGCCTCTCTTGATTTGCCGCGTCGCAACTCCGTCGATAGCCCGAAGTTGCCCATCGTATAATACTCCCTGATCGTGCCGCCACAACGCCGATGCCGTTGTTGTGTCCAATAGCCTGGGTCGCAAATCTGTCTGATAGCATAGAAAATGGTGCTGCTGCCGTACCTCTTACATGTGGCTACCGGCCGCCTTCTCTCGTCATCGACAGACATTGATAAGAAGCTCCATTGCGTATTTTGGACTAATGCCAGGACCGTCTGTTCAAGTGTTGCAAGCCCGCATTCCTCATCTAATTTTCACCAACCCCACAAGCTTTATGATACATCACAGGCCGTATTGGAACCCTATCTCAGTTCTGTTTCATCATGGAACGATGAAAACGACTCCCCCCACGAACGACGACCGCCCCGTCGTCGCTAGTCAAAAGGCGACGTCTAAAAGTATCACATTGCAACACAACGACCCCGGCAAGGTTTCGACGGCCCTGCCATGGCGACGGGCATTAAACCTTAGCAACCAGAAACAGCTTCAAGTCCTTCCTTAGGGCGTATTTCAACTTAGGCAAGCCTCTTGGCGGTGAGAAACAGGACCGTCATGAACAGATGCCGGGCCTTTCTACCGATGAATTCTTGTTTCTCTTCCCAGGCCCCAGGTTGTTGCATATGGCCGTGCAGCCAAAGCTACTACAACGCAACTTGAGAAACTTTGGAACTTTGAAAAGGGGGGGGCGCCTGTGGAGAGGAGATGATGAGGTTTCTGTTTGGACGCCCCAGCAGAACCTCAGGACCACGTTTGGCCATCGAGGTGCATTGTAATCGTGCGGTTGTCAGTGCCGTGCCGGTGGGCATTTTGGCGACAGTCGAGCATGACCAACCAACCAAGTCAGCACTTGGGTTGGCTATCTCTCGTCGTTATGCTCTTCACGGAGCCACAGAAACGCCAATCCCCTCGTCTCGTCTCGCCCGTCTGTGTGGTCTTCCCACTTCGCCGGGTCCGAAGCCAGACCAGTCTAGTATGAGCCACTCATAGGCAGTGGTCGAGGTAACTAAGCTTGGGTAACGAATTGGTAATCCTTCGCGACAGCTTACATACCTAACTAGACAGGCACATGTGGCTGGGTACTGAGTGCCTGCAGGGTTAAGCACCTTGTGAAGAGTTGATTGATTGCTGGCTTGGAGGACGCTTCTCACGCAGAGTACCGATGCGAACATCACCAGCGTTACCTCTGGCCTGTCGTTGTTCCTTTCCCCTCCTTCTGACCCGGTGATTGAACTCCTCTCTTCTGGGCCCGAGCTGCGAGAGAACTACAATCAAGGAAGTATTGCGGAGAGAGTTTTAGTCTTTCCTTGTCCGGCGTCTTTGTGCGGTTGGCGGGTCGAATGACCCCTTGTGGGCGAACAAGTGTCTACCGCTACTTATGCTGTGAGTTACAGGGAACCCCAAGAGATTGAGCCACGAGTGCATGAAATGACAAGCCTTAGCGTGCTACCAGTGGTCCGCTCGCACCTCAAACGCCGTGGCTTGACAATCCACGGACTTATGTACATGGCCCTCTCCTCCGGGTGGGTGGGTGTTCGATACATGATGGATGCAGTTGGTGGAGTCCGGAGATTTCTTACAACCGACACCGACTCAATCAAAGTCCGCGGGATAGCGCCTTGTTGCCATTTCGCGCTTGATGTGAAGCCCTCAGCCGTTGATTATATCATGGAGGAAATCCATCAACAACATGGTGCGAGCTGGGCCCAGGGGGCAGGTTTTTTTCACACAATGGGTGGTTGCCGAGGATGCGGTAATCATTCCCAGTTTTAGAGCCTGCCGCAAATCAGTTGGCGTTTTCCTCCGTCGGCGCCTCGCTCTAATCAGTGAATCATTGATGATCGAAACGATGTTCAGTCGAGTATTCCGGGAATCAAATCGCCGGTGGGCAAATCCGTAGTGTGCGCCTCATCGCGTAACCCGTCCAGAAGTCAACACGCAGGTATCTCTTGTCTATACACCCCCCCAATGGCGGAATCGGCATTAATCATGGGCGACCAATTGCTCAAGGTTCTGTGCGACTCGCCGAGGCTGGCGTTAGCCTCCCGACATGGTTCGTCATTTTCTTTGTGTGTTCGAGATAGTGTCAACGGTTCTGTAGGGCTGCTGTTGGAGGGGCGCATGCCGACCTCGCTCCGATAAATACAACACTGACTTGAATTGCCTTCAATCATTTCCACCAAGAAAAAAGTCAACTGGTTCGATTTGAGGTCGTAGCTATCCGAAGTCGCCAATGAGAGTGCAAGAGCTGACTGCATGAGGTGTGAAGTATCCCTGCTTCTCTCTTTGCCACCGCACGAACAATGGAGAGCACTTGAGCTTTTCTTTTTTTTTTTTTTTTTTTTTTTTTTTTTTGAAACGAAGCTAGCCGTGGGAGAGACGAGCTGGAATGCCTTGGCGAGCTGTCGATGATATTTGGAGAAAACATTCGCAGTCATTCTGACATACAATTTCTTTCCTCGTGCTGTAAGGGCCTAGTGGCCGTTGCAAAGAAATAAAACGTCTGTGTAACGAAACTTGAATGGCGTGTATGGTCTGTGATGATGTGATCGGCAATCCGGCTGGACGGCACTGCGGGCGGGAATAGCAGCTCAATCAATGGGAATAATAACGTTTGAGCCCACACAGTACGCCGTGCCGCCACATGGGTCCATCCAGTACTCCGTCCTTGATGCAGTTTTGTATCTTCTTCGCACTAGGCGACGCCTTGCCCAGTGGATGGCAGGCTGCCTGCAAGGCTGTCGTTGGAATCGACGTCGACCCCTTACGCCAAGCATAGTCTTCGATATTGCTGCCAAAGATCACGGCAGGATGAATGGTGATGGTGAGTGGATCACGGGATAGGTTGCATGGGGTAAATCGTTTGTCATCCTTCTTGTGCCATGGTAAGAGTAAGAGATGACAGGCTATGACGAAGCCGAAAAAAGTGGCAGGCGCCCCACCCAAGGTCTCGGCCCTCGCCTTCCTTGTGGAGCTGGAATACTCTTCTATGGAGCACCTGAGACCAGAGCTTTTTTGACCCCGTCAGCCAGTCGAAATCTTCCTCACGAAAATGCCATCATGTTTCCAATTCGCTCACTCGCCTCCGTGGAGGGGGGTGTGGTCTGCAACTTTGACGCAGCTTGGCTTCTTTTGTTTCATGGAAAAAGAAAAAAAACATATCTGGCGTTATGGTATTGAGCCACCATGAACACAAAACCCACTTTCCTTGCAGATTCCCAGCTCAACTGCCGGCCGCAATCGCTGCAAACATGGTCACCGAACTTCGACCGAACTTCTAGAAGCTTCAAAATTGAATGCTTTTTGTGGGCTACAGGAATACATACTACCCGATGCGGTTTATTCCCCAGACGTCACTATGCTGGCAAAGACACACCACCATGTGGGTGGTTACAACTGCGAAACCCGCTTAGAGCCAACTCGGTTCCGCTTAGGATTTTCCGTTTTCTCCGCCGAGTCCTTATTAGTGTTGTGAACCCTAGCTGCGCCCGACGTGTCGAGATCGGTATTCACGAGGGTGAATCAGGACTATGCATGAGCTGAAGCGGGTCGCGTCCATTGACCTCAGGCTCTGCGCTTAGTCAACTCGACTTGATGCGTGCGTGCCACGAGCCCTTGGACCCGTGGTGGTGATGTCTTTGGCGATTGCCCCCGACGATCAGGGTCCAAGCCCGAGGGATAAAACGCCAATGGAAGCCAGGTACGGATAAGGAAACAACCAAGAAGTTGGCCGTTTCGCGGGTGGCCGGTGGTTCGGGCTCCGATGGATGGGCTCCGTCCGCCCGCTCATTGACCAAGCAGCCAAATGTTCAAGCCAGGCGTCAGCCAAAACATTTTGCCTTTTCAATGGAGGTCGACGACTCGACGGCAAGCCGTGCTGTGACCCGTGCAGCCAATGACGGGACCTGGTTTTCCGGGCCACAGTCGCTGAGGTCGGCACCGAGACAAGACCGCAACGCACAAATTGTGCCATGAAAATTTCTGGCCGAGGAGGCTCACTCAGCCAGCGACATACATACACAGATATCCTCTCGCCCTTCACGTCATACAGCATGTCATGTCCCGTGTGCCCGTCCGTGTCGCATGACCTCCAAGCGCCCGCCCCCCAGGGGCATCACAGGGCTGTCGAGCTGCCGCAACGACCTCAAACTAGGAAGAAGCCGGGTTCCAGAAATCCCTCAGGCTCAATTCACATAAGCTGTACGGAGTACGGGTTTTGTACAATTACTGTACCTCCCAAGTATCTGGATATTCGCCGTCTAAGTCCGATGGCACATGGTCACGTTCCCCGTTTCCACCCCGACACGGTGGTTGAACCACGGTCGGTCTCGTTCCCCTGCTGGAAGCGCAGGCCGGTGCATTGTATCATGACTTGGTTTCTTCTATATTCCTTCTCCTGCATGTAAACAATGTCATTCTACATTAGCTCTCCCATCTCCTGATTCACCCCTCCCCCCTCCCTTACGTTTCCTGCCTGCGGTCGGATCCCCCGATTAATGTCTCCATTCTCGCTTCATGCCGACATCATGTGGCTCTAAGAATAAACGCCGACACCCGGTTCCCATGGTTGTCGAAAATGCAACCATGCATTGCTTTCCTAGAGAGCATTGTGCATCCCTTTAGATCCAATCAAAACGGTCAATTGCTGTTCTGCAGGACATGGCGTGGTGTCGTCACCACGGCAATTGTCCGTCAACCTCCGCGGATGTGCACAAACTGGTGCCCACTAAACCGAGCACTTGACCTTGAAAATCGATCAAATCAATGCTAACTTTTATCTTGCGGCCTTTCGGGAGAGGGGGAGATTGTGGGCGAGCGGCGGTTTTGGGGCCTTGTGATTCTCTCCAATCGCTAACGTCCTTCCTCGTCGAGGACTTGCTTCGCATGAGATGTTGATTCATTTACCGGCATATAACGCCTCAATGCTGGAGCCCGTGATCGGAGTGTATATCGCTCTCTGATCCTCTTGCAAGATATAGCTCATGCGTATACATACTTGCTACGTCGGAAGTGACATCACGTATGGTTTGGCGCACCTGAGCCTACAGATGCAAGGAGCCCCAGCTGTGCTTCTTGCCAGGGGTTTATTCTTCCAATGAACTTACATGCTGTCTTTCAAGCATTAGAGCTCCTTGTTTTCCGGCCTGGTAATTATTGTCAGATTCTCCTGGTGGTCTTGTTTTGCTACGGCCAAAATCGTTCAACACTAAAACCAACCATGGCGATGAAATTGTCTGAAAACAGCACAGCGCGGTATTCAATGTGGCCAGATTTGTATCCTTTGCGGTTGACTGCAGAGATGTAACGTTGGCCAGCGTTGTAATCTCTGACTTTGGTAACGCGTGTAATTGTTTCAAAAATAAACCATGACAGCTTGATGGGGTTGTGCACCCTACTTTAGATGCTCCCTGAATCCTCGACTCCCTTCAGCGGGCTTTGGGATCTGGCCCCCATTTTCCCCTCATACCAAGACAATAGATGGCCTGGGCATGATGGCGGCAAAGCGCCAAACGCTGGAAGTAGAGTTTGCCAAGCACATCAGAGCAATAGTGACTTGTGGGAATCGAGCCATGCAACACGGGACCCGTTCGCCGACTCGGGAGGCTTGTCGCGACGACGGTGTGGCGACCGGACGAGTGGGCATTGACAAACGCGAAAAAAAGAAAGAAAAAAAAGGTCCCGGAACCCGCCCCCATCCATCGGACACGGAGACGGGCCAGGACCCACTTGCCAAGAGCGCAACACACGCCCCCTTCTTCTCCTCCCCACAGCTAAAAAAATCCTTCTCTTCCCTGGCAAATGGCATTATTGTGTGTGCAGATCGAACAACCAGTCTCGCGATCTGTCGGATACGGGGCCGTGGGGTTGACTTGGCGGGATGGGCTTGAAAAACTTTGGAAAGATTGATGCCTCCAGCCAACCAATGAATGGCTATTACGGGTGTTGCGGCGACAACATTGGCCAGTTTGGACGGCCGTGATAACCGCCAATGCTCCCGCACTAACCGATCCAAGGTTTTATCAAAGTTACTGTCGTAGTATTTGCACCGGCGACATCTAAACGCCACAAACACCCATTTACACTACCCAAAGGTCTGAAGTTACTATGACGCCTAAGAGCATTTGGCTGGCTTCGACGGTTGCAGCAAGCCTTTTTGGAAAATAAGCATGTTCCATTCGCCCATATATCAAGGTTTGTTTTCCGGGGTTCACACGTCCATGATGCCACTCGAACGCCGCCAACTCCACACGAATGAATACATAATGGAAATGTTTACTTATTTTTTGTTTACTTTTCCCTCTGGCGGCTCAGGAAGGGCACTCCGGTGTGCGGCTAAACATCATTGAACAGAATGATGCGCGGCTCATCCTCGTTGGAGACGGTCCAGGTCCACGCCGCGCTGGGCAAGTAGCTAAACAGGGGAGACGACGACTTGCCACAACTTCCGTGTCTGAAGAGGCCGGGATGGTCGCTGCGCAGTCTCTGCAGAGAATCCGGCGTCGCGAGAGACAGGAAATGGTCTCGTTTTTCCCCGCGGGGAAGAGCTCTGGTGTTTCTACAGGTGAGCCGGCCGCACGACACGACACAAAGGGTCGGCTGGCTATACTTACAGTCCGTTCCCAAACAGGCCATGACACAGGCACGGTTCCTTGACAAGCAGGCCCCGAGCCCAGATAACCCGTCGCCCCTTTGCAATCGCCTCGTCGATCCTCTCCCGGAGCATGGGGTAGAACGGCCGCAGGGACTGCAGCGCAAAGATGAATCCGGGCGCGCCATGGCAAAACTGCACGAGCCTGTCTGCGCGCTCCCTCGCCTCGGCCGTAGAAGGCCAGTTCCCACCTTCGGTCTGCAAGTCGAGCAGCTCTCCCAGGCGGGCCGCCAGCCTGGGCGCCAGAGAAGGATCGCTCAGCACGAGTTGCGTGATGATGCCGACGTCCCCGTGGGGAGCGCCGTAGTATCGCTTCCCGTGCCACAGCCAGTCGCCCTCGCTGCTGTCCCTGGTGTCCAGAATCCTCTGGCAGATCCTGCCGACGGCCTCGTCCACGGGGCCCGCGCTGCTCGGGACGAATCGCCTCACCATGCGAAGCATGTACAGCACCGCGGCACGCCCGTACAGCATCTCGCTGGGGAACGCCTTCTCGCGCGCCGCCAGCCCGGGGATGTTGTCGAGGAACGCGGCCACGTCCCCTTCGCTGCCGGTGACGCAGGCCCGTACGGCCTCAAAGGCCAGCTTCTCGCACGCGAGGCCGCAGTTCCTGTCTTGTATCTCCTGCGCGCCGCGGTCGCCCGCCATGTACTGCTCCGCCCAGTACTTGCACCCGTGGCCGCGGACCTGCAGGCCGGCGTGTTCCTGGGCCGTCCGGAGAAACAGGTACGCCAGGGCGGTGTGTCCGGACAGGAGACCGGAGAGGCTGTCCTGGTGCTCGTCCAGAGGGGGGTTTTGCTGCACGATATCCTCTAGACTCTGCCTGAGGAGGGCTGTTGTGTCTGCCGTCAGCGGCCGTAGGGGCATCGTATTAGGGAGATGTCTCTGCGCCATGATGAGAAATGTCCTGCAAAAGGCGCGGCGAATTCAACCAGGCGTGGCGAAGGGATGAAATCTGTTGTTTTTTTCTCTCTCGTCCTCATTCTCGATTGAGCGCTGCTTATACAGTGGTGTATATCAACGCCACAAGGTGTCCTCCATCCGGACCATGGCTGGCTTTCCCCTCAACTCGTCCCCCCTCAAACCCTGAAGAAGACATGTAAGCTGTCAAGTGTGGGGGAGCCACGAAACTGACAACTGTTCACCAATGTCTGCGCTCACCATCGACGTATATTGCGAGGCGCTGTAGTCAAAGTAATGTTGAATCGCTGTGTTTCCCAGACCTAGTTTTGTCCACGGCTAGTTGGAATAGAAAGTTTGTAAGCGTAGAGTACATGCCTGCGGTTGAACAGCTGCGGCGTCCTCGAGTCCCCCGGGACATCGGACCCGGGCGGGTATGTAAGAACAACATGGGGCCATGTTCGCTTATCTGCTTACCCCGGAATTCGACCATTGTCAATTGACATGAATTGTGCATCAGCTACAATCGCAATCTTCTTGTGAAAATCACAAACGCGACGTGGACGAGGCGACTGATGGCTACCTACCGAGGTACTTACCTAGTAGGGAATGACTCTAGCTGATGGCACTAGTCCGAAGAGGGCTGTCCCTGTTTTTTGGGTGCACCGACGCAACCCAGTATGACGACATAGACGTCGACTCGATGAGCTCACAATGCACATGTGCGTTACGACTACTACAAGACTACTTACTACAAGACGCATTGCCGGTGCAAACACCACGACACTTCAACGCCAAACTACCAACGCTCCGCTATTTGCTTAGATCGCCTTCGCTACGTGGCTACACTCTCATCATTCACTCACTGTACTCTCTTTAGTGCTGTGCTAGAATAAGCTGTGGCAAAAAAAACAATGGCAGACAACTCCAAGAGTGGCAAGTCCAGAAGCAGCCGTGTTGCCAACTCCGTCAACGAGAAGGCTCAGGGAATTCTGTAAGCTGTTTCACGCCCTTCATAAAAGTTCGCCGACTTACCGGTCCTAGTAAGGAGGATCTAAACAAAGCCAAGGGGGTAGCATATCAAGCGCTCAAGAGCAAGGCCTATCTATATCCGATCAAGGTACGACCGTCTACCGAGTCTACCTTTGTGGCAACACATCATGGCTAATCTTTCCCCAGGGGGTCTTTTACTTCCTTTCGCATAAATCCCTCTGGCAGCCGTTCACTTCCAAGATTGGCTCGTATCTCAGCCTATCTGCGGGTGTAATCGGCGGCATGTTTGCCTTTACCTACCTCCCACAGCTTGCTGTGCTTGTCTTCACCAGTGGTCCCCTGGCCGTCTTTTCGACAGTCCTGCTTGTATTGAACGAAAGCTCGACCATCACAAACATGATTTCGAGGAACTGGATCCTGCAACAGTCAATTCTCGACACCTTTGATGGCACCCTCATCTCCAGAAATGCCATCAACATGGTCCGTGAGGGCCGCGAGGTCAAGTCCGGAAGTGACCCCATGAAAAGGCTGGGGAAAACTTTGAAAAGCCCATTTACGAAATTTAGTCCGACGGCTATCATTCGATACATTATGTATTTGCCTCTCAATTTCATCCCTGTGGTCGGCACAGCTATGTTTCTCTTTCTTCAAGGTATGGCACCGCGTTGCCGGGGATAAGAGTTCCAGGCTAACAACTTGTGTAGCTCGAACCAGGGGGACCCTAGTTCATGGCCGCGTAAGTTTGTCTGTGTGTCTTGTTTTTTTCGGTCGTCTCGGCTCATCATGAAACAGTACTTTCAGCTGAAGAACTGGTCGGCCTCTCAACGGCGCGATTGGTTAGAGAAACATACCGGCGCCTACACAGCGTGAGTAAATTACCTCATCGTCCACGAAACTCAAGTCCAGCTTCTAATACAATTACCACCAGATTCGGCTTCGTGGCCACTCTACTGGAAATGGTACCCGTTGCCAACATCTTCTTCACTTACACCAATACCGGTAATGCTATTCCACAGTCATTCTAATGCATCGTTGGCGCTAACAGGTACCAGTCGGGGCCGCATTGTGGGCCGCAGATATCGAGGAACTAAACACAAACATGACGGATGAAACGGCACCGACTCTTCGAGAGGCGGCAAAGAAGCTCCAATAGCCGAGATGTGCGACAGTGTAGATTGATCCATGGTGTCGAATTAGCAAGACTTGCCACTGTTGCTTGTGATAGTCCATAACGCAGGGCAAGCTCCCCCTTTGCAGCTGCTAGCTCGTTTGTTGGAGATGGACGAATTTTGCCACTGGGGTCCACGGTCGTGAGTATCGTGGTTCAGGTCGTAGAAATAGATATTCAACAAAGATCTATGGCGCAAAGAACTCAACTCGAGTATAGCATCCAGGCTGTGTCAGTTTGAACAGATACTCGGCTGTGGCATCTGATAACTTGTGGTGCCACCATTCGCGACGACGCTGAGACCCAACTTTTATTGGTGGTCAACTTGTTTGACCACAAGTCGCCAGGGCTATGTATTCAAAACCCTTTCACATTGACGGTTTTACCAAACTCGACCCCATCGTTTTGGACCGGCTCGCCATTCTTAGAAAACCGTTTGATATGATGGCCGGGGCTTAGGAATAGGAGATGTTGTGAAACTAGCGAAGCGAACACCGACGGGTAGATTCGACCGCGCATGGTTTGCAGGTACATCATCGATTGTGCCACCGTTCCACGGCTGCCTGCGTACTCGTCGATGGCGAACTGCTATGAACCGTTTCACGACTCATTTCCACTTTGATAGGTCCCGCCAATGAGCAACGGATGTGTATCAATAACGGCAGGCATACCCCGTTGTCTCTAAGAGTGATTTTTCTTCAGCAAGCAATCAAAACACCTACCTACCTAGGTCTTTAGACACTCCACAGGTAACCGTAGAAGTAATTGAGTCGCACAGGAGCTGTATTGTGCAACAGGCACGTCGAGCAACAAATGCTGACATGGTCGATATTCGGTAATACGCTGCAGCCCAGAGCTGAAATGGTCAAAAGGGGCGGCTTCCTTCGATCAAGAGTTTGCTTCGACACGTAGAAGCACGTCGCCTATGGTTTTGTCCCACAATCGATGTTGCTCCAGATGCGTCAAACTCACCCATAGTAGCAACTGCAGGCGCACGCACAGGACGTGAGCCAGGGTTTTGTCCATAAATTATGTGTCCAGATGTGATTCCAATAAGAATGGGAAACTTGTTTATCAGTCCATTGACAGCTGTTATGCTCTGTGTCTATGAGGTCAGCCAGGACCCAGTCGTGCCTGCCGTAAACGACTCTGCCAGCTGTCATAAACGATTCGCGTGAAGCCGACACTTGACATTAATGAAAAGGCTCTGCCGTCACGTTTGTCCAAGTTTGTTATCTTCACCTCTCGCGCCCCGGCCCTACCATTTTTTGTTATCAACCCTTGGTTTCTCCTGTATCCGCAAGCCTTTCGAGCCTCAGCCCTTGAGATATCGAGACGGTTTGGAGACACCGCGTCTTTCTTTCTTTCTTTCGAAATTGATCCTATTCTTTCGTTGAACCTTTCTTGGCACTCACCTGTCCTGTATACACTCTTTAATTTCTTGAGAATCCTGGATATTCAGACCCTCCTTTTTGTCCCTAAATAGCTGGGATTTCTACGGCATTGGCAACTTACATTCTAGTAAAACAGCATTCCCTGCCCTCGCCGTCTGCTCAATGAAGCTGCCAATGATGCTCGTGGCCTTTGGCCCTGCCCTCATCCTAAGTTTTCTAGTTTCCTTCACTCAGGCGTTTGGCAATCCTTTTGAATACGGAACCCGTCCTGAACCTGGCCATCTCTCTGGTGTTGGCCCTCGCGATTCACCTCCGGATTATGGGCCACCGAGCTATGGTTACGGATATCCGCCTCCATACCAGTACGAGACTTCAATTTCGACCGCAACTTGGATCATCAGCTCGGGTTCTTCTACTTGTGAGTGTTCCATAAAGGGCAAAACAAAACATGATGCTAACAATACGGGAATTCAAAGTTTTGACTTCGGTGACTACCATCAGCACAGAAGCTCTGACCGTCACCAACCAGCCTCCATCGACAAGTGACAAATACACCACATTGACCTACGCTTCAACTGTAACCAGGTCAGCAGGCACCAAGTCTGGGTCGACGTCTGGGTCGGCATCTGAGTCGACATTATTATCGACAGAATCAGACTCCTGGGTGAGAAGCTCGGCGTTGGGGGTGACAGGGGCTTCGACTTCTTCCAGTTCCACAGAACGGGAGCATTCGTCTTCTACCGAAGACGGAGCAACTAACTCCGAATCCGTGACCAGCCCAAGTTCCCTCTCGAGTCACACCTCTGCTGTCACAGCTACGTTGACATCAGACACAGCCATAAAGACCAATACCTTGACCTCGAACGCTGAAGGGGCGTCTAGCCTCGGAACCGCAACAGTGACTCGGAAGGTGACAGTGACCAACTCAGTAGTCTCTTCCGCAGCGTCATTTGAGAGTTCAAATTTGCCTATTACCGCAACTTTGAGTTCTACAAACGAAAACTCTGCCACTCCAGAAACATCTAATTCCATCGCCACAGTCACTCAGATAGTTACAAGCACTCAAAGTGGCAATATCAACGCATCGTGGGGCGTATCAACTTCATCATGGACTTCGTTGTCCAAAGGAACACTGTTGCCTCCAATATCGCTCATCACAAGAACGATCATCGTTTCTTCTCAAGAAATTGTGACCACCGTCCTTGAATCGGCATCATTTGGAAGTACTCGTCCTGAAGAAATCCATACGAGCAGCCACAGGGCCAGTTCGGGCTCTGTTAGCTCTTCGATATCGTCAACCACAGAAACTGATAGCGTTCCAAGAACCAAATCGTACTTTTCCTCCACATGGTCTAATAGTACAACTGGTAGTTCTACGGTTGTTTCGTCTGTTGCCACACAAGGCTCCTCTCTGCCAGGATCCGTTTCATCAAGGCCAGGCAGCGTCTCGTTAGTCACAGGTATTACAACCGCGACTGTCTCTCTTTCAGTCACTATTCCCCGTCCAACAGAGACTAGTCTTTTTTCCCATGGAGGATCTAGTGTCACTATTTCCAGGGGTTCTCCAAGTCCTCCATTTCCAGTGCCATCCAATTCAACCATCTCGCTCAATAGAAGCTCCGGTTCCGCATGGATGAGTTCCTCTGCCTTGGGTACCGTGGTTTCCTCTATCAGGTCGCAACAATCGACGAAAGTATCAGGAGAGACCTCATCCTGGGCCACAAAGACGATTACTCTGAGATCTACAAATCCCCCGTTTCAAAATACCACTTCTACTTCCTCCAATATCAGTCATCACAGCCCGTGGACAACAACAGTTGGTCAGACGAGAACTATCACTAGCATAGCTTGGAGTAGCCTTCCTTCGCATCCTACTGAACATAACTCTACGGATAGTAACTCGATTACTACGTCCGGACCTCGAATCACCTCTTCAAGAACTCGTTTCACCTATCAGCCAAGCTCAATTCTGCTTTCTACCAATCCAGGTTCTAATGTGACAACAAAGACGTTGCCACCATTTCCAATTCCATCAAATTCCACTTCTCTTAAACAAACTCTACACAGCAACACAATACACTCTACATCTCTCATTTACTCATCCGCACTTGCATCGTCCTCTGGGTTTCACAGGATCAGCTCCACGGACACCATGAACGCAACCTCCACTAGGACGTTGACTAGGAAGTTGACGTCAACAATTAGAGTGCCACCAAACTCGACCGCCACGGTTAGCCAAAGTGAGCAATCTAGCAGCATGCGAGCCACTACTATTCGAGGGACCGGTAATTCTGGCACATCCGTCTTCACGGGCGCTTCGTCTTCGCTTTCTACACTCACCGGCCCCCTTGTAACCAGTTCAGGCGGCTCAAGTTCCACAAGCACGCCTAGATGGACCAACTCAACTACTGGATTGCCAGCTCCAACAAGCTCTGGTGATCCGGACGCAACCACAGAGTCGCCCAAACAAATTACCGTTACCACTGGGTCAACAGTACTTTCATCGAGTAGGACGCAGGGTGTGAACCTTACAACGAATAGGCTAAGCGATAGTGTATTCATTTCTAGTCAATCTGAGACTTTAAGTCCAAGTGAGATCACACTCTGGCCGACAAATACATCATCCTTTACTGGAACAGAATCGGGTCAACCTGGAGTGCCTTCGGTAGTTAAGAGCACAATTCTGTATCCAAACACGACCGAAACAGAGATTGTGCCGTCGGCTACATACACCGATCACTCTGGTGTTGAAGTTACGACGGTGACGTTAGTGCCAATCTGCACCGACACAATGGTCAATGGATCGTCTAGCCTTGACGTCAGTAGCACGTCGGCCAGTTGTGCCACCTTTGATAATGGCACAGCGACAGTAACTCGGTGCCTTTCTCTACCAAACTCCAATGACCCCGGAATAACATCTTTGTCCAATATAATATCAAGTAAGGGCCTGATTATTCAATTTTCGCCCCAAACTGGGACCTCGCTAACGGACAGATAGATCCCGACCCTGCACCCACCACATTTTCAACTTTGGTGAGAAGCGGTGAAGATTCTCCAAGACCGGGAATTTCGAACCATCCTCGACCCACGGATGGGATAGGACCGCAGTCAGAAACAAGCTTGCCCAGCAATCCAAACTTTCCGTGGGGAAGCGATTCGCCGATTCATCGGCACCAGAGCGTCGCCCAGCTTGGTGCTGGCGTGGTGGAGGGAGGTAATTGGCCAAGGAGGGCAAGGGAAGTGTTCCAGAAATTGAAAGGATACTTGCCATGGAGCAGGAGGTAGTGTTCGTTGACAAAAGGGATTTAGCTTTTGCTTCGTCAATCAATATGATCGACCCATAAAAGCCTGTTGTGTTCACCTTGGTAACCCTTGACAGATACGGTTAAACTGGTTTATTCATATGAAACTACGAATCATGTGTTGTCGAGAAAGGGGATTTCTTAATGCAGGTGGCTGCGACAAGGTTATTGTTTTTTTTTTGAAACTTGGCAAACCGAAGTGGCATGTATGGTATTATCTCAGAATGACTTTTCGCATGCATTATTATTTGCAGAGTGCCTGACAGATACAGATGGTGATTAGCTAGTTATAGATGTCGGCTCTTGAAAGTGATTCAAACGGAGTATGTGTACGGCGAAATGATATGTTCAAAACGCAATACAGGCTAGCCTTGTAGGGCGCTAACAACGTCGTACCACACATGGTTTGTCATGTTTAGAGTGTCTGCTGTTCCAAGAGACTTGCGAGACAAGATTCCTGACAAACGGCGTTACGAATACGGAGATTATGGCTGCCCGTCGATTGCCAAGCATGCACTGTACGGAAAGTGAGACTGGTACGGAGTACGTGTCTATCAGAAATGCCAAATCAGGATTCGATGTAGCGGCGATGTGGGGCCATGCCGGCAATGCCAAGCACTCTGGTCCGTAGAAGCCGGGACAGGAACTGAGGACGTCGCACGGAGGAAGAAGAAACACTTGTCCCAAAGACAAAAAAGAAGCTAACAGGAATGACAGGGAGAAGGGATGCTGGTGAGGGCCACAGACAATATGGCCGCCACATGACCTTGAGGTCAATCAAGGGCACACAAGGCGCGTGCAGCTGGGTAATTAATGCCATGAAAGTTGTATTTGCAGTCAGTCATGCGACAGCTCAAGAGCTCCGTGGTGTGGCGGCGCTTGAAGGGGCGCTTGAATAGGGACCAGCGGCAGGGTGGGGTTCTCAGCGCAGTCCCTTCCCTGTTCGCCTCTCAAATCGGTCCCGGACCTTCCAGTGCCACTGCGTACAGTGCGCAGCTGCATGAACGAGACAAGCCCTACGCAAGCAGCTACAACGGCAAACGGCATTGGCGCATCGGGAAACGGGTCGGCTGGTACGAGCGAGTCCACCATACGTTTTGGCTTCATATTCTCTTGTTTCCCAACCGCCACGCCGGGTCTTCCTCTTCTTCCCTTCACAACCTGCTTCCTATATCTGCTGTACGACACTAAAGAACCGCTCTTTACCGCTTTATACTTTTTTTCTTTCACATTGAACATTGCCAACGCATCTAGGCAGGCACTGCGGCTACCTCAAAATGCACCTTACGCCGCTCGCCTTCGCGGTCGCGGCCGCTGGATTCGTCATCATCCCCGAGCTTTCCGAAGCGGACGAGAACATATTCAAAGCGCTCCCTATCCATGCTGGACCATTGTCACTGCCAGTTCCAGCAGAATCTCACAAGGTTTCTGTTCCGTGCAAGCAATGTGAAGGCAAAAATAGCCATTTGCAATTGAACCTCGACGTGGTCGACCACACGAGGCTATTACTAAATGGATTCGAAGTTTACCCCAATGCCGATCCCTGGCATGGCGATCTGGCTGCCGTTGTTGAAAGTACCGATGGTGAATCAGCAAAGCAGAAACTGGGATACAGCTTAGCGGTTGCACCAGAATTTATGGAGCAGGATTCTTACATTCAGATTCTCGATGTTGAACTGCGGGTCATCGAAGTGGGAAACCGATTTGTTGACAACGTCCCTGTTGTTAATGTGAAGCTTGTCAAGGCGCCTTCGGGCGAAATCGCCATTACTGATGTGGACACTACATCGACCAAATCGTCTAGTTGCAATTCAATGGCTTGTACCGCGAAGGAAGTCATGGAGGAGGTCTTCAAGGCCCTAAAGAGCTTCAAGCCATTCAAGGGCTGCCATCGCCGACCTTACCATGACAAGAACAAGGAATACCTTGAGAGCTACCCTATCCGGCCTCAGTCTGACGATGCGCCCGAGGCTCATCATAAGCACCCGCATCAGAACTTTGGTGGCAAGCACCGGCACGAATGGGGACGCCTCATCACCAACATTGCTGCTCAAATCTTTCTGCCTGTCCTTATGGGTATAACGGCTGGCGTTAGCGTAGCTCTGTCAGTTCCCTCCCTCCTTGCCCCTTGAATTGTTTTCCAGTTGGTCGACCCTTGCTAATGCATCGATAGGCTTGCCATGGCTGTATGTAGTGTATTTTTCCAACTTACATCGTGTATCCGAGGCAAGAGAGACGGCCGTTTTGGTTTGTGCCCGTATAGCAGAGGACAAGCTGTACAAACCGCCAGTGAGGAGGCGATGACGTCAGAGAAGGTTGGCCTGATGGTGGAGGAAGCTGAGGCACCGCCGCTGTACGACGACTCCAAGAAGTAAGAAAATTAAGGAAACCCAAACTATATGTCGAAAATGGATATGGCGACAGGCATGGCTTTCGACTGCCCGGCCCAGGTTATTCGGAGTGCAGTCAACATCCACTCGGAGTGGGTGGCGACGGCATCGAAAATTGAGCTCGGGGGTTGGACGACTTCGAAATACCCAAGTGTATAGATATACCGTACTGGATTGATTTATTGGCGTTTTTGTTTGGACTACGTCCGAGGACGTGCCCAGCAGCATGGCAGTGGTTGGCACTGCACCGGATGGCTTTGAGCGACGGCATACGTTGCGTTACGCTCCTTTAGGTGGAACATATCATTGGAGTTTCTTGACATCATTTCGGCGTGTTTGTTATCCTGGTTTCTACATTATATACCCACAATACGACGCTCCTTCTTCATGTACATGATGTCTCCATGTGCTGAATTCTTTCGAACGTAAATCTGACACATCATTATTGCCCTTGAGTGCGTTTCATGGCCAGCTCGGATCGTTATAAAACCCCAGCCACATATGGACGCGGGTCCAAGGTGGATCGTGAACAATGGGAAGGGATATGCATAGTAGTATGTATGTATGTATGTGTCAGCATGATATGCCAGTGCCATGCGGCCGGATTTGCATGTAGTTGCTTAAACCCAATCTCCATTTGCACCCTGTTTCTCATTATTAACAGCCAGGCCGAATGCGTAAGGTGAGGGGACGTCGAGCTAGCCGAGGTCAACAGCGTCTTCGGGTTTAACGGATCAAGGTGGGAAGTGTCGGTACCGATGTGCTTGGGGACGGGGTGGTTGGTAAGCTGTCTGGTACTAGACGATGCCGGGGGTGACGGGATGGTGATGCCATCACCCAGACCCCCCCGCTCTCAAAGTCGTGCGTGGTCAAGGTTGGAAGCTTATGTATTAGCGGGAGCCGTGCATGCGTCTTTGTTGCTCGGCAAGCTCCACGGCAAGCTAGTAGCCAGGACGCGGGAAGCAAAACAACCAGACTACCTCGGGTTTAAGCTTGGCAGCCGCGCGGGGGAAGGATTGACCGTACATGTCAACGTATACATACATACTTGGGCGCCGAGTGAAACAGGTGGCATCTACGGAGTAGACGAGATGGCAGGCTGAGTCCGACGAACTAGGATCCTGTGCCACCACCTCGCCCGCCTGGATCGGTCGGTCGTTTGTGATGGGTAGTATCTACGGAGTACAAGTCCGACATTTGGCTTGCATAAAGTTGGCTTTGTTTGTGTGCTGTGATGGCTGTTGCTGCGGGTGGCGCACTCGTGCCCCCATGGCTGGAGACACGTTACGGAGTCTGGTACTTTGTTGTGTCCGAGGAAGCTTGGGGGGGACGGGAAGATGAAATGCCCGCACAAACCGCAACCCACAGCTCGCAGCCCGAAGCTCTGGCTTGAGTAATTATTACTCCGCCGAATGCACTCCGTACTGTAGTTTAGACTTTATTACCTTGCTGGTTTGAGTACCTGGGTACTTGAGTAGTAGTATTGGGGGCCGAATTTGAAAATCCCCGACGGGAAAGTGGCGCCGGGCTGACTGCGTTCCTTCCATCTTGACCTTAGACCTTGGGACCTGGTTTATTTAGGTCTTGCATCTGTCCTGACAGCTCGAAGATTTTTTTTTTTCCCTCTCTCCCAAACTTTGATCCCTCACTCGTCTCCATTTTCGCCTTGTTTATCCACAGACCGCCCCATCTGCTCCCTACTTTGCGGGCAAACTTGCTGAGATCAGAGCAGCGAGCGTCTCATTCAGGCAAGGCAAGCCGCTAGACTGCTGGGGCTGCTACGTCACAAAGCTGTCATCCGTCAACCCGCCAGCCTGCCAGCCTGTCAAGCGCCCTTCAGAAGCCACCATGTGGAAACCCCCGTCTCCCACTGAGACCCCGCGATCGCCCTCTGTGGACGAGTCTGCACTCGGGGCCATGTCAGCTACACGGACGAAGAATCCTGGCCGGAGGTTCGCGCAGGTCGTGAAGCTGAAGAAGGAGTGCGTGGACCAGTACAAGGCTTGCCACGCGGCTGTCTGGCCCGAGGTGGCCCAGCAGATTAAGCAGTGTGGGATCGAAGACTGTAAGTGGCTACTATGGTTGCTCTGGGCGAGCGCGGGGCCGGATTCTAACACGGCGCAGACAGCATCTTTTACGACGACATTACCGGGCTCCTGTTCGGCACTTACAAGTACATTGGCTACGACTTCGCGGGCGACATGGAGCGCATGGCAGAGAACCCCAAGGTGCGCGAGTGGTGGAAGATGACGGACAGTTTCCAGGAGAGCGTTGTGCCTGGGGCTGTCAGCTCCGAGGCGGGCGTGCCGAGTTGGTGGAAGCCAATGGAGGAGGTGTTTTATCAAGCCTAGATGTCCGATGGATGAGGGAGCGAATCAGTCCTGCGAGCCGGGTGGTTGGATTCTTTGAGACTGTGTTGGGAAGTGTGAATTGGCTGGCATTGCCATGGCTGCTCCCTCGAGGTGGTCCTGATCAAGGCCCTTGGTCAAATGCGTCGGTTTCGCAAAGGGCCTAGACATTGGTGAAAAATTTACTCTGTATTCCCTAACTTACGTTGGAAATGTGCCGGGGCCCATGTCAGACTTGTGATTCCTACCCTCGTTGTATGTCTACAGACTGGTATCCAATTGCGCGACTCCAACGGTGCCATGGCCATCTCATCTCACACCTGAGGTACCACAGATCAACCGCGGTCCCCCTCCCGCCCGTGGGTGTTGTGTGACTGGCTTCTTATCGCCTCCTCTGTCTCGATTACTACGTAGTGTTGTTCATGAGTTGGAACTTGGGGGGGGGGCGGTGGTTTACGTTGGACAAAAGTGGAGGACCCTCCATCGGATGCCGAAGGAGCATCATGCTGTTCTATCCTTTAGCATATGTCACATTGGGGAGGGCAAGGTGAGTTTGATGGCGGGAACACCATGGACAACAAATTGGACTGAGCTACAGATGAAAAGATGGACACAGAATACGGCATGGTATAGTAAATTTATGCTGCTTCGACTTGTATGTTTTTTTAACGTAGCCCTGTATGGGTAAAGGATCAGACATGTTATTTTCTTTATTGCGTTTTTTGTCATCTCAAACGCAAATGCGCGTGCAAACACGGCACTAGGGTAGGGCCCAATCAACCACACCGAGTACTCAAGTACCTGGTCGTATCCAAACCAGAGAACCGTGACGTGCTGCGTGCTATCCCCAGGCCATGAATGATGACCCCGTGTGCTGATAATGCAAAGCCAGGGCTGTCTCTGCGGCTGCGTGTGCAATTGACGCGTGACTGTTCCCCAAGCCCCAGCCGTTCAAAATGATTCGCCCAGGACACCGAGCCGCCTCCCCCCTTTGTGCGTGAGAAGTCAATACTTGCCGTGACATGCGCCGAGATGACTTACACAACACGCACACCACTGTACGGAGTACACACAAGCACCTTGACGCGTGCCAAGGCTGGTCGGCGCCACGGCAAATCCGGCAACATGGAAAGCTACGGGGCCAAACCTGGCCGCAATATCTATAATCTGACCCTGCGAACCCAAGCGCTGACAGCGTGCTGACGGCCAGACCACCGCAAAATATACGCGTACCCAGCCCTACCGGGAGGCTGGCTGCCGTCATCGCCGTGGCAATGCTGCCACAAACTCGTTTGCTCACGCCGGAGACTCAGCCACGCGGGTTGACGCGCAGGCCAAGAAGACTGGCACGACTGCGGGCGGCATCGTGTCCCCGCGACTCCCGGGTACCCACCAGCAGCTGTCAATCGTCCGGCTGCTGCTCAACGACAACTTGACCCAAGCCTTGGAGACGACGTACGCACGCACGCTGAGACGCCTGGCCGCGTCGTAACCTGTACATGTAGGCAAGGGCCTCGGTCGCGGGCATCTATCTATCAGACACCACGACACGAAGACGAATTCGCCACGACAAAATTTCCATGCGTAGACTTTGGACGGTGGTCAAGGTACGCGTGGGTAAGATTGAACGTACCTGACGTAGATTTGCCATTTCCAACACCCCGACAGCCGAGGACATTCATGCAACACCGTCTGGTTGTATTTCCCCTTCGTGGACTAGCGCATTCCAGGCGACGGCGCCACCTTAATCGTCTGGCCACTGTGCAGTTTGCCGTCTTGACTGTTGGGCTTCAGCTGGCGGCGTGGGCTCTCAGCAGCAACCAGGTTGGTCGTCAGAGCTGGCAAACTCAATGGGCTTCGGCACGCCAGTCGTGTCGTAGGCGCCGCGGCCCGTGTCAGTCTCTGGAATGCGGATGGAAATGGTGGCTGGCGGTTGACAACTACAAAGTCATCAGGGGCTGACTGTTTCTTAAGCCACGGCTACTTTGGCCTGTCACCTCGCCTTGTGTAGAAGAAAAGAGTCTGGTGCGGTGGGCATGCATTGGTTCGTATTCATCTATAGCTTGCTGGTATCTAGAAATGCCTTGCGCTATCCATGTCTAGGTTTTTACACAGAGAGATACAAAGAAAATTTGTGCGGGTATCAAGAATGAGAGTGTGTGAAAGAAATTCAAGCACCGGGAAACACTGGCAGGCAATGAGACTGCACCTGCTTTTGGAGATGCCTGGATTCGAGGGCTGATGTGGTCTGGGGCGGATGAACGAGTTTGGTAGAGAATGGACAACCTTGGACACCGAGAAATATGGACCGGCGTGTCGACATTCTAGTGTGCCAAGGTTTCGGATAAGGCGTCAAGGAGTAGGCGGCTTTATGGCCAACTGGCAATACTGGCTCGGTCAAATCCTCTATAGTAGCCTGACATGTATGCCGGATTCCCGTTTCAGCAATATTGCCTGGCCTTGCCTTGCCTTGCCTCCCGCTTCATCCTATTCTCCTTCTAGGCTTCGTCTAAAATTCAAGTCTGTATCAAAATTGATGTCGTGCCGTACCTCAGAGTTGGAACTGACTTTGGAGACATTCGTGTCTCATGCATGAGAAGAATTGCTAATGAATGGAAATGCCCTGCGACATGTTGCCTCACCCCAGACAAGTGGACTCTCCTTGGAATAATATTTTTTAGTTGAGCAGCCGAGCAGCTCTTGGACGGACTGGCATCATGGGAGGAGCCAGTCCTGCCATGCCATATGACATCAATGGCAGCATGGAGAAGGTGTTTCGGTCTCGTCTCTGGCGTCGGGGATCGTCGGAATGCCTCAGTGTCAGGTATGCAATCCAGAGTGTCAATAGGGCGATAAGAAGTGCTGGAACGCCGATGGCAATAGCCACCACCACCTCGACAGAAAATGTGGGCTGCTCAGCCATAGATTCTTATTATCACGCTATAATGAGTTGGTGTTTAAGAGCAAAGAGATGTGTTGGTGTATGAAGCTGTCACAGCCAAGGTTGTTAGTCAACTTGCCACATTCGTCGGCTTGGGATACATGAATGTATACCTGGGAATAAATGCTGTCAATTTAGTATGTCCTGTTTTCGAATAACGCTGTTATTAGAGTAGAAAAAAAGAGATACCAGGGGAGCAGCAATATATGGGAGGGTATTCTGAAGTAAAGAAGAGAGACTATTTGGCGTGGTTTGCAGTGCAGAGGGGATGACAATCATCTTATAACGCGTTATAAAGACCGCACCGAACAGAGAAAGCGACAAGGCATACGAAAATAGGCTCACATACTCAGTCACGCTGGCGACAAGGGAGAGGCAAAGAAAAAAAAAGTACTTCTCGGTACGTCGGCGTTGGCGTTGGTGACGTCGAACCCTGTCACGCTTCACTAGGCATGCCAACGACCGGGAAAAGGGGTCGCGATAGAGTGCGATTGACTTCCAACAGGAAAACTTTACCATGTCAGCCGGGCCGCATCGGTTTAGGAATACGGAGAGGGGGGGGTTATTGTTCGACCGTTACCTCCATTTGGCCGTGGTGATGAGAAAGGTACTTTGTTGTCAGAGGCGATAGAGACTGTCAAATGTACATTGTTGGTTGGAAAATCAGACTGCGACCAGCTGTGACGACACAAAATGGCAAAGTAGGAAACAACATAGATCCGTATTGCAAAAATATAAACTGATGAGCCAGCATCCGCTTTCACTGTGGCAGATCGGTCTTCAAGTGGTTGTTGCGACCAGACCCAAACAACTAGGCGATTTATTAAGAGCAAGAAAATCATGAGGTTGGAAAGACAGATGACAATTCAAAAGTTGGGGGGCAAAATGACCAAAACTCAGAATCAGCCTAGCTTTTCCTGAAGGTGAGGCGAACCAGTACGAGGCGGTGAGGAGCCGCGTGTAAGATGCCAGTCAGCATTGGCATCAACGCCGATGTGAACAAGCTCCAGAGACTCTGTTGTTCGACTAAGGAAAGAGTTGGAAGCCAAGAAAAAAAGGGGGAGAAAACAAAGAGTGCAAAAGACGGTGGGAACCAACATTGGCACGAATCCACGATCCATCAGCTCATGGTGGAAGAGCTGAAAAGCACAATCACTGTGGCGCGTTTCCTCAGCAAATCAGCGACTGCGACTCTGCGACTAAGCCGACATGATCTGTAATATATTGTGTCCTGTCTCAACATTTTGTGTGGCGAGCTGACAATCGGACCAATGTGTCATGATTCCTCGGGCCTTTGACTAGGTTGTCCAATGCCCACCCAAACCCCGTGGCTTAGCTGTTGTTGCGTAGTCTTAGCAGCGTTATCACGCACCTTGGTCTTTCTTTCAAGCAAGTGTCTGTATAGATCAGGAAGCGGAAAAACGTAATAATTAGACAAGACTGTTGCAGCTCATTCTGATCCGTGGTTCACTTCGTCGTATAAAGGAGTGCCCCCCTACAGCTTCAGCTACTGTCCATGGTCAACATTCCTACACCACTGATCGACCGATCCCAACATTTGGAAGGGCATGGTTCTCCAAAGTCGTCACCTCCGAACAAGAGGGGCGGCTTGAGGTATGAAAGACTTTGGCGTCGACTAACTTGCCTCATGGCAGAGTGCGAACCCAATAACAGAGGATGGCCAGGCCAAATATGTAACCGATGCATACATCTAAGTCGTGAGTGCTCCGAAAATGTCCGCGCTATCGCAGACAATTTTACTCCATCGCTGGGTGAATCCACATTGACGAAACACTCTGAGAAAAGTGAGCAGTCTTTGGTGGACAGGTATCTAGATTCCCCAAAAGATTGGGGTACACTTCCAGTATTATCAGTCATTTAATTCCCTTTCTAGTACAAATGCCGTATGAAAATATATTCGGAGTGGAAACACCTAGTCTTACTGACATTCTCTTTCTTTTTCAGGTCCACCCACAGCCCCTGGATTACACACTTCGAACGAGTCTGCGACAGCGTTCAGATATCTGAAGCGGTATACGGCGTGCGCCTGGGCAGTATCAGGAAAGAGCCCGATCTCAGCGACATTCGGACACTGGTATTAAAGGAGCGAGAAGCTGCACGATCTACATCGAGGCAGGCCATGGGGGCGCCGCAACTTAACCCAATGGTCCGGTATAGGCTGGCGTCAGTGCTGATGTCTTGTTCTATTCGGTCGAATGAAGGTCGACCTAGACGAAATGGAGTGCATTTTTTTGATTCGCAAGAGGATATATCTGCTCTAGTACAAGAGCTACAGCAATATGGAGACCTAGGATACGCCATCTCTATCCAGGAATCATACCTCAACGGTCTAGGCGTTGGGCCCTAGGAAGACGTTTGAGAGACAGAACTCAAGCGATACTATGACTTGTATCAGCACTTGAGGACAGTATTCAAGCTTGGAGTTGTCGAGCAGAGCCGCCTACCACGTATTTCATACGACTGCCTTCCATTTCTGGAAACAAGATCCGTCCGACAAGCTGCCATGAAATATCTCCGATGCACCACGACGTATTTGGTAGAAACCTTCTCCATATTGCTCTTAATAATACACACATTACTTATTGTGTTCCCAATGCACGTCGCTGCCAACTTCGGGTTGGGCTATGCTGTTCACTGTTTGTTGGAAGCTGACGTCGATGTCAGTCCATGTGAGAACTCTTGCAACCTGACGCCACTTCAATGTGCTGCTGCTGCTGCTGCTGGACAAGAAATGGTTGTGGCTATGATTCTGACCGACCAGTCTAATGCTTGCAAAGCCTTCTTCGACAGCATCGGGCAAGCTGAATGCAGAGCTGCAGGCAGCTTGTGCATTTGCATCAAGAAACCCGCATTACCCTATTGTTCAGAAATTGCTACCGCATCTGACTGAAGATGGGCGAGATGCCGTAAGGGCGGCCATTGTATCAGCATCTGTAGCTCAGGTGGCTGCTTGAAGGAGCGCGGCGCCTGTTGGCCAAGCTACAGGCAGTGGCAGCAACTTGAACAAGACTTGGAGTTTAAAAATGAAGATACCTAGTCGTTGTGAATATCAAAATGTGGTGGTTTCATCGCTCCTTCCGAAACCTGGGTCAAACACAACTTGGCATCATTCAATTGGGTAGCCTCAGACCACTTCTCGGCTGAGAAGGCACAAAGAGTCAAAAGTCAAAGCTATCGATGTCCTTCAGACGCTGCATTGCGGCCAATGTCTGCAGGCAGTAGTAATTCCTGAAGTTCTGAACGGTGGAGAAGTCGTCGGGTAAGCGAGAAACGAAAGAGATGAGACAATGTCTCATTCCACGTATCGGATCGGGCAATTTCGCTTTCGCACACGGGACTCCACATTGCTGCAGCCATTCACAGCAATCTATATAATGCCAGTCATCCATCATCTAGCGCGATCGTGGGGAAGAACACCCCAGTGCCCAGGATTGAAACTTCGGCGTTGAATCTCGTCCTTTCTATGGATGGGTTTTGCCGCAATAATTGGCGCATTCCTGCACAAATATTGGCCGGACAATCAAGCTTTTGGCCCGCTTTAACACGCTAGACAAACTGGCTTGCAGTCGGCCCGGTTTAGAAAACAACGTCGCATCCCACAGTCTCTTCCGTGAGAGCTAGGCATACGGGCCGCGGCGAAATGTGAGTCCTCCATACGCATGGCGATTTGAGAGACGGTGTGTCATAGAGTAGGAGTAAGCTTCCGTGTTCAGGCCCTGGGGATAGCGGGAGATGCAGCTATCCTACCGTGTCACACCTACTTGTGCTGGCTAGGGCTGACTAGATGGGAGCATGAGGGCATTCAGCCCTCGAATCGACGTAGTTCAGGGCCCTATTGGGATGGCATCTAGCTCCTCGCATGGCGAGCGGAAGCAGCAGAGGCTTAGTATTTAAGGATACATGTGCCCGTCATCTTCCTTGATTAGTTGGCGTCATTGCCGTCGCTGCAAAACAAAAGGCTCGCATAAGCTCTCGGGCGTTGCTGCAATGCACCTCACATCTTTGGCTCTCGCTGGTCTGCCGGCTCTCGCGGCCGCAGCTGCAACTCCAAACTGCTTTCCTTATGGTAACGCCGAATTACCTGGAGATTTGACAGCTCCCAATGTCAAACTGGAGGACTGGTGGTGTCCCCAGTCCATGGCGTATGGCTTCCAGGGATTCAGCTACCCTCTCGAGGATGACAACTGCAACAGCTACACCAACAGCTTCGACCGGATGAACCAGGACTTTGCCAGGATGAAGAAGGACTTTGGAGCGAGCATCGTACGCATGTACTACCCTACATGCACCCAGCCCGGGGTGTTTGAGAATGCGATTCGAGCTGCGGCCAAGAATAATATGGCTCTTATCTTGCAGATCTGGACAAACTTTGGTGACGGTGTACGTCTTGAATATCCCTTGATAACCCTTGTCCGTAAATTATCCACGCGGAGCTGCGACTCCGGAGGCTGATAGGCAATCAGGATGTTTGGAAGCAATCTCAGCAGGCCATTTACGACACCCTCGCCAAACGTGAATTCGCGGCCATAGCACCGTACGTCGTCCACAGCGCTGACTGGGGCTCTGAACCAGTTGGCGACGGCATGGACTCTGGCAACTTCGTCAATGACCTCGGGGCATTCCGCAAGCGGATGAATCAGCACCACGTCAAGGCGGGCATCAGCGAGGACTGGGACCGTCCTGGTTCCCTCCGCAACGGCGATGGTTTGACCGATCTGGGCCGCGGCATTAAAAGCAACTCGGACTACGCCCACATCCATGCCATGCCCTTCTATCATGGCAATAACCCCGAGAACCAGGCCTGGGCATACATTCAACAGGCTACGCAGTGGGTTTTGGATCATGTCAAGCTGCCTACCATGATCACGGAGAGTCCTTGGGCTTGGGGCAAGACCGACCACAATCCTGGAAAGACGGACGTAGGCGTTGCCCAGTACACGCGCTATTGGAAAACATTTGATGATAATTGCGAGTGGTTTAAGCAGAAAAATGTCGGTTGGTTCTTGCATGCTTGGCAGGGAGAAGATAAATTTGATATTGTGAAGCCCGATGGCCCTGGTTATGTTATTCCTGGCTGGAGACCTCGTAAGTGTTGAGCACGAAAGAGCGGGCCAAGAACTGAATCGTTCGATTTGTGTTTCATCGGCTTCGTGGAGAGTCACCGTACAACATGTGTACATTGGCATTCGTCCATTGCAAATTGGAGTTGTACGCCTTACGTACATGCTTGTCAGTCACGTACCATGGATACATACATTACCGTGATTTCTGTTGGATTGCCCTCCATGCAACAGATATTTAATCTCCAAGCAGACACTAATATTCCATAACCACGAGATGAGGCTTGCATATGCCTTCATGCATTTAGCCACGAGGGCTCCACAGCCGGTCCCGTTCATCTCATGAGTTATATATCAGTTATAATAACCGTTGAAGTTGACCAGTCCCACCATTGACAGCCCACGTTGGCCGAATTGTTGGCGTTAGTACTACTATTTGTGCCGGCCAGCTTTTTGATCTGTCTTTTGTGAGAGGAGCCCCCTTGGGTGCGGTTTTCCGCCGTCTTGCTCACTTGCTCACGACAGATGTGTTGGTCAGACTGGCGTATTTGTTTGAAGCTGCGGTCTGCGACAGAAGATATTTGGCCGTACCTGGGGACAGCGGGAGGCAATGAGTTTGCCCACGCCTAGGCCACTCTACGCCACCTGGTGGACAAATATTTATTGCCTCTGGCGGTATACTAGCAGATTCTAGTGTAAAACCATATACACTGCGTGATATACTGGCACCGTCTTACCCAGACACCTTCTGTTCCCGGTATAGATGTTGTAGTACAGCAATATTCATTGTAGATCCCTCGGCGCAAAATTTGTCATAGAAGCAGTCCTACCAACAATGAAACAGAGCGGTAGCAATTGGTTGGTAATCATGTTGCAGTCGTATCCACGAGTCGCTATTCGATCTTCGCTTTTTCGGGTGGTAGTCCCGAATTATTAGGGATTTTTTTTAACCGGATGTAAGATTAAAGGTCTGGTACTCTGAGCATGGGCTAGGCGCCCCGGAATGATGAATACCTCTCAGCCAAATCATGTCAACGGGTTGAAATTGACAGCGGGCGTTAAATAAAAGACGCACAAAGAGACCTGGTCAGAACAACAGGAAAAATTCTCGTTGGCTTGGCTCTCTTCCCCCCCAGAGCACCCCTTGTTGTCACTATTTTAAGTCGTCATTGTATTTGCCGGTTAAGCCGCCGATGCTGGAGGCGTGGATCCTGCTGATCAACTGTCCGTCTTCCTATTCAAGAAAGTCAAATGGTTGCTGAGCCGGGTTGAACGAGTTGCGTCCTGGTTGCTCATGCCACTCAATATCACTAAACACAGGAATATAGTTTCCTTGGATATTGGTATAAACTATTATGGTGTCGCGAGGCCGGGGGTGCGGACAATCGCCCGATCAAGTCCGCGGCAAAGTGCGGGTGCTCATCATTGTTATTGTCCCAGTGGCTACGGCTTTCATCTGACCGAATGCGTCTGTGTGCCGATGTGCGGGTGACAACTCGCAGCAATATATTCTGCGACCATTTCCATGCAAAGTACACGCGATTTGGGCCCATCATGAGCCCTGTCGTCAAATTAACCATGACAAATTGACCGAACGTTTATATCTCCTTCTCGAAGGCTGCGACAGAAAAGATGAAGCTGTCAGAGAGACGATAGCACATTGTATGTATGTACAATGGCGGCGCGCTCCATCCACACTAGTCAGAAGTTGTCGCTAGACCACGATATCTTGCTTCATGTGTGGATGCAATCTCCATGCAGGAACACGGCGCTAGTGTTTCCAGTTAACCACGAGAACGTTGCACCCTGCGGCCAGCAGCAGGGATAAGGCCTCAATGCCTGGTTTGGCTTTCACGAGCGTGACTTGGTTGTGTCTGTCTTCGAGCTGGTGGAACAAACGTGTCCTCAAGACATTGCCAAACGGCTGGCATTCAACTGCCCAAGTCGCAGAGACTCGACAATCTGGACTCTGTTGTCAGGCACTGCCATGACCCCCAAAAACATTCGAGACGGCCAGAATTGCGACTGTTGCTTCATAGAGATTGTCCAAGTACTAATCTCAGTTGGACCTCCGCGGGGGCTCGAGCACTTTTGGCCGGTGCCAAGCCAGCAGCGCGAAGCGCATCATACTCATAATACTCCGTACTCCGTATAGTACGAGCACAGAGTAAAGTTGCCTTTTTTGGTGGGGCAAGGTGGCTTCCGCAGTCCTGTGTGATATCAATTGACGTCCTCGGGCCCACATAACACACTTAACACGCGCCAGGCGGAGACAGACCCAAGGGGGCCGTTTGGAGTTGGCCTTGGGCTGTTGGCGGTGCCTGGACGACCAGGCTGTTGGATCCAGGAACAGGATCCAGGAACAGGACCCGTGAATGCTCGGACCAAAACGCCTCGGGCCAGTCGATGTTTGTTCTTTCAGAAGCTGGCCTCGCATACGGCCCCGAGCGCCATATGTATGTCCGTACAAAGTAGTAGTAGCGCGTGTGCAAATTTCAGTGGCCTGGAATCTCCATAAGCAGCCGATTTTTTGACGTGATGCAGCACCTTGGTCGTAGAGGGACCTCGCACCTGGTTCGACGTCAACACGCCAGCCTCGACCCCCTGCCCGTGTTTTGCGACCGTCGGGGTGGCACTGGCTTACAGAACACGCTCACCTTGCACTTGCAGGGACCAGCAGTGTGTTGCATCTAATCGTCAAGGCATGGGACGACATACATGCAATACGGAGTGATTCTGAGGCGTATTCATAGTGTTTGGCCGCCATGCTTTCTTTTGGCGTCTTTTATCCCCCCTCCGAGCCACTCGTCTTCTTCTTGTGCATTTTGCGTCGCGACTTCCCCTTTTGCAGGTCAGCTTTGTCGCAACTGCCTCAGTTGCACTTCTCCCCCCCTCCAGCATCCTGTGGATAGCTGCTTTCATTCATTCATTCACTTTTCTTTCTCTTCGCCTCCGATCTTTTGTACATTTTCGTGAGTCCAGGACGGACAGACGCCGTCGCACAGACACGATTCGAGCACTCAGCGCCACCTTCATCAGTTTACCAGGTAAGAATTGTTTGCTCCTGCGCCGGTAATGTCCCAGAGATTGCTACGTGCAGCATCAAGATTGCTGTGGCCTTCATGGCAGCCAGTAGACACACTGCCGAAGCACACCCAAATCCCCAGGCTCTCACTGTCCATTGACTTTTCCTTCAGTTTCTTACTTTCTTCACTGTTGTATCGATTCATGCTGCTGGGGCTTTGACTTACAAACTCACTCTTGTTCTGACTAGTTCGTTATTCTCTTGCTCGGCACAAAATCTGAAACAAGACCCCCAGTCCTGATTTGCGACACGGAGCCAAACTTCCACGAGGACCTCCGGCATTGCGACGAAGGTTTTAACGTCGACGAATTCCTACCAGAAAAACTCTGGGCCTTCTCTTTCTACTTGGTTGGCTTCCGTGGCTCCCCAGAGCCTTCTCTTCTGTTTTTATTTTGCGCCTGTTTAGTCGCCTCTCATCCCGCTTATTTCTGAGGCTCTGCGAGTCTTCATTTGGCATCAGTTCCGATTTGGGGCATGCTGTCTCAGGAACTGTTCTCTTGCCACTAGGTGGTGGAATCTGAGACTGTCCGCGTCTCTCGTATGTAACCCATGACCCCATTCACCCCGAGCATCGCCCTGTGAGGCTGCTGGGCTTGATCAATGACTTTATGCAAAAGCGTCACAAATGGCACTCGTTGGACTGCAACCTGGCCTCAATGCCCTCCAAGTCTTTCATCCCAAGTGTCCAAACGAAACCGCTAATGCTAGTTTGATAGGTTGTTTACTCGACTATTGGGGCGCTCCTTGTCTTTTTTATATTTCAGTTAGAGAGCTGAGTAGTGTTCCTAATTGGACACCCAGCACTCGTTTCACTCTTTTTCTTCTAAACTTTCGTTAACTTGAATGGTCGCATATTCATCTTCAGTTATATCTACCACTCGTTTTGATATGACATGCGACATATGTGAAATACGACAGCTTTCATTCACGTCTCTTCACTTACAGGACAGAGCCGTCCCGATTTTGATGCAACACAACGACTTGCGTATTTATCAACCAATCCCCGATTCAACAGTCCGACAGCAACATAACGGAACATTTGGGATATCTTTTGCAAATTTGATCATACAGAGACGAGATATCTCTCCATTTATCACCAGTCTTTGACTTGTTTGGGAAAACCATTGCAAATAAATCACCCAGAACGTTCCAACTGATCCTGCGATAAATGGTTCGCGGCTGCTGAAAATAGTCAAATGAGTCAACCCTACAATGGAAGGGATATGGACCGGCCATACAATACACCAGGGTCTGTTAGAAGGGCCCGGGAACAAATCCAAGGCATGCTAGCGAGGGATGGGGAGGGACAGCGATATGCGCAACAGAACCCAAACCTTGTTGAGCCCTCGGCACCATTACGACCGCCGCCGCCAGGGTACTCTCAGTCTAGGCTCGCGAAGAATAGATTGCCTCCTGGTCAGGACCAAAAGTATGGCCCGGGAATATCAAGACCGACCCAGGTGCCACAGTGGCCTCTCACCAATTCCAGTACCTCGCCGCCGACTTTTGTCGACCCAAGCTCATATCAGTCTTCTTCAAAATCACAACAGATACCTCAAAGACCTCCGAGACCCAGTCCGAGCAGAATTCCCTCGATACTTGACCAGTCAAAACCACAACAACCTACCCCTGTCTTCACCTCTCGATCGGCCCTACCAGACACGTCTCAAGAAAAGAATGACAATTATAATGTTTCCTCCCCGTCGGCCCCATCAGAAAGCTCTACCCGGCAGACAATATCGTCTGTGGGATCAATACCCGACTTTCCGGTACCGATTCCCGCAGCGGTGCCCAGGAAGAGTGCAAACTTGGGACCTCCACCCTCAAGCCGAAGAGGGGCATCGTCTTTTTATTCGAGTGCATCATACGTTTCTCCCATACCCGAAGAAAGCCCGCGGTCAAGATCTCATGGATCGTATGCGTCAAGCGCGGCTATGCCTGAAACGTGGCC